TCGGGTGGTGTTAGACTTTATACCCCCAAATAAAGTTATGTACTCGATTAAATAACAATACATGTCATTCTGTAAGGGAAAGTTGAGTATGAGGACATCTCTAAGTCTCTAATTTCCTGGACCTTACAAGGGAATGAGAATAGGCCGCTAGATCTTAGAAGGGATGGGAATAGAATAGGGGCAATTGTGTTATTAAACATATCATCTGGGCTCTGCAAGAGATGTGTTTGTTTGTTTGTTTGTTGTTTAACGCCACACTCAGCAAAATTCCAGGTATATGACGGCGGTGTGTAAATAATCAAGTCTGGACCAGACAATCCAGTGATTGATATCATGAGCATCGATCCACGTAATTGAGATACAATGACATGCATCACCCATGTCAGCGAAACTGAACACCCGATCCCGTTAGTCGTCTCTTACGATAAGCATAGTTGCCTTTTACGGCAAGTATGGGATGCTGCAGACCTATTCTACCCCTGATCTTCAAGGCACATGCTGTGTGTATATTCCTGCAGATGTACAAGGGAATTCAATCACCAGAATCTGTACCACAATGCATGTCCAAGAAACGCAAATAAAACCTGGATCTATGAAAGTAGCAACCTCATCTGTCAGCACTGTTGATGAGAAGTACAAGATTGCCATGTCGAACATTTCTCTCATACAATTCAGATTCAAGTAACACTTGTTGTTCCCTTTCGGGTACAGATAATAGCCATTATTTAAAAGTGCTTTCACGTATCAAACATTATGCTACCGTTCTGATTATTGATCACATCGTTTAAAGTTTTATCTAAAACTGAATGGTTTGCATTTGCAGTAGACTACAACTGAGCATGTGGGTGGTATTAACGATGGAAACTGTATTGATTCCTAGTAACTGTGGTCGGGTTTTAGTTAGAAATGTGCGCAGCCTAAAGGGATTCTGAATGAGCATAAATAAATAAGATATTTTTTAATTAATCTTGAGCATGTTTAGTGTGTGCGTGGACATTTCTCTATTGAAAGCAACAATATCCTGCTTGGGTGTTTTGAGTAGCACTGAATAGAGTGGGATCAATACAATATTACTTTCAGCTGATTTAGTTACAGATACGGCTTGATGTTGGATAAATTGCATGATTTAATTTACACGTGGTTGTTATAGATGTATAGGATTCAACAGGGACGAGGAATATTTATACAGCTTATATACATATTGTGTCAAGGTTGAGTTTTTGTTTTGAATCCATATCGGGACAAAATTTGTTTCAGCTGCTGTTGTTATACTTGTGCAAGTCTTTGATTCCACTAAACAATTGTCATATCGAAATAAACTCCGTGTCAGATTAAAAGAATCTTAATTCCATAAGTTTTGTCTTGCATTCCGTTTTAAATGTGTTTAGATATGTGGATGTGGTGTTTAGGTAGTGTTTAGGCTTAGAGAAGATCACCCAACTGGAAGATCTACTGGAAACTTGGGGCATCCTTAATTATAACGTAATTCAGTAAATATGAGCTTACATTGGTCAACCAAGGTATTAGCGAGTTGTACCGTGGTCAACATTGGTTCACCTCGTTAGTCCAGGGGTTTGAAGGGGAATGCAAGCAGTAAAAACGAAGCAGAACATGGGTACGACTCCGCTGCCAACATCGGTTGTGACACGGGATACCCCTGCAAAACGGTAAACAGTCCCTGACACTCGTTCATGGGGGTCACATTTATTGCCGGTTCCAGTACAGCTGTACGGCGGCGCCCTGTAGATAAGTAAACAAGTCTGAACCAGACCAACATTGTCTTGTCTGCCGGACCCCATCGCCGACCTCTGCTCGATTTCACGCACTTCTTATCAATGAGTATGGTTTTACGACCCTTTTAGCAATATTCCAGCATTATCACGGCGGGGGACACCGGGAAATGGGTTTCATACATTGTACCCATGTGGGGAATGGAACCCGGGTCTTCGGCGTGACGAGCCAACGCTTTAACCACTAGGCTACCCGACCGGCCCTACTTATCACCCGATCAATGTAAGGAAACCCGTGCATGTATGGCAAGCTTCTGTTCCCGTGTGTAATGACTCAGCGTTTTGACGGTTGGGTACAGGTACATAGGACGCCAAACCTACCCTCCCCTGAACCCATCTAATTTGTATCCCCCGCCACGAAGTGGGGTGGGGAATATAGGAACGGAGACCGTCCTTCCTTCCGTCCGTCCGCTTCTCAATGGGGACAAATCTTCTTAAAAACTATTTTAAGTTAGAGAAATGAAATTTTACACACTGATGTTACTGGTCACGATCTCAAATGAGTTCGAAAATTGGTGTTGTACATTCCTTTTTTTACAGAGTTAAGACCCTTGCTCAAAGCTTTTCAATTTAGTGCATAGTGCTTGAAAAGGGGACATGCTTTTTCAGGTGTTGGTCCTTGATCCATGCTGTTTTAAATAGTGGGAAGTGGCTGCAATGCAGAAACCACTGAAGTTACGGGGATGACACTTTGCATACTTATGTATACATCTAAGAGACACACATAGTTAAAGAACTAAAGCCGTAATTATCTTGTTTCCGGAATTATCTTCCCTTTATCCTTGCTTTAGATATTGTGCATTCTGCATCGGGTTTTATAAATTCAGCGTTGAGGTAAACACCTCAAATTCTAATGAGCACCGTGACGGGAGATTGTGCTTGTTCTTGAGTCTCATTGCTCACCCCTGAATCCTGCACACTACTAAACACAAATTTCGATTAGCTCGATTCGCTGCGAATTGAAGTTAAACTACTGAAAAATATAATATATAAAGGAAAGTTTTACGTACACATTTCATCTTAATGTAAAATCTGCGTTCCAAATACAATTTTATTTTCGTCCCGCGTACCAAACTGCGGAGTCCAGAATAACCTCCAAATAGACCCCCGAATCACGCGTACCAAACTGCGGAGTCCAGAATAACCTCCAAATAGACCCCCGAATCACGCGTACCAAACTGCAGAGTCCAGAATAACCTCCAAATAGACCCCCGAATCACGCGTACCAAACTGCCGAGTCCAGAATAACCTCCAAATAAACCCCGAATCACGCGTACCAAACTGCCGAGTCCAGAATAACCTCCAAATTGACCCCGAATCACGCGTACCAAACTGCAGAGTCCAGAATAACCTCCAAATAGACCCCGAATCACGCGTACCAAACTGCCGAGTCCAGAATAACCTCCAAATAGACCCCGAATCACGCGTACTAAAAGGGGACTGGCAGCATCAGGTAATTCAGTGCCATGTTACACTTTGATTAATAACTGAGGAAGAATTCATCAGGACCTGTTGATTCATTACTGTCGGAAATCATTAGAGAACAAACAACGAGCTGCGATGAATTGGGGATCATTTGTCCCGTGAGAAGGAATGGCATACTTTCCGAAAGTGTGACAAGGCACTTACATTCAGAGGGGTAGATAATCCATTATATCAATATTCCAAGATGTTACACACTAATTACTTGTCACTTCTAAGAACGAAAATGAAGAAGACCGTACGGAACTTCAAAAGCTGTGAAGTGAATCACTGAAGACAATCTATTGTTATCAAATTGTGACGTGCTGAATATATAGACTGATTTCTTATTGTGTTGTTAGGAGATACTGCTTCAACTAACTACCAAATACACCATAGCATAGCTGGAATATTGTTGACTGAGGCGTGAGATCACAAACAAGCAGTCAGTCAGCTTTAAGAATCGCTAAATAGCAAAAGCTTAAGTTATTAATTCTGCCTTGAAGCCCTCGTGGATAATACTGATGTGGTAAGACAACAAGGTGATGTAGGTTCAGCCTTACACTGCTATTTGCACTGTTCCAGTCATATCACATGAGGGGGGGGGGGGGGGGGGGGGGGGGGACTCCCAGGAATGGGCTGCAACCATTGTACCCATGGCTGGAACCGAACACAGGACCTGTGTGAGAGCTAACGTTTGCACCACTGGGCTACCTCAATGTCTGTTTCTGATAGCTAAGGGATAGGTTATTTTTTAGGTGAGGTGTGTGTGTGTGTGTGTGTGTTCTAAACTAATGCTTGTCACACTTTTGGGGTGACCCTCCCCATGTCCTTGCACATTTTTTAGGACTCTCCCTGAAAAAAACCAACAATTTATATGTAATTCATTACCCTCTCCATATATGTGTATTATTTAGTCATTTATTATGTATTATTTTGTTATACTGTTATATTGTTGGGTGACCTTCCCATGCTACCCCCCTCCCCCAATAACAAATGACCACTCCCTAATCTTCCACGACTGACCTACAATGACTGTATCACTCATATTGGGCTACAGCTTCAGTTCGGAGTAACCTATAGTGGAACAATTTTACTGATGCATGTCTAAATATACGAATGAAATCAACATACAATTACCACATATTTATTATGAAAAACAGCTGTATTGACATTAAAAAAATCCTACCATGATTGGTTGTTAGAGTAAAATTCATAATGGTTTACATATTGTGTTTGATTTGTTTTGGGGGGTAGGCTTTTTGGTGAAGTTTCCCTCCCCAAACACTGAAGTTACAAATGGCACAAATGGAAACCCCCTTTTTAGAAATCCTGGATCAATCTCTGTTTTATCATTCACATGGCATAGAATAATCTTGCCATAGGCTTGAAATCAACAAACCAACATGCCTCTTCTGACTTTGGCATTGATCTACACTCAAACTCCGGAATAACGATTGCCATGAATTATTTTGCAGCTAAAAAAGATGTTCTCCTTAGTAGTGTAGGGAAGGGAAGTCCTTAGTGTACAACACGTTTCACTTGTATTTACGATGACACAGGTACTAATGATACTGCTGCTTGTTTGAATCAAGGAAGATCAATGTAATTTGATTGGACGGCTATTTTTAGCATTGTGCCATGGAAACCAGCCTCAAAGCGAACATAAGGTGACAAATGGAACCAGGTGATATAGCATAATAGAATGGAGATGATATTAGTTGTATATTCAATATGTTGAAGATGAAATGGTGTGTCACATCATATCCTTTATTTCTTTTCTTTCAAGAATTACAATATCTCATCAATTTGTGTTGAAGACCAGAGCTTAAACCAATCAATCTAAACCATACAATGTACTGATCATTCACTCAGTAGACTGTGAAGCCTGTGAACTTGTCCACCACTGACACTGAAGTTTTACAGCAACATGCTGCAATGAAGACAAGACACATGAAACCCCGCCCGATCTTGTGGCAGTCCCTGTTATGTACACCGGAGACAGATCTTGCAATGACTTCTCAGCTCACAAGACCTGCAAAACAAAGACAGCATACAGAGATTATTAATGCTGACCAACGGAGTAACTTGGTCAGAGGGGTATTTTATAACATGTCTTACAAATTGTAGTGAAGAATCTCTGCAGAAGATAGGTGTAGGAAGGCAAAGAACCATTTGACTAGCACTGTCAGATCCTAGCTATTGAAATATTTGTGTACATTGTCAAGTTAAACCCCACCCCACAATTCATATTCTTTTTAATAAAAGTGAAAATAGAAAATAAAATCCTGAATCAGCCTCAGATTTGTCATTCAAAAAAATACTGCCACACCTTTCTTTTTCTTTCATTGCTTTTTTCCTGTACAACCCTATGACAACAGCTTTAAGATGTGACTTTCAAATAACACTCACATCTATCTTCATGTCTCTAACTATGAGTTCCAGCTTAACTTCAAAGATAAAAAAACACCAGAATGTTTCTTGTAAACCATCTTTCAGACAAGTGTAACTTACCTAAATAATCATCCATAAGAGTTCCAATTGCGAACTGAAAAGACAAAATAGTTTAGGTCAGATATGTCTGTTTATTCAACTGTACTCAAACAATTCTAAATAACAACATTTGATAAATTATGCAAAGCACAGAACATGAGTATGCTACTTTGAAAAAAAATGTATGGAAAGGCAGCTAAATTGGCAATTATCAGGCACAAAAGCATCAGTCATGCCTGCAATGAATGAGAAGTACAGTGAGCCAATGGGTGATGAGGTTGTACAGTTATTGTCACACCTTAGTCAACTGTATGCAAACAAACCACTCCCAGCCACAATTTCCGTCGAGTGCTGGGGATCTGTTTAACCTCCTCAACCCAATCTAACATTTTAAAATCTAGGTGAAATACAATGTATATTTTACTCACAATGTCCTTAGCGTCAACTCTTGTGCCAACAATCTTGATTCTGATTTCATCGTCTTGCTGAATCACAATATCCTGATAAAGAACACAACAGATGTCAGTGAGTGGGTCTTAGACAACAGATGTGAGTCAGTGGGTTTTACACAACAGATGTGAGTGAGTGGGTTTTACACAACAGATGTGAGTGAGTCTTACACAACAGATGTGAGTGAGTGGGTCTTACACAACAGAAGTGAGTGAGTGGGTCTTACACAACAGATGTGAGTGAGTGGGTCTTACACAACAGATGTGAATGAGTGGGTCTTACACAACAGATGTAAGTGAGTGGGTCTTACACAACAGATGTAAGTGAGTGGGTCTTACACAACAGATGTCAGTTAGTGGGTCTTACACAACAGATGTCAGTGAGTGAATCTTACACAACAGATGTGAGTCAGTGGGTCTTACACAACAGATGTGAGTCAGTGGGTCTTACACAACAGATGTCAGTGAGTGGGTCTTACACAACAGATGTCAGTGAGTGGGTCTTACACAACAGATGTCAGTGAGTGGGTCTTACACAACGGATGTGAGTGAGTCTTACACAACAGATGTGAGTGGGTCTTACACAACAGATGTCAGTGAGTGGGTCTTACACAACAGATGTCAGTGAGTGGGTCTTACACAACAGATGTCAGGGAGTGGGTCTTACACAACGGATGTGAGTGAGTCTTACACAACAGATGTGAGTGGGTCTTACACAACAGATGTCAGTGAGTGGGTCTTACACACCAGATGTCAGTGAGTGGGTCTTACACACCAGATGTCAGTGAGTGGGTCTTACACAACAGATGTCAGGGAGTGGGTCTTACACAACGGATGTGAGTGAGTCTTACACAACAGATGTGAGTGGGTCTTACACAACAGATGTCAGTGAGTGGGTCTTACACAACAGATGTCAGTGAGTGGGTCTTACACAACAGATGTCAGGGAGTGGGTCTTACACAACAGATGTCAGTGAGTGGGTCTTACACACCAGATGTCAGTGAGTGGGTCTTACACAACAGATGTCAGGGAGTGGGTCTTACACAACGGATGTGAGTGAGTCTTACACAACAGATGTGAGTGGGTCTTACACAACAGATGTCAGTGAGTGGGTCTTACACACCAGATGTCAGTGAGTGGGTCTTACACACCAGATGTCAGTGAGTGGGTCTTACACAACGGATGTCAGTGAGTGGGTCTTACACAACAGATGTCAGGGAGTGGGTCTTACACAACAGATGTCAGTGAGTGGGTCTTACACACCAGATGTCAGTGAGTGGGTCTTACACAACAGATGTCAGTGAGTGGGTCTTACACAACAGATGTCAGTGAGTGGGTCTTACACAACGGATGTCAGTGAGTGGGTCTTACACAACAGATGTCAGTGAGTGGGTCTTACACAACAGATGTCAGTGAGTGGGTCTTACACAACAGTGGCTACATTACAACTACATCATGATGAAATCCTTCTCTGTAAACAAACCAAAACCTGGCATCAAAGGTACTGATAGTATATGTACCAAGGATATGAATGAGATAATGTCATCACATGTGGTCAATCATAAACTTTGACATTAACCATTTTCCTTTTAGATATCTCCTTTCACTACAACACTGTACAAGGCTGATCTACTACACCTTTAACCAAATCAGTATTTACTTCTTTTAAAATTTGTTTTGGAGACAGTGTTTACAAACCCGTGACATACTGCCATCATGGGCCTTGACATCATGCTGAATGATTTATTTTGTTTGTGAGTACACTACAGCTACAGCATGGCATTCTGAAAATAATCAATCTTGGACCAGAAAACTAGTGGCCAATAGCATGAACAGTCATCCATCCCATTGGGGTACAAGGGTACAGTGACACACAATCAGCTTGTTCACACATACACACACACAATAAATGTCTCTTGTGATAAACACAAGGTCCTAATTTTTCCCTGGAATCCCTGCTAATATTCGAGTAAATTAGGCCCAATGGCTACCCCGTTGACAAAATTATCAATTTGCGCATCTATGTTTAAAACCATAATAAGTCAAAATTCTAAAGTCTACCTTTGTGTCAATTTGTGTCTCTTCTCTACATAGTGGAAATAAAATGTCTGGTTTTGACTCGTATGTACTTGTTTCATATGTTTGAAAGGAAAAGAAAAAATTTAGGAGTAATTTCTGTTTACAACAAAGCACATTAATGATTAAAAGGACAACAAGCTGCCATTTGCTGTTTTGACAAGAGGTGTCTTTGTGTACACAGTTTGAATTACAAACCAAATATATGAGATCAGCTTTCTTCACAAAATTATTTCATAGCAAATTAAGGCATAGTGAGTGAGTATGGTTTGATGCCACTTTTAGCAATATTAGAGCAATATCACCAGAAATGGGCTTCACACATTGTACCCACGTCAGGAATCGGACACAGGTCTTTGGCGTGACGAGCAAACGCTTTAACCACTAGGCTACCCGACTGCCCATAGTCTTATGTATTATCTAAAACATCAGAATTATTAACATAATTCAAAAGATCACAGTTATTTTGCATTTGGGTATATTTGTGGAAATATGCACCATACCAAAGTGTGTAAACCAAGGAGGATTCCAGGTCAGAATATATGTCCCCAGCAGTCTATACCGGTCAGAAGAGGTGTCTAAAGGGATCGGAAGGTCAGCCTCAAACACTTAGGTGATTGCATGTCATTGTATCGATGTGTGCATCGATGCTCATGATGTCAATCACATGATTGTTTGGTGCAGACTCGATTATTTCTTCATATAGCTGAAGTAATGCTCAATGCGGGGGTCAGGTAACAAACAGTGAAGGAAGGGAGATAACTCCTAAATCTCTTCCCTTGTACATTCTGTCATCTGTCAAGGATTTATCATATTGACCAGTTTATTTCATACCTCATCCTTTGTTTTGTAGCAAGGTGGATTTGAATTTGGGTCAAACTCCATGTCTGCAGGAATAGACTGAAAAGAGACAAAGATCCATGAAATCAACATCAATCATGACAAGACCATCATCAAATGTTATCTTCAACTACAGGGGATATCGAGGGACAGGGAGCTCATACGCAGTGTTTGAAATGATACTAAAACCCAACAAGACAATTGGGCAGGTGACCCATAAATGTTGCCGGCCCATCTTCAAAGTTACCTGCCCCCATTCAGACATAATCATGATAATAAATATTGAAAGTTTGCAAAAAATGAGAGACAAAGAAATAATGCATACAATCACTTGAGAATCTGTTCAGGGTGTTATAATAAAACTGAACTTGTAAGTAGTCTTAATTTTATCAGCCAGACATCCTGACAGGTGGAGGAAACTTTCATGTAGCTCGACATAAGTTACCAGAGTGCAGGTGGACAGGCAGTTATTATAGACACGGCTCATATTGCTTGTAACTTACATGTCTGGAGATGAAGCAGGATAGGGGGCCAATTTCAGTGAAGAGCCCAACCTGAAAAACAGATATTACATTTCGGTAAGATGTGGTGACCATTGAAACTTATCAGATCTTTATCAGATAAATATATATGTCAAGCCTAGGTGCCTATAATAGGGTGAAACATTAAAGTACTCTATGGATACAAGTATTTGTTGGTAGGTCATGTATTGATACAAACTGATACAGATCAGATATATGTTGGCAGGTCATGTACTGATACAAACTGATACAGATATATGTTGTCAGGTCATGTACCGATACAAACTGATTCAGATATATGTTGGCAGGTCATGTATCGATACAAAGTGGTCTGAGTATTTGTCGGTAAGTCGTAGGTTTCAACTTGCTCAAGAAACTGCTTTATCAATTCACTGAAATGAACTAAATATATTTAGTCATGTAAGCATGGTAAGTAGGGCTACTATTCATTTCCTTTTGATGGAAATATTTGCACATATTTATCAACTTTTCATGTATCATTTGTCATAAGACAACCTTACTCTCAAGATATGTAACATAATGCAACAGAGTATATCGTAACCAAAGTTACATGCAACTTACAACCAAAACACCTCAGTGACCTGAGCATGTCTGCAGTATGTTTAGACTGGCAATATACTTTCATTAGTGATGCCTAGGAACCAAGACTGCATATTTCGCCTGAGTGAATGTCAGGATGTAAGTCACATCAAAAAGTACCTTCTGTTGTGCATTACTAAAAAAAATCCTTACAAGGATTCCTGTGTCACCATGTAACCTGTTTACTTCAGTCTCACTCACCTTGTTGACCTGTGTGACAACAGCATCCAACACCTCCCCCTTGAAGGGGCGGAACACAATAGCTTTGTACTTGATGGGGTACAGAACAAATCCTGCACTGGGCTGGATCATCCCAGCTCCAATATTGTCTATCGTCGTAACTGCGATGACGAAGCCATATCTGAAAAGTAGTCAGTGAGAGCATAAAGAGAAATGGAGAGGTTTTTCACTTCTTAAAAATGAAATTTATTATCATCGCAATCATTACCTTTATCATGTTTATGAAAGAAGGTGAAACAGTTTCTGATTTTCAATATGTCCCTCAGTCTATTTATTGAACATGATGTGTTATATATACACACTGTATATAGACCAAATGTATTCTTCTTCACACACCTATCATGCTATACTCAAATGGCACACCTGAACACTAAGTATCTTTATAAACACATATAATGGGTAAATATGGCACATACTTCCCTGTACATGTCCCTTCTACTTCAGTGAAGAGTTTCTGCTTGACAATGTTGAGGAGATTCGGACCAAAATATCTGGGATGCAACAAGATTTCATGCTCTAGAGAAACCTGAAATGGAAAACAGTTCTTTTTAAGTTCAGTGATTGCCATAAAAATGTGCATTGCAACAGTTCAAACACTAGTAACACACACACATCATCATGATCAAGTATAGACAATTTCTTGCCACCTGTTCATCATCAGAATTAAAGGAAGCTCAACAAAAGGGGGGCTTGGACCCATGAAAAAATCCTGGTTTTTTTTAGCAATAATAGCAAATTGTTCCTCTGTCCATATTTTCCTTGACTATTTCAAGGTAATAATTGGTAATGGATCACCTGAGCAATAAATATTCAAATCAATCTGAAGCTCTGCCAACAAAGACCCTGCAAAACATAACAGCTTTCTTTGCGTTGATTTGAATTCAGAAGACAAAATTATATTTGTGAGTCATATTGTAATTAGATCTAGCCGAGATCTTCATTTCCAAAAAACGCTCTTGATCAAGTCGAAACATTTGTTAAATAACAATGATTCTCCGTTGTATTACTCATAAGTTCAAAGAGACTGCATGAAGAGTAAGTTAGAAACTAGAAGTAGAACGCCATCTCAATATCTGGATGTATTGTGTACCATCCGCGAAACACATTGATAACCTTCTATCGCCGGCCACAAGCAGGTTCTCACAAATACCAACAACAATCGAGGGAATACGAAAATAAATATTTACGTGATAAAACATTGTGTTCTTTCAAGAGTCAAAGAAACACAACGACGGCATGAGCGGAACCGGAAAATTCGACCTAACGCGAGTTCCGGTAGTAAAATCCGGATAAATGAGATATTCTCTTTCAATATAATGTCGTGCTATTACATTCTACCACATGTATATTTGAAAGTTTAACAAGTGTATATATGAATGTTTGACTTTGGTACGACTTTGTTTATTTCAAATACGGCAGAAGCACGCAAATGTTCTAATTTGGATTTTATCGGTTAATGACAGTCCGAAAAACTAAGTTCGATAACTCTAATTTACTCAAAAGTATCCCCAACATGCAGTCAGGTATTTTGGGGGTAAGCTTGACATAACACCGCGATCATGTTTTTTTCTTTTTGAGATACAAAACAGAAAGGCTTAAGCAACTACGATTACTATTCAGTAAATCAGTACAATGGTGTAAACTAGAAAGACAGGATTATGTACGATATCAACTAGCCTGGCCTCCAGGTGGGCCCTTGCACTCAACAGGCTCAGTGTTTTTATTTTCAATATAAGGTCAGATCAACCAAGAGGTCAGTCGCGCATTATTAAACATATCCATATACAATTAACAAGTATGTTTTATGTTTCAGGGCTTGCTGCGAACTTTGGTGGCCAAAGCTAAGTTTTCTCACACCCAAAATGTTTGCCAGCATTGCAGAAAGACAATTGGTCGGTAGGTGGAAGAATAAATTGAATCCTAGTCATTATGTGGAAAATTCAGTCCAAAGGGGTGGTCAGTTGAACCATATTGCACAAGCCTGACTAATAAATGGGACATGTCCAGAGCTTCAGATAACTTTTTGAGCAATTGAGTTTTTGCTCGAAGGTTTCTATTTTAAATGTGTTATTACATTTTTCATTGGGTAACCAATATCTTTTTCACTCATCTATTTATCACTCAGTTGGGTTTTTCCCAAAATGAGTAAACATTTTAAGAATTAAAAAAAAATATTATAATGTTTTGGATGTATATAAGGGTTCTAACAATAGGCTTGACTCAGAAAGTAAATTAGCTCGTAATTGTGTTTTGGAAATAGCTCGATTGAACGCATGTTGAAAAAGCTTCATTGGGTATTTACGCATGCTGTTTTTATACTTTTGAGTTTTTCATTTAATGCATGCGTTTCTGTGTGCAAGTTAATTGAAAGTAATTGGGTTTTGAATAATTTTGGAGGGTATTTTACGCAAATATGCAGCTTATCTGTAGGTCTGCATGTCTTAACCAAATGGCACTGGCAGTGCTAAGACCAATGAAGAGTGACACCTTAGTATTTGCATAATCTAGCTGAAGTTACCATATCGCCCAATCCATTCAACATTCATTTTAAAATTTTCATTAATGTCACTACTGGGTCTATGGATCATCCCATAAGAAAAGTCTACAATTTTGTGCTGTAGGATGTTCAGCACATTTCTAACACATCTATCAATAGGTACATGATATACCAATATCTTCTTTTACCACTTACCTCCAAATATGTTATTTCTTTGAATGTGAAATTTGAATAACAGTTCCAGTTCGAAAACAAGAACCAGTATGGGTGTGGAAATAAAGACAGCATTCCTCTTCAAAACAACATTGGTTTCTGTTTTTTATCTTTAATGAAAGTTCAGTTTCAATAAAATAAAGCAAACATACAATTAGATAGTTGATTGTATCCCAATTGAATAGAACGATGCTCATGGTGGCAATCACTTGATTGTCTGGTCCAGACTCGATTATTTACAGACCGCCGTCATATAGTTGGAATATTGCTGAGTGCGGCGTAAAACGACAAACCAAACCAAAAAACCAATTGCGTGGAACGATGCTCATGATGTCAATCACTGGATTGTCTGGTCCAGACTCGATTATTTACAGATCATATAGCTTGAACATTGCTGTGTGCGGCGTTAAATAACAAATAAATAAACAAACAAACATAACTAGGTAGATTTGCATCATTTTACCAGTGTGGAAAATGGACATAACTCAGTCGGTGTTGAGCTGACAATCCAAAGGTTGCAGATTATCAGTAAAACTGGTTACTTGCCTCAGTGATGTATATGGCCTTACAAGAAATGGTAGGGCTGAATTCTAAAGCTATGGTTATGATGTGTATCAATCAAGCAGTTTAAGAATACCATAATGACACAATGACAACTGACAATACCAACGTGTCTGACATGGCCCTAGTAACGACATTAGACGGACAGAAAGTAAGTAGCCATGGTCGGGGAGCCATGGAGCAAGGCCCTCTTACAAATGCCAACTTTCAAAGGCCCACTGTCACACTGACACTTATAACTGTCTTGGATACAGAAACATATTACCAAATGTAACTTTCATGCCTCTTATTGTTTGTTTTATTTCAGAAGACACCTGAGCTCCACCACACGATTGCTTGGCGTCTTTGAGCCGGATAACTTGGTACGGACACTGATAAGAACAGTAATAGTAACAACAGCTTTGATAACACACAACATCAACATAGACGTTTTTTGTCTCAGTTATTGAGAATTTAACATACATTTAACACTTACTTTAAGTTGCTGGGCAAAGCAAACACATCTTGAATTACCTCCTTCATATCAAAATTTGACTTTTGGTATTTAACCAAACACCAAAAGGAAAATGATTTGATTTTATGCCAGAAGCAGCAATGTAGCATGGTATAAAACCCTTAAGAGGGACACAGAAAAAACATGTACCCTGAGTAATACTTGCAGGCGGGATACATTGTCAGTTGTACTAGGATCACTAGGTACATGGGGTTTTAGGCTTCCCACATTAGGTTACATACAAGCCGGAGACAGTCCAGTTTTATTTCTTGCTTTGTAGGTTTTCTAGACAGTTGTGCAGGAGGCAGGAAATGTCATGTTGGAATTAAGGTCATTTACCAATAGAGATTTCATCGTAAGGTTAAATGGGGCACAGGTGTCCCAGTCGTCTAAGGCACCACAATCCGCTGTGTAAAAATTGCATCTAGTAAATGTGCCACAAACCTATGGTCTGGTGTTTGAATCCTAGTTAATCCTGATTATGTTTCTGGGTTTGTCAACACCATACCCATGCTCGTGGGTTTCACCAGAGTGGTAAATGTCTGAGACTTGCATCATTTCGGCTTTTTTCCCACTTCAAGCTGACATGCTCTGATGTAACTGATATACTGTTCAAAGTGACGTTTAACTCAATAATTCACTCGTAAGGTAATAAGAATCTCAACATACGATCTTCCCAAGGCATGTCCAGTTTCCACCCTTGCCCAACTAGGCTGGAATTTCTGGGTTCAGTTATGCCCCTTCTATGTCCCTCCTGTTGACCAATCCGATTCCACCTCTTATATCACTTGCATTTGCTTCAAACAAAATGGAGGTGCCTAGTCAAGACAATCTGATAGATGATCAAGATCTATATTTTAATAAAACAGGTTTTACCCTGCGAAGTGCATCAACTCACTTGAGCACCTTGGAAAAAAACCATGAAAATATTTGGAATATATCTGTCAACGCCAAGTTGGCAGTACACATGCTTTGAAAATCCTTCAGTTGATCAAAATTCTGCACTTTGAAATCCATGTTCTAATGCGATTATGACTGGACTATGCATAGACTTGTCAGTGCAGCCAAAATTTAACTCCGGAATTCCAGGTTGGTTCGGCAAGGGTGGAAACTTGACTTACAGTCAGTTAGCGCCCTTGCCTGGGGAAGATGAAGAAAACAGGATATCATGTGTTGATTTTGTCAAGATAGACAACTACATGCAGTAACGGGTTCAAGAATGCCTGCCCTTTCTTTGAAATGAAAGGAGGCTTTCACGTTTCCCCCAATTTGATAACAAGTTTCTACCTGCAGACACCAGGCCCTGCCATCCCTGAATATGAAGCTTTGAATGTGAGGATGAGGGGCTACGACTTTGCCTTGTTGGAGTCCTTTGCTAAATATGTCCACAACCAGGCAACCCAGCTGGGTATCGACACTGACATGTGAGTTGGACATCAGCCGTAGATACTTGACAGATCAAGTGCCAAGGAACGTTCAGTGGTTTTCAAGATAACTTCTGAAACACAAGTCAGGGAAACTAAGGAATAAGATTTAATATGTATCAGATGTATAGTCATTAATTTGTAATGTCAATTTGTATGAATTGTTTCATAATTACTTAACACAGTACATACAGTACTTAATAAATAAACCACAAGTGGGAGTTGTTTATCGTACAGTAAAACACTGCAGGGAGAATAAACCATGAGGGGCACAGACCCAAGTGGTTTATTCTTTCTGCAGTGTTTTATTGTACGACAAACATGATAGACACAATGACGTGGGTCGTTTATTTCTTACATGAGATATCACCATATTGTATTGCCACTTTAAGGATACTCTCTAGACTGCCTCTGTGGTCTAGTGGTAGAGCATCCGCACAGAGAGCGGAGGTCCGGGGTTTAATCCCTGGCCACAGCATACCAAAAGACATTAAAAGAATGTACTTGTTGTTACTCTGATTGGCGTTTGGCATAAAGGGGCCAAAACAAGAACTGGTCGGCTCGGAGTCAGTATACTGTGTCTGAGTGGGTTATTCATGTTAAACTGTGGCATGGTATCTCAGTGGGTTTAGCACTATAAAATCGGCATCAGTCCAGATGATTACAAGCAGCCACACACACGTTCACAAGGTAGAATAGGTCTTCAGCAACCCATGCTTGCCGTAAAAGGTGACTATGCTTGTAGTAAGAGGCGACTAACAGGATTGGGTGGTCAGGCCTGTTGACTTGGTTGATGCATGTCATCTTATCCCAATTGCATGCATTGATGCTCATGATGTCAGTCACTGGTTTGTCTGGTCCAGACTCGATTATTTACAGACTGTCGTCATATAGCTGGAATATTGCTGAGTGCGGCGTTAAACAACAAACAACAACCAACCATTGTGTTAGTAACGTCACATTGCATTCTACAGGTGGCCCTCACCATCAAAGGCAACACACATTGAAACGTATGTGCCCAATTCTAAGGTAATCCAGCACACATATGACTTGAGGACGTACGAGAGGACAGTACAGGTGAGACTTCCGGGTTATCATCGAATTAATAACCAGATCGTATATAAAACCAGTAACATATTTCAAACATTGCATTATTTTAGAGACTATGGGTTAGACATGTTAGAGGCTTTTGATGCACTAATGTATTGAAAATAATGGCCCTCCCCTAATGCTTGACATATTTTGGGATGACCCTCCCAATGTCCTTGTACACTTCTTTCGTGACCAACCCTGAAAAGACAAAATGTAATAGCACTTTACATATTATTATGAAATGCCCATTATTTTCATGACCCTCCCCAAAAATGTGTATTACTTTTTATGCCCTAACCTGGAGACTGTCATATTTTTTTGTCGCCTTTCCCTTATTCCCTCTGACCCCCTATAGTAAATGACCGGTCCCTTATTGGAATTTGTGATGCTGATTTTAACATTTCTGATCAGTGATATCTAGTTTGATTACAATCTGCAAGGTGGAAGTCTTCAAAGTTAACTGCTGGCTGTCTGTTTTAGTTACAAGATGTCCCTTCAACAATGCTGCCTATATTTCTCGACATAATCCGTAGCCATTTGCCGATGGGTGTAAACATCACCCTGAAAGAGGTATGTAACTCATTTGCATTGGCTACAGTATTCATAATCTAAATGCTAAATACCAATACTGTGTATTTAAACAAGGTTGTTAAAATTGTAAAATGAATGGAAGTATTTACTGCAATATGTTTGTTTGAAAAATATGATTAAATTGGATTTTATGCCTGGAAGTCTTTGACACTTTTAACTGTGTATGAATACTTTTCTTGATAAGTATCTTTTTTATTCTCAATCCCAAATTTTAAAAATGTGCCATTTGGCTTGACCAAATGAATTCCACCTTAATTAAATACTAATCTGATATTTATCAAAACAACTTCAATTCACTTGGGTTTATTTGCACACTATGTGAACCCAAACCAGTTCAGTTATCACTCATGACATCATCCATTGTGTCATGACGTCATATTCTAGAGTGACATCATGTCAGTCTCACAACTATGACAACTTTGAGAGTTCTGTTGAGAGAGTGCTTCTGAAAATTACTGAAAACCTCTGTATTTTAGTGTTGATAAACCTTATTTTTGAAGATTTGCAGGATTTATTGAGTATTCGATGCCCAGACATTTTAACATTGGAAACCTCCAGCGGGTTGCAAAGGAGATTTCAAAACATCGAATACAGAATAAAGCTAGCAAATCCAAAACCACAAAATGTTTATATCCTAATTCTTTGGTAGGGTTAAAGCCCTATGGGGCCCAGGTTTAAATACACAGGCAACTTAATTGTATCAGTGAGTCAGTCTGTGATGTAGCTGATTGTACTTTTTGACAAGATTATTTGCCACAATAGGTCACAACTGTAAGTTGTCTGCCATTTTGTTTCAAAAACACTTACTTATCTTTTAGCCTGATGTGGAAGAGGAGAATGATCGCTATGTTCCTGATAAACGTCTGAAGGATTTGTATGCAGAAGTTGATGCCATTCAGAAGGCCAGAGACGAGAGAAGGAAGAAATAAGATGACATGTGTGATTAGGATTTGTTATGCAAAGGACTGCTCTTTGATCTGGAGTGTTTTATCACAGGATCAGCAGATTGCCAATACGACGAGTCAATAGAGGCATCAATGTTTGGATGTTAGAAAGGTCCAGTTCTATCAAAATCCAATCTTTTACTCCACTGCCATATCTGTATGTGTCGGTCCTTAGCCAATGAGATGTCAGCTTTCTAAAACAATTTGGCTTCATTGCTTTACCACATCAATTCAGAAATTGCACTCCTTTCAGTGTGTAGATGCCATGCTTCAGGGTGTACAAATGTCCATAATATGATGGCATGGCCGTTTGTATTTAAATTTTGGAACTACATGTATCTGTTTAAGAAGATGCAGAAATCAGATATGCTTGTCTGAATACATCACCCACTTGCCCTAAGAATTTAGAAGCCGAGACACTGATATGCTGATTGGAAAGTTCACCTGACACAACTTATAGAGCTGACCTCAGATCTTCACTCAGAGGCATGGTGTTGGAGTAAAAGGTCTGATATATTGAGAAAGCTCTTTTAGCAGTTTTACCAGTTGTTGCATCTAAAGTTTGATCGTCTTGGACAGCTAAAGAGAGCCTTCAAGTATTGAGTACAAAAGTACAGGGCATCTGTCAGAGCACACGATCACCTTGAGGACTCTGTACAAGCGTGTTGATGCATTGCCTGAAACGTGTATCATCACTATCATTAGGGAATTGTTTCTTTGAGTTTTGTACGCATGTGATGTGTGAGAAAATAAACTCAATTGTCTCTGTACTTCCTGCAGCGAGGCAGCATATATTTGGTACTTAAGGCCTTGTGAAGTGTCTCAAAGTGTTAGTTCTCACCAGACAGTACATGAAACAGGCAGCTGTCTTTATAAGACACTACAATACAAACACATTAACAACATAACTTTCAGAAAAGGGTATTCTTGCAGAAGCAAAGGATGAGCTGTAGCAACGATCATGGCTGCTGTTCTTGGATTACCATACACAGCTGTAGATGCTACAAAACACACACTTTATCTAAATATATTTTCAAATTTGTATTGATCATTGTCTGTCTGACCATTGGTGCCACCATTTTGAACCAAGTGTGCATGACACCATAGCAATGTTGCATTAAGGGTAAGAAATATCAGATACTCGGAATAGGCACACGAAAGGCTGATGACCTTGGTCAGTCAATGTCTTAGCTGTTTGAAAATCTGCATGTTAAATCAACACAATCTCGGATTCATACCATGAGATCTGTCCGTGTCCTACTGCCTCATACAAGGGACAGTCAGTCATTCACTGTAACATGTGTCAGGTCGGCTTCACCTGCTCGCATGTTGGTAGAAATGACTACTGACAAATCGCTGAAACTACTGGTATGACAAGTTAGGGGGACACAGGTCTGCTCCCAGAGGGTGCTCCACATAACGGTCTGTCCATTGCAGTGGAGGAAACTCATACAAACTCATCTTGTTTTCAATTTTGGCCCATTTTGGGGTTATATGTTTAATAGCACACATGAAGAAAAAACTATAGGTGTTATAATCCATACCTTTTATTATTGAAAATATACATACATTTACAGGTTCAGAAGCAGGTATCTACACAATAACAGGACAGCATGTGGTTACTTGTAAAATGCTTAGATCCATGATACTTTGTGTGGTGAATCTTGCTTTGTTGACCTGTCTCATTACAATCAGAGGTTTTACTCTGATAATATACCTCTGTATGAAGATCTGAGGACTTCTCCATGAGAGGTCAAATCAGGAGAACCCTGACCACCCAATTCTGACTGAAGGATGCGTGGGTTCTTGAGCGAATCATGTCATCTTTCGAAAACAATTAGTCTTCATCATTTCTTTACTACCTCCAATCGGGAATTTCAATCTTAGCAAAGAAAATTGTCACAGAGGACAAACATACGGAACTTTCTGACAGCACTTGAAATACAGAAATCAGATCTACTCGTCTGAACGCTCTCTTGTACCAATAATTTAGAAGCCTCAATGCTGATTGGCTGATTAGAATGTTCACCTATTGTGACCTCCTTTGGAGGTGACGTCAGATCTTCACACAGAGGTATTATATCAGTGTAAAGGATCTGATTTTAATGAGACTGGATTTGAATGACTACAGTGAATAATAAAGAAACATTGTATATATATATCACAATCTAAAATAGAATTCTCCCAGCTCTTGTATAATGGCATGATATGTCAATGTGACTGTACAATTTGTCACAGATCATAGACCAGCCACAGATATATATCCTACATGTCACAACGCAATATTGGGACACTGAAACAGTAGTTTCTACATGAGATGCAATCATGGATTTGTATCTGTAAAACACCTATAACGCTTTAAGTTATACAACAACCTGTTAGTGTCGGTAAATGAACAATATTTTAAAATGGACGGTTCACTGTACAATAATTAATGTATATCACGTATATGTTACAAACATGGACTCAAATTCCTGAGTAGCAAGATGAATATGATTTTAATCTTAAGTGAATTACAAACAGAAATTTCAAAATGTCTCCTGCATGTGCTTTTAAATGCAAGTCACCTTTGCAAAAGCCATAACATTAGCTAGTTCTGTGATAACATAACATGGCAAAACAATTTTACTCTGATTTCTATTGAGAATTGCTTCAGACTTGGGCCTAAATATCAGCTTCTGAGCAGCAGGTCCAGACGAGTTCCTTCCCATTCAATCACATGTTCTGGCCTGAATGTACCCAGACCTGTAGTGCTTCTAAACAACCCCGAAATGTATGACCTTGACATTGCCTTCCTCCTCTTCCTCCTGTAACAGTAAAACATCAGATTCAGTCAGTGCTGTGAAACATTAATTGTGATACTTGTAGTACTGAAAGAGAGGATTTATTCACCCAAAGTAATAAATAACGAGGTAGTGTAGTGGTCCCAGTGGTGTTTAGTCCAGGATATATACCAATCTCATGTTCATGGGTTCAAATCTCATAGATGGCACTGATTATGAATCTTGGTTTGCACAATCCACATTCTTGTGTGTTTCATCAAAGTGATAAATGTTTACAACCTCCATCACTTTGGGAATTCCTCCGCCATTTAGCTTACACATGATATACCTAAAATACTGTTCAAATTCACCATGTATACTGTTCATACAGACAGATACTTACTTCATGATCATGACTTGTTCTGTGTCCTGAAAAAATAGCAGATTTTAGCAGTTAATTTACCTATTATAGAATTCATAAAGCAAGAGAACTGGTTGTGGTAAGGTGATAGATTACTATCTGACCACAAAACCTAGTGACGTACACTGAGTATATATTCCACTTTTATTGTGTTGAGGCACGTGCGAGATGTACACCCTTCACAGTAGGTGAACCAACTGACCTTGATCTTGTCTTCTTGGAGGCTGGTCCATCAGAGCAGCTGTGTAGTCATGGATGAGGTCTCCATCAATCTCATATTCTCCATCAGGAGGCTGGTACCTGTACACACAGATCAACTGTCTTAAAACATTTATACACCAAAATATTGAACCAAGAGGTGCAATCGGACATTTTCACTGAGCATAAAAACTTTTGCTTTACAGTGATACGAAAGTTCAATTATTCTGTTGTAACAACAACTGTCACCAAGCTGATGTCTGTCCACCTGGGATCAGTTTACCTACATTTTTCTTCATTTTACTCAATTATAATGACTGGGTAATATGAAGAATACCGCTCACCATGCTCTGGACCAAATTATGTCACTCAGCATTTATGATCCATAATTCTACAACTTGTAGCTCTTTAGACGGCCTCTGTGGTCTAAAGGTAGAGCGTCTGCCCAGAGAACAGAATGTTGGGGGCTCAACAATCACCAGCTAAGTCATGCCAAAAGACATTCAAAGATGGTACTTATTGTTACCCTGTCTTGCATTCGACATTAAGGGTCTAAAACAAGAGCTGGTTGGCTCGGAGTCATTATATTGTGTCTGAGTAGGATATCCATGTAAACTGTGGCATGGTATCTCAGTTGGGCAGCACTATAAAATCGGCAAGCAGCCACACACATGTGCATACACGTCGCTATATAAGTGCAGTAAATCTTGAATGCAACGTTAAACCCAATTTCAACTCAACACACTTTGTAGTTCTTTAGTATATTCTCTCAATTTATAGTGGTGAAAACATGATTAACAGAAACAAGGACAAAATAAAATCATCCCTGACTGGTTGAAGGACATGGGGAGGCTGCCTTCTTACCCATTGACAGATCCATTTCTGTGTCTCTGGGAGTCGATGTAGCGGTGGGAGCGGGAGGACGAGGATGCTTGTTGCCGGTAGTACTCACTCTGCCATGGGTGCTGCCTCGACCGTGGCAGCTAGAAACACAATGAATCAAATGCACAATTGTTTACTGAAAGAAATGAAATTAACGTGTCACCATATTAATGTGAGAGACGACCCTGAGCCTAAACTGTGTTTTGAAACATATCTGGGTAGACCACCTTTGAACTTTAAAAACTATTCAGTAAATGATAACACCACGACTGTAGACTTAGATTTCCTTGATATACAATGGGGTGATAGCAGTCTGATTGTCTAGTAATGTTTGTTTTCTTCACAAAATTAATTTTTCACATTTGACATGTGATCTAATGTAATGGCAGGGAATTTCAAATATGGCATATTTAAGTGAGAAAAGTCAGGTCATTAAAGTCAGACTAACATTAAACAGGTTCCAAGTATTGTTACATGAGTCAGAGCAATTCTTTGATTGTAATTCATTGGAATGTATTCACTACAGCTGGTGCTACTCTACTGGACATTTTCACTGCACTGATGAGCAATGTTCTGCTTTTAATTAAAAGATTATTTGACAAGGTTACCTAGAACAAAGACACCATCATACACGTTTGGTGACAGTCATAACTGCTTGATCAACATGTGTAAACAAACTGACCACACTTGACATGTGTAAATGGTGTGTCATTGTTTCTGGAATGTGCAGTGAACCTGATATGACAATAAACTTCAATATGTCAGGACACAAATGGGTCATTTTATTAATGCGAGCAATTGAGACTTGCATTTTCCAGATTAATGTCATGCTTGCATTAATTTCATGATTTAAACTGTAAATTTTACAGTACTCAGTATACTCCAGCCATCAACTATAAACCATAAATAGTTCTCAAATTCTGAATCATATCTGCCAATGGCATCCCACTTACATGATTTCCACTTTGTCGAATAACTACATTCCTGCGAAGATTGCAAACACATCAGAACTCCATCGGTTAATCTGATGGAAGCCATGGAGAGGAAACACACTATTTCAACTTTTGATAGATGGTGGAGAATAATTAACAATATATAAACAGAATTCAAACCTGATCAAGGAGATTCTCGTGGTCCTGGCGAGGATTGTGGTCACCATTGTAATAACCATCATCTAATGACAGCTCCTCATCCAAACCATCAAAGGAATCTGAAATCACAAGCACATGTAGCCCTCACGACTGTAGCAGTGGCTCTCCACAACACACCCCTTTCAGTTCTATTAGTTATGTGTAAACATTTCTAAGACAAAATAACCATGATAAGCCCCTTGACATCACCTCTGGGAATTAGGGGTGGGATGAGTCCAAATTTACTGCCTGGGTACCTAAACCCCTATTACCCGACCCTACCGGGGTACCCACTGTAGGTCGCAAGAGATGGGTACAAAATCTCTGAATGGGAATAGTTTGACCGTAGCCCTGGCAAAATGTATTTAGATACACGTATAAAACAATCTGGTCATGTATCCACTGAAGTTGACTGAAGCTTTGTATTCATTCAAAAACTTAAAATTAAAAGGGAATGCATGCATAGTCAGAAAGACATGGAAACATTAGTGACTTGTAGTGTAACCATGGAGTTCTAGATCATGTTAGTCATGAAACAATATATCACATGATTAACCACGGGTCCGGGTAGTCCTGTGGGTACCCAGGTCCGACTCAGTACCCGCGTTTCCAATCCAAGCCCTACAGGGAATAGTGCAATCCCTATTGCTTTCGAGTTACACATTTTATAAACTACATTGTGAAGATTCCGAGTTGGGTTTAATGATGCCTTATACAACACTACCATCATATCACAGTGTGACAGCTTAACGTGGAAACAACCCCATACTCGGCCATAGTGATGCAGGTGCTAGACCACTTTGGTAAAAACACGAACACAGGTATGAAGTCAGCAGACCATGGATAAGACAGCCCTAATCTGGGATTCAAACCCTTGACCATTGGATCCTGTCACAGTTAAAGTATGTGATTCGACAAATCAACTTGCAGCACCCTGGACCACCTTTGTGAAGATGTACCTGTAGACTCACCTGTCAGTGTTTGAAATAAAAAGCCATTGCCTTGTGCCATCTGGACCCACAGACTTCTGAGCCCACTTTACAAAGCGATCTCAGCGCTAAGATGATCGTAACTCCAATACTTTAACATAGGCTTACGATAATCATAGCACTAAGATGGCTGTGTGCAAGAAGACCCAGAAGGTGCAGTCCCTGACTAAACTCTTCCGGCCCTCACTTAAGCAAATGCAAATAAATTGACACATATATTAACCGCAGGACATAAGGACACAAATTTGAAACTATGGGCACAACTCGAGATCTAGCTGCCACGGGCCTACAGGAAGGCGAATATTTCGAACACTGCCATTACACCCATGTGAGAACCCTGCTTACCAAGTGACTCCGAGTCCACCTGTTCTGCCTTCCTCTTTGCGACCTCTGCAAGAGCTGTCTCCCCTTTGTCCAGGGCCATGTGGTGGATGTCCTGTAACATACAAACACATGGGGGTAAATAGGTTTCAAATTCAGCTTCATGATGGAATAGATGTGACACCTCCCTCTCCAGATAAAGGTTCCAAACTCACCATAAACAAATCCCTGGCCCCGATATCAACAGCTAACAGGAAGGCCTTGTCAAACCGAGCATACCTGCAATGACATGCAATACTTCAAAAGGCCTTTTATTTTGATATTGGCTTTAGAAATATATAAATGGTCTAAGAAAAATATAATCGACTTTTAACAACATGTTCAGTGATGTTTGGGGAGACTCTGTTTCATGATGTATTTTATAGCTTTCAAAGGAAGATAAGGATTGCCTTATTCGTAGTGAAGCACAATAAATGTACACTTGTGGCATAAAATAGAGACAATACCAGGAAGTTAATAAGCTATGGTGCAGCTCAAGAATAATGAGAAAAATGGTTCCGGGTCGGAGTTTGCAGATCAGGGTCATTTGGGGAAACTGGAAACACACATATTTCATGGAAGTTGAAGTATAGGCCTTGATCTTTTGTTTAGGATCAACTACATTAAATTTTGAGCCCATCCTTTAGAAACCCAACTTATAAAATAAAGGGCCTAATTACAAACCAAATACATGAGATCAGATTTCTTCACAAAATTATTTCATTTCAAATTAAGGCATAGTGAGTGAGTATGGTTTTACGCTGCTTTTTGCAATATTCCAGCAATATCACGGTGGAGGACACCAGAAATGGGCTTCACACATTGTACCCATGTAGGGAAACAAACCCGAGCGTTCAACGACTAGGCTGCCCCACCACCATAACACCAATAGATGTACAAGTTACCTGAGCAAGTAATGAAAGAAGCGTCTAGCTAGTCTGCTGATGGGGTCTCTGTACTCCAGTATAGTCACTTCAGATATAGCTGGTTTAGGTGCATAGAATGTACCAAGTGTGGCTTCAAGCTGAGCTGCAAGATAAACACAATGATTAACATCTAAAGTTTGCCACTTAGGCATACAAGGTCATTCTAACATTCTTAGTGTATGATACACATACATACAAGGTCATTCTAACATTCTTAGTGTATGATACACATACATACAAGGTCATTCTAACATTCTGTGTGTATACATACACAGCCAAAGTCTGGTAATCCGGACAGTACCATTCCCAAAGAAATACATAGGATCAAGAAGTTTCCAGACTAAAGAATCCCAAAAGAAGGGTCACACACTTTTCCGAAATCTTTATCACTTTTTCAAGATGTTTACCACTCTTGCCAGATATTTTCCGATTTTCCAAGATGATAACCACTAGGGCTTGGATGAGTCCAAATTTACTACCTAGGTACCTAATGCCCTATTACCCGACACGACCCGGGTACCCAATGCCCTATTACCCGACACGACCCGGGTACCCAATGCCCTATTACACGACACGACCCGGGTACCTAATGCCCTATTACCCGACACGACCCGGGTACCCAATGCCCTATTACCAGACACGACCCGGGTACCCAATGCCCTATTACCCGACACGACCCGGGTACCCAACGCCCTATTACCCGACACGACCCGGGTACCCAATGCCCTATTACTCGACACGACCCGGGTACCAAATGCCCTATTACCCGACACGACCCGGGTACCTAATGCCCTATTACCCGACACGACCCGGGTACCCAATGTAGGTTTCAAGAGTTGGGTACATATTGTCCAATCTCTACCTTCTCTGTCAGCATTGAGGGGCATCCGCAGGAGGTTGTTGACTATGGTAGACAGACAGGAGTAGCACGTGTGACCGTCCGTGTCCCAGTTCAGACTTGACAACACACCCACAGCCTGCACACATCACAAACACACCGCATGACAACAAGGACATTCAACTGGGCAAAGGAAACACATGATAAAAAATTGTATGGCATTTCGGGAATGTGTATTGCAATATGTATTGTGCTGTATTGGGAGATAAAGTGTTTGACAGTGATTGACACTGGTTGTACATGCAGATCCTATTTTCTACACACTAAAGTAAATTTTACTCAGCATGATCAGTAGCCGCCATATTGTTGTTATGGATACAGGACAGATAACAACAATAAAAAAAAATCACTTCCCCATTTCAAACATTTTGTCAATTTTGAAGGGAAACATCATTTGTGAATTAATTTCTTGTTGGTTGGTTGGTTTCTTGTTTAATGCCATACTCAGCAATATTCAAGCTATATGACGCGGTCTGTAAATAATCAAGTCTGGTACAGAATCCAGTGATTGATATCATGAGCATCGATCCACGCAATTGGGATTGATGACATGCATCAACCAAGTCAGCAAGTCTGACCACCCGATAGCTTTTTCCCTTTCTTAAGCAAAATATGGTCCTTTGTGCCTTATCTTGAACTGGGTAGCCATCCAAGTTTAGCACTGTACCTCATCAATCTGTTTATGCTTGAGATACTCTCTGACCAGCTCAAGGGGAGATAATCTCTCCCGACTCACAACTCCGAGGTGGAAGAGCAAAACAGCAGGGGGACCCCTGGAACATAGACATGGATGTACGTTCTGACCACATCATAATGAAGCACAAACAAATCATTCTCAAATGTTCCTTTATGCCGCAGTCAGCAATATTCCATCTATGACAAAGAATCATGGAAATAAACAAACCTGGACCAGACAAACCAGTGGCTTACATCATGAGCAACTATCCATGCCATCAGGTCACGGTGACACACAAACAACCAGATCACAAAACATAACAGTTTAGCAGGCCCTTGCAACAAGCATGGGATACTGGGGACCTATTCTGCCTCAGAAGCCTTAGTCTATTAAGCAGCTTATTTCCCATTACTTGAAATACAACAGAGTTTTTCCTCATGCATCATCTTTATAAATTGGAAAACATGTGGTGGCAGGCTCCAATCTCTATACATATGTACATAGCTTTTAGTCAAGATTTATTAGTAAGTAGTAAGGTTGTATGAGCTTGTTGAAATCTTAACTAATTATCATGATTATTTTATTACGATATTCACATTATAAGAACATATTATTAGTAATAGTTATGTTAGAATATTAGTAATGTTTTGTACTTTAGTATTTTATACCTTAAACATTCATTCCATAGCTCTGTAACTTTAAGTAAGCTTACTCTCAGTTTAACCTCCACTAATTGTCACACTGCATGCTTTTAACTTACAGCACTCTCTGCCACAGCGCTCCCTGGGCAAGTCTATTGTCCCCTTGATATGCCAAGCTGACCCTAACTACAACCTCATTGTTTCTATATTACATTTTAAAAATCAGTTGCTACTCTACTTCTCAAGGAAGGACATATGTCATACTTGTGTATATTTATTGCCATGATCTTGAATCACAGTTTCTCATGTGAGGTTTTGAATGTGAGGACATTCATTCATACTTAAGGTTAGTTGATTATGTATTTTATGATGTTGTCTATATGGATAATTTCTAAAAATAGGATATATTGTGGATTGCATTCTTGATTTGATTTATTAGAAACATAATGTATCTTGTTATATATATAATTATTGATGATCTCACAGTTCAGTGAGTTAATATCTGTATAAGAAAGTATTAAACTTAAAACTAATTATCGTATGTTAAATCACTCTGTATAGTAATGGAAGGTAAATGCATGTTTGATATGAGTGATTGATGTATCTTGGTAAGAGCAGGTGTATGAGTGGTTTGTTTTTGTTTTGTTTTTTTGTTTTTTATTCAATTCAGTATATGATATTACAGAGTAATACATTTAGTGTGGTATACTTATTAGGTGTAGGTTACATACCTATATGTGGTAGGCTCAAATTATGTACATAACTTTTAATTAAGATTTATTAGTAAGTAGTAAGGTTATATGGCCTTGTTACCATTTTAACTGATTAGTTTATTACGATATTTACATGATAAGAATATATTATTAGTTATAATATTAGTTATGTTTTATACCTTAGTATTTTATACCTTAAACATTCATTCCATAGCTCTGTAACATTAAGAAAGCTTACTCTCAGTCTAACTTCCACTAATTGTCACACTGCATGCTTTTGACTTACAGCACTCTTTGCCCAGCGCGCCCCGGCCCAGTCTATTGTCTTGTTGATAGGCCAAGCTGGCCATAGCTACAACAATGTTTGTTGTTGAATTTTAGAAAATCAGTTGCTATTGTCACCTCAAGGAAAGACTCAGCGAGATTTATTGCCACATTCATTTCTATGTGAGGATTTGGATTTGTAGAGGAATTTATTCATATTTAAGGTTAGTTGATTATTTATTTTATGATGTTGTATATATGGATGTTTTCTAATTATTGCGATTAGAAATAATATATATTGTAGAATGCATTCTTAATTTGATTTATTAGAAACATAATGCATCTTGTATATATTTATAGTGCTTGATGAACTTACAGTTCAGGGAGTAATTATTATCTGTATAAAACAGTATTAAACACGAAACCTAAATATATATATAAACTAAGTATTATAAACCCCTCTGTACAGTAATGGAAAGTAAATGTATGTCTGTATGCTTGATGCATTATGTATGTTGGTAAGTGCAGGTGTATGAGTGTTGTATGTCTGATGTGAGTGGCTGTTGTACTATATATTTTTATACACTATTTTACCATAGGATATTACTTGTATATAGTATTCTGCATTTGTATTTCTTTATTATGCAGATTTCTGAGTGGCAACGTTCACCGTACACTCACGGTGTCACGGTATTGTCACGGTATTACCAGTTCAGGTTTAACCTATCTGGTATGTTATCTTCATTATCACTTTATTATCATATTAATATATTTTGTATCTGTGTATTGATGTATTGTAGGGATACGTCTGATGTATTGTGTAATGTAAAGTAAATGCTATTCATTTTAATGGAAGTGATATCTATATTTTAGAAATTTAAAGAGTAACTATATCGGATTGTATATATTTATTTCTATGTTATATTTGCTTATGTTGTACTTTTATTGTTTCAGACTGAATTAAGTACGTACATTCGTACCGATAATAAAATAAACGTCATCAGCCTCACCCCCCACAGCTGTTTGTGATTATTTGGCCAGTAGATCGCCTACTCCACTATCGGCCAACACAAGCACGGTTACATAATACAGCAAACAGCAAATTTAAGTTTGATACAGGTGTCCAACAATGTTTACAAATGGTGAAACGGGCAGGTTACACTCGCCATGTTTATTAACTAAGTGTGAAGCTAAATCCTTACAGCGAATTAGTGGACATTGTTCATGTTAAAAAAAACAAAAACAATAGAGACATATTAACTAGACAATTCATTTGCCAAATTTTTCCATTTTCTGTCAAACTGTCTTATTGTATTGCTTTTGTGTGCAATTGATTTCTCTATCCGAAATATATCAATTAAAGTCTTCAGTAACTTTTCAAGTGAGGTGTATGAGTGTTGTAGGTTTGATATGAGCAGCTCTTAAACTATATATTTTTATACATTATTTTACCAGAGAATATCACTTGTATATAAATATATATATATATAGTTTTCTGCATATCCATTTCGTTATTATTCAGATTTGTTGTGGCAATGTTTGCCATGAGTGTATTGTTCACCAGTAGTGTATTGTTCACCAGTAGTGTATTGTTCACCAGTAGTGTATTGTTCACCAGTAGTGTATTGTTCACCAGTAGTGTACTGTTCACCAGTAGTGTATTGTTCACCAGCAGTGCCAGTGCAGGTTTCACCTACCTGGTATGTAAAAGCATCTCAGATATTTTATATATATTCTATATTCCATGATTTGTAATACTTCCTAAAGTTACATACAGTATGTTCATTATCACTTAATAATTATATTAATATATTTTGTATCTGTGTAGATCAATGTATTGTAAAAGTAAGTGATATTTATCAATGAAAGTGATATCTATATTTAAAAAATTCAAAGAGTACCCATAACAGATTGTATATATTTATCAGATTCTATTTTATCTTTGCTTATGTTGTTATTTCATTGTTTCAAGCTGACTACATATAACAACCAGTACAATACATAACTAAACGTCATCAGTCCTCCCCCTACAGCTTGTTGTGATTATTTTGGATAGTATATCGGCTACTATAATATAAGCCAACACAAGCACGGTTACCTACATACGTGTAGTTGGTTTTATCCAACTCCTAATGAAGTTTAGTTTCACCTTCTGTCATCCATGTCCGTCAATACTCTTTCACCATGTTCAACACTCTCTAATTATAATACACTGATGATGGATGGGCAAAATAGTACAAATGGCTTTAAAATGCTTAAGAATTATTAAAAAGTATGAATTTGTTAAGAAAAGGCCTTAATTAAAAATAGACATATCTTACTTGTCAAACGTGAGGAACAAGGCGTCCATGTAGTCTGTGACACAGTCTGTTGTCTGGGGGCTGTGGGGGCACCAGGCCATGTGGGTCAAGGTCACTGGGCCCCTGGTCAAGAGAAAACAGAATTTAGGGTACCATGTTTAGTAAACATCTCTACACTACCACATAATGGAAAAACTATATGAACTATTCAATGCATTGATGTCATGAGAGGTAATTTGGTGTGACTTGCACCAACGCTGTGTCATGACAATTACAGTACTCATCAGTGTCACTTTCCCATGTAGAACACCTCTGTTGCCATGATGGTGAAGAGGAAAATACTTTTTGAGTGTGATCGAAGTGAGGTTTAACTTCCCATTGAAGATTATTGCTCTTACATAGAGGTGTGTGTTGGTGTGTGCGTGAGTGCATGCGTGTGCGTGTTTGTGTGAGGAGTTTGTCTGAAAACCTCACCAGAAGAACCTGTTAATCCTTAGATATTTTTCTGATCCTGGGTCTTCTGATACAAGACTTATTCTTAATGGGTTGAGAGCCATGTCATACAGCTGAAAGAGACAAATAAGTTTGCTATATTTTGAATTATTAAACTTAACACACATTTCAATTATATATTCATTCATTTTACCCCACTGGCAGTATGTTCAGACATGTGTCCCAGAAACAACCACCAGAGTCAGCTTCCTGGGGCAGGGGAGTTTACTGTCTATAAAAGTCAAGCTTCCACACTTGCCATATAGGATGGAATCAAAATCATGTAATGAAACGGACATCAAGTTCGTAAACATGGTCGAATACGGGATTTGCAAAGGCTGTGTACCAAACTGGGCATTGACAGATACTTTCCAAATCTTTAAAAACTTCATGTTTTTAATCAAGGTGCTCAAATGATCTGATGAACCTTGCAATGTAAGGCCTGTTTTATTACAATATAGATCATGATCACTGGGTGCCACCATTTGAAGTCAATCAATGGGAGTCAATGGGAGGGACATAGAAGGGAACTAACTCATAACAGCCACTGGTGGTGCTTTGATCAAGTCACCAAATTCCTGCCTAGTTCAGCAAGAGTGGAAACTGGACTTTAACAACTCCCTTGCTCCGGGAAATGCACGTGGTGTGTCAGGACATGACTCAGCTGCACATCTCCTCTTGCACTCCCCACAAACACCACTGTACCACCAGGGTGTAAGAACTCCCCACTGTACCACCAGGGTGCCAGCACTGCCAACAAACACCACTGTACCCCCAGCACATCACTTACCTGTACATCCCCTCCTGCACTGCCCACAAACAACACTGTACCCCCAGCACATCACTTACCTGTACATCCCCTCCTGCACTGCCCACAAACAACACTGTACCCCCAACACATCACTCACCTGTACATCCCCTCTTGCACTTCCCATAAACACCACTGTACCCCCAGCACATCACTCACCTGTACATCCCCTCCTGCACTGCCCACAAACACCACTGTACCCCCAACACATCACTCACCTGTACATCCTCTCTTGCACTGCCTACAAACACCACTGTACCCCCAGCACATCACTCACCTGTACATCCCCTCTTGCACTGCCTACAAACACCACTGTACCACCAGCACATCACTCACCTGTACATCCTCTCTTGCACTGCCTACAAACACCACTGTACCACCAACACATCACTCACCTGTACATCCTCTCTTGCACTGCCTACAAACACCACTGTACCCCCAGCACATCACTCACCTGTACATCCCCTCTTGCACTGCCCACAAACACCACTGTACCACCAACACATCACTCACCTGTACATCCCCTCTTGCACTTCCCACAAACACCACTGTACCCCCAGCACATCACTCACCTGTACATCCTCTCTTGCACTTCCCACAAACACCACCAACACATCACTCACCTGTACATCCCCTCTTGCACTGCCTACAAACACCACTGTACCACCAACACATCACTTACCTGTACATCCCCTCCTGCACTGCCTACAAACACCACTGTACCACCAACACATCACTTACCTGTACATCCCCTCCTGCACTGCCTACAAACACCACTGTACCACCAACACATCACTTACCTGTACATCCCCTCCTGCACTGCCTACAAACACCACTGTACCACCAGCACATTACTCACCAGCACATTACTCACCTGTACATCCTCTCTTGCACTGCCTACAAACACCACTGTACCACCAGCACATCACTTACCTGTACATCCCCTCTTGCACTGCCCACAAACACCACTGTACCACCAGGGTGCCAGGACATCACTGAAGGCAGCTGTTAACAAAACCATTGTTTTATATCAACACTGAAATCTAATAGTCATATTGATTTGATAACTGTGTAAGAACAGAGAACAAATTAAACAGGTGAAAGATGAACAAAGCATTTGTTTCTTTCTATTGTTAACATGTGGTCTTATCAAGTTGAAATATCTCACCACTGCTGCCCGTGTAAATTGGGTGAGTTTCCTGTGCTCGTCATACATCACCTGCAATGAACCATGTAATGCCAGTCAACTGTTTGTTTGTTTGTTGTTTAAGTTAAGCTGCACTCAGCATTTTTCAAGCTTCATGAAGGAAGCCAAATTTTTTAGTCTGGACCAGACAGGGCACGATGAAGTGCAATCATTCAAGTCACTGAATACAACAAGCAAGGTTTTCCAGGAACCAAGTCCAACCTGGAATTCCCACAGGTCACTCTGAAGACATCCTATTACACATACCGGTACACACGCATCTTTTGAGTGTTCACAACAAAGTCACCCCTCTGAATTAACTTTAAACAGATCATGAAATATTAACACAATAACTCAAAGCCTTACCAATGAGGCATCGCTACAACCTAAGAGAAGTTTATCCTCAGAGGGATTCCGGCACTGGCAGAGAACACTGGCTGAAACACAACGCGGCTGGTCAGTGCAACCTCACTTCATGCAGGAACACAAATATAACATGTTATCCATATAGCATAGAAAGCAACACATACGAACAAGAATACATGACACTTTTTATGGATAGCAACTTATTTTGTTCTTTCTCTTGATGTTCAGAGCTACATCTTTCTCCTTGATCAGGAAAAAGAGCAAGAAGTAGCTCTGAAATGTTGTAGCGAAGAAAAAAGAAGTTGTTTTCCATAAAAAGAGTCATGTATTCATGTTCTTCCAACTTCTACGTGCCCATCAAAGACTTTAAATATGAACAAGTTACCATTTCAACAGTTTTTATTTTTACATGTAAATTTTAGATATGACATCACTATACATTACCATATAGTAAAAGTGTGTGTGTTTTGCCTGGCGTAAATTAGTTTGCTACAATACCTTTAAGTGGAATGTTGGTCACTGACACTCTCTGTATCTGAAAGTATGAAGGATCATGAATACAGGTTTGTAAGGTGTGAGTGAGTTGGTCAACACCACAGAAGTACAGTTATTTCCTAGTGTGTCAACTTCATGTGGGATGAAAGCCAGAAGTGGGGCAGGCCGTAGATGTTTACCAGTTCAGGCATTGTGCTAACAAACATAGAAACATAATCAGGGTTAATCTGGAATTCAAACCAATGATCACAGGTTCCTGCATGTCAAAGGGACACAACTCTGAACTGATCCACCCCTGTGATTTTTGCTAATGACCAAAGTAATGCTTTATATAGAAGGACATAGCTCACCTTGAGTAACAGTCAACATTATCTTAGATGATAACTGATAACATTAAACACATATTGATACAAAACTTGAAAAAGTGAATGTTCACAGGGTTGAAAACAAACGCTCAAATCAGATGACAGTCTTTACTAGTAAAGACTGTCAGGATCAAACTCATTAAAACCAGATCTTAGTTCTCTACCAGTAAATAAAGATCTGAGGACATCCCATTACTACCCACTTCAGAACGACCTTTCATCCCACCAATCAGAGCCTCATTTGCCATATCAGGAAAGTGATAGTCGGAATGTGTTTTCTAATCATGCAAAATCGAAACAATTTAACATGTGGTATTCATCCAATCCATTTAGTCGCCTTGTACAACCAGCAAAGATTACTGGGGACATAGAACTTGAGTTATCAAGTCTTTCCTCTCTAGTGTGTGGCAGTATTTGATTACTTTTAACCTCCCTCTCATGCTCAATAGGCCACTGTTTCATAAGCATTGCATGTGCAGTGAACCTGTTAATCATCTGGAATTATGCATTTCCAGAACAACGAATCATTGGTATGGTGTAGTTCCACTGTATACATACATACAAGTGTAACCAACAAGATTTCAATGTACATAGTTCACACAACCTACCTTCCCTCGGACTACTTCATAGATGCAGGCCTGTGCCACTGTGTCCCCCTTTGAAGACAGAGCTTGTTCCACGGTGTAGATCTTGTGGGGTTGGATAGCACTGACACACAAGCAGAACTCTCACTACACATCTCAACAACAGTCAACAGTCATAAATCACCACTGTCAATCCATTTTACACCAAGGTAAAACACAACCAGTTCATGTATTTACAGATGGTATCTGAACTGAACCTTATTTTCCTCAAACATAGAGATATGACAATCATCATTGGGAGAAAAGGTACAGGTAATCGATGTGATGATAGTGAGAATATGCGGGAAACACCCATCTGTGCATAAAAATAGTCTTGTCCGACATTGCCAAGGTCGGATTCTATTGAGGGAGTCATCATTATTAAATTACGGGTAAATATTTTTGTATGTATTTCATCATTATCCTAAAGAGTCTGTACATAATGTTGATACCTTATATAAGAAATAAACTCGTGGTATGATAAACAACTCCCACTCATCGTTTATTTCTTAATTAAACATTCCGTTTAAGTCATCATTTCAAGAAACTTTACACAGCATCAGCAAAGCATAGGTTGACTTTTGACATTGACATGTGTATTGTGTATGTTAGATTACTTCCAACCTGTAACCCAGCATACACGACACCCAACTCACCTGAATGCAGCATGCACAGGGTCACATTCAGTCTTGGTGTATGTCAACACATCAGGGTTGGGGCTGTAACACGACCAAAACCAGCAATGTGACATGATCAACAGTCGAGGCATTGTAGCAGTATTTGGTTGTTTTTCTTAAATATTTCTTCGTTTTCTTGTTGTTATCACCGCAGTCAGCAATATTCCAGCTATATGACGGCAGTCTGTAAATAATCAAGTCTGGATCAAATAATCAAGTGACTGATATGAGCATGGATCTACGCATTTGGGATACGAGGACATGCATCAACTAAGACAGCAAGTCTGACCACCGGATCCTGTTAGTCGTCTCTTACGACAAGCACAGTCGCCTTTTACAGCAAGCGTAGGTTGCTGAATATGTATTCTAACCCGGATTTTCATAGGTAGCTTTTCTCAAATAAATTGATTTGGAGTACATGACTTGACTTGGACGCATTAGCATGAATCAGTTTTACATAAAATTGAGGAGGGGGGGTAGGGTAGGGGATGTTTCAGCAAAATATGATACGTAAGACCAATCTCTCACCACCACCCCCCAATAATAAATCACCAGTCCTTTATTTTCACATTTTTCACATTTTTATCTGAGTTCTGCCTTCCTGGGGACGCCTTCGCTCCTAGCAAGGCGCCCCAGGTGCCGCTCCGCATTTTGTCCTCCTTGGCGCACGAGGTCATCGATCCTCTGCTTTCGGGTGCTCGCAGGAAGTTCGACCTGCCCAAACTTATTAAGCGGTACCCGTTAGCAGAGGACGGTGATTTCGAGGTTCGACAAATGCGTCTGGACTTCTGTCACCCTGGGGGGGTCTTCGACCCCCACCTTGGCTAAGGCCAAGCAGGGCCAGCGGTTGCCCCCCTTTCCCATGTGAGTGCGGAGCTGAAGGCTGCATACGTTTGCTTCGAGGAGCAGGAGCAATACCGTAATGCATGCCAACAGCTTCGCATATCCGTACACTCCGCCTATCTGTCTGCAGTACAGAGGGAGCTGGTGGGGGAGGGGCCGGCTGACTCCTCGGAGTTGGCTGCGCAACTGACGGAAGTTCATAGTCATCTCACGCGGGACACTATTCGTAGCTGTGCCTCGCAGATGATGTGCGCGGCCATGGGCATGCGCAGGCTGTGGATGTCGGTGTCTAAATACTCAGCGACATTCATGCAATGTCAGCCGATCCCGAAGTAACTGTCTTCCACCGTGAGTCCGTATTCGGCTGCTGGACTCTTACCGTCCTAAGGTCGCACACGCCTTCCACGTGACGGCTCCTATTGAGCTACTTGCTCTTTTACAGCCTTCCTCGTCGGGGACCACTGCAAGACATGCTCATGTCTTTGATGTCTGCAGGACCCTCAAGTCCTATATCAGCAGAACTAAGGGTATCCATAAGGATAACCATCTATTTTGCTGTTACGGCGGTAGGAAGGCTGGTTCACCTGCGAGCAAACAATCTATCTCGAGGTGGATAGTTTCAACCATTAAACTATCCACCTCGCTTAAAGGCAGGGACCCCCCTACCAGGTTGAAGGCTCATTCAGTTAGAGCAGTGGCTACGTCACAAGGGTACGCCGCAGCTCTACCCATTGAGGAGATCTGCTCCACGGCTATTTGGAGCCAGCCAAGCACGTTCATCAAACATTACAAACTCGACAAACACTCAAGCGAGCGTGCTCATTTTGGTCAGTCAGTTGGGGGGGTGTTTCGAGTTCTCGAATTATGATAAGCCACACATTACTGGCTATTTCATAGTATATGGTCGACCACGCCCTGTCTCTAGCCCCCGCCTCTCGACGGTGGTGCCTCACGATAAGGTTGGTTCATTTATTGAACTCTTTTTTATTCATTGAATAATCAGAATATGATGTATTTATGCACGCTTGTTGCTGACGGATGCCACTTCCTAGATTATCTTTAGGAGTCTTTCTTGTTGCAATAAGTGACCCAAGGAGGATTTAATCTGAAAGAGAATTTTACAAACCTGTAGAGGTTATGAATTCTCTGATGAAATCCTCCTTGGGGCTTGGCCACCCACCTCCCCACATTCCGTCAGCATTAGACATATGGAAAGTGATTTGGGTGAGAGTTACTCCCCCTGGCGCGGGGCGCCGTGGAAGGTGAGGCACTGTAAAGGTGGTCGTATATCATACAAAAACGAAGGAAAAATGGTGACAACTATGTCATGTAGATTTTCTTGAGCAAGAAAAATGCAATAAGTGCCCCAAGGAGGATTTCATCAGAGAATTCATAACCTCTACAGGTTTGTAAAAATTTAGATTGTAGCACAATCTGAAAATGATATTATAAATGGTATATTTATATATCAGTACTTATCCTGTCTCACAATATGCACATATTCTTTCCTTGCATTCATATGTGGAACCGTGCTTGAACAAACTTTCCAGCTTCTAATAAACAATTCACCTGAACACATCCCAGCATCACCATGGTTACCATCCATCAACCAGGCCACATATGTGATCCCATGCACATCAACCTTACACGACCTGGTCATCTGTCCATCTCTGCCAACTCATTCTCTTTTGTCAGAGCTATCAGGTGCGGGGATAGTCGGGTGGGCATATAGCGTATAAGTATAAGATACCACCTTTAATTTGTAAATATACAATTTGTACTAAAATTTCCCAATCTTCAACATCATCATTTAAAATAAACTGTCAGATACTGCATCATTGATGACAGATAAAATTGGTATCTGTGATACTGTGGCAGCAGCAACTGAAAGGGAGACAAAAGTCCCGCCAGATGAACCAGCAGACGTCTTCGCCGGCTTGAACTCCTTACCAGAGTCTTTAGACTTTGACCGACAATCCATCTCCCTGCGGTGACACTTGAGGAGATAAGTTGAGAATGCAGACTCCTGCAGGTGATGGCACTTGCCATGAGAAAAAGAGTGTGTTGGCAGAGACGGACATGTGATCAGGTCGTGTAAGGTTGATGTGGACGAGATCACATACATGGCCTGGTTGTTGGATAGTAACCATGATGGGATCTGTTCAGGGGAAATGTGTTCAGGAAGCTGGAAAGTTTCAAGCACGTTTCCACATAGGAGTGTAAGGTTAGAAGAAATGCGCATTGTGTGACAGTTTTAAAATATGTGCCGTTAATGGTTTGTATCACAGTGTACCAGTCATACTGTGCAGTCTTAATAAATTATGATACAATGAACATGATGAATTTGGAGAAAGTGTTTATTGTCTATGCAGCATCCAAATGCATAGAGAAGATATCTTTTTGTTAACATGGTGAATTAAAACATACATGTGTAGTTTCTTATGGAGATTTCAAACTGTTTATTCAAACAGTTTCTTAACTTTCTTAGAGTACCTAGATGCTGCTACTCCTACACGCCATCACTGTATGTGCAAAGACTGTTCAGTATACGTACCCATTGACAGACATAACCATAAGGTTTGCCCGCTCTCTATCCCCAGACATAGGGGTCCACGGCCACGCCTCATCACTTGACTTGTACCACCACACCAGCAACTGAAACAGTCAAATACAAGGCATCTTGGAACAGAAGAAGAATCTCAGTTTCAAAATACATATCAGCATGAAAATATTGACTTTCTTCATTCTCAAAAGAACCCTGAGAATTTATAATCCATACATTAATATCAGACAAAGGACATGAATAATTTTCAATAACTCTGACTGAAAATTATAATTTTCGCTTCACACTGATTAGCTAATTGTCTAATGTTTCCTTGTGTATTGTTTGGCGACAACATCCAATAGTGTACAAGATGAAGGTGATGATGTAACAGTAACTTGACTTTGTCAACTCTCTTCCATGATTGGACCGCCTCAGTGGTCTAGCGGCGGAGCGTCTGCCTGGAGAGCGGACGGTCGGTTCGATCCCTGACCGTGTAGTACCAAAAGCCGTTAAAAGATGGTACTTGTTGTTACCTTGTCTGGCGCTCGGCATTAAAGGGCTAAACCAAGGACTGGTCAGCTTGGAGTCAGTATACTGTGTCTGAGTGAGTGAGTGAGTATGGTTTTACACCGCTTTTAGCAATATTCACACATTGTACCCATATCGGGAATCGAACCCGGGTCTTCCATGACTAACACACTCCACACTTTCTTTAAGGTTATGTGTGGAATAGCCTACCCATTACTGGGATATTCTGTCCCTTGGGAATTAATGTTAAAAGATTTCGGACTTACAACACTAATTCATGTGTGTAATTCTTTGAAGACTGATTGTATTTTATGAACACACATTCACTAAAAACGCTAAAAACAAAAAGCAATCAGTCCCTACCAGATCATTGTGGATGTTGCTTGAGAAACGTCTCTCCAGTCTTCTGCCCTTGGGGCCTGGAAGGTCCAACTGAATGGACTGAAATATGTGAAATTGTCAAACAGTCAAAGTATTGACTTTCTTATCACTCTCTCCTGTTATATTATGGTATATAGCACATAAAAATAATCTATTGGCCATGTTGATATGGAATTTTTAATATGAAACTGGGGCTTTAACACTGCCTGCTATTCACAACTGAAGCATAAACTGCAGAAGAGTTGTTGAACAATCATTCAACTGTGTTCATTCCAGCAAACAGTCCAAGATATGATTCATATAGATTGTCTGAAAGTCCACTATAGGCTGAAAAAACATTTATTGCTGAAAAATATAAATCATAAGAAAACATTCAAACCTGTTTGATATTTAGGGCATGATTAACAATGATTGTGAAAAGGTGAAATCAAATAAATTTTTATATATGAAATTAAATGGAAAAGACTATTGTAGGTGTGACAATAAAAGATTTATTTCACTATTACAATGATACTTCAACCTGCCATTGTCGTATTACCATCAGACTATTGGGCCATGGACAATTGCAATAGTTTCATCAACTGTTAGATGAGACCTTGAGGACAATATACTTGACCATGACCCTGTGTTAGAGAAACTGCCACCCACCTTTGGTTCCCAGGTGGCCAGCTTGTCAATACGTTTGGCTGCCTCAGTGAGGGGAGGGCGCTTAGTGAAGTGGGCGTAGTCCAGCTTACAGCAGTCATAGTGACATGCCACCAGGAACTGGTCAGTTAGATACACTGGTGATGAAGAGAATATACATAACAGCACATGAATGATAAAAGAATACAAAATGTTCAAACTGTAAGATTAAACACAATACAGTATACTACGGTTATAACGAACTCCAAGGGACTGCTAATTCTAGTTTATGACCGAAGTTCGTTCTAAGCATATATGCAGCAGATGACCAGGACATAAAAAACAGTTTGCTATATCTGTCAGTTCGTTATAAGTGTGTTTGTTATAAATATAGTTTACTGTACTATAATATTGATTAATATTGAAAACTGTAAGGTGTATACATGTATTTATCCTCACCTTCAACCAGGTCGGCCTTGATGTTCATTTCCAAGTGGATTAACAATCCTTGCCACATTAATCATATAGTGAGTGAGTGAGTGAGTGAGTGAGTGAGTGAGTGAGTGAGTGAGTGAGTGAGTGAGTGAGTGAGTGAGTGAGTGAGTGAGTGAGTGAGTGAGTGAGCTGGGCTTAACGTCACTTTGAACAGTATTCAGTTATATCACTGCGTGTCAGCTTAATGGTTGATGAAAGCCTGCGTGATGCAAGTCTCGGACATTTACAACTTTGGTGAAACCCATGAGCATGGCTATGATGCTGAAAAACCTTTAAACATAATCAGGTTGACCAGGATTGAAACCTACAATCATAGGTTTCTTGCATGCTTAAGGGATGCAACTCTACATTGCACATAGCAGGGCCTTGGACAACTGGGTCACCCTCCTCAATCTCATAAAGTGTATCTAACCTAGTTTATGATCCTGCTAAACAGCTGTGTATGTGCATCTGGATTAACCACTCATATCAGTAAATGTCCACCATCAAGCCTCCAGTTCTAACTCAATGGATAGGGAGGATATTCATAATAAAACAAATACATGTAAAGTAAGAAGAACACACTTGTTTTACTCTCAACACAAGCGAGAATCACCAACACCGCATACCCACCATCTGAGATAGTTTCCGAGTTAAACTTGGCCACCATCGATTTGTCGATGATGATTTTCTCCACATCCCCCGAGTGACCGGTCAGAACGAATGTCAGGACACAGCAGTTGCTCAACACCAACTACACACAAACAAAGCCATAAAAACATGGTGGTCTTGCTGGGAAAAACACAACAATACAGAGTAATCTTTTACAGTGTTGCATGGCAGGTCCAGGAAGGGGATGGGGGGTGTTAAATTCTCTTGTTTTATTGAAATGCAAGTGTATATTGACAAGTAGAGAACCTCAACCACAATTTACATCTTCCTGAGGCAAGAGAGTTAACTGTCCTTAGAAATCCACCCTTGCCGAACTCGGCTGAAATTTCTGGGCTCAATCGTAGCACCACCAGTGGCTATAACGACTTATGTGTCCCTTCTATATCCCTCCTATTGACCAATCGGATTCCACATCTCATATCACTTGCATTTGCTTCAAACAAAATGATGGCACCCAGTCAAGGCGATCTCATCGATAATAAAGATCTTTATTGTAGTCAAACAGATTTTACCTCGCGAAGTGCATCAAGAGCACCTTCATTAAAAACATGAAAACATTTGGAAACATCTGTTGACGCCCAGTAGTACCAGAGTACTACTGCTCTGAAAATCCTGCAGTCAAAGGAAGTCAGCACAGCAGTTGCCATGTTGTTTATGAACCGGTTGTTTTTGCCTCGGAAGGATGAAGATGTATTACCACTATATCATCCATGTACTCATGCCATGAGTAACATGCCATACCTGCAACACCCTTCTGTTCTTCCACCTGACTTGAACACATTTAAACTGACTCAGAAGGTCCTACAAAACAATAACATGGCTCAAGTTAATATTTAACATGCTTAAAGAGAGACAAACTTAGAACAAAGACATATCATTTCTGTGAAACTAGTATGTGATGGTACATGTCATCAATTTAGATTTTGTGATTGAAAACGTAACAAAAATATTAACAATATTTGTTAATCAAAGCTCTGTGCAACCATCTTCAGAATATATAATTACCATTAACGTCTTACATATTCTAACAGTGTAATAGTTTGATCTGCAATGTTTACAAAGCACAAGAAACATGTAATGAGTTACCTCAACCTCCTTTAAATTGTCTCTTATTTTTTCTGGCCGCTTGTTTCGAGGAGACCAAATCATGTCCCTGGCTGTAATGATAACAAAATACCACCATCACCAATCACTGTCCACCTGTCAATTTGATGATGATGATGATGATGATCATCATCTGATTTGTGGCCTTTTAAGTTAGATCTTGTCAAGTACAAAAATTCATTTTCTGGCAACTCAAGGCTCCCACAATATTTAGCAACTCAATCATTAACTGGTTATCGGTGATCATATAGTGGCTGTGAGAAAGGTGGCATTAATATTTACCTTCAGTAAACTGTTGCTTCTCTTCATAATACGGCTGCTCCAGAAAGTTGACTGAATCACAAGAAACATAATGTACTTCATATAACCATGCATCTTCCCGCGGCAAACGTGTTAACTGACTTTATAAGAAAGTCCAGTGGAAACTTGACTTTCTTATAAAGTCAGTTAACAGCTTTGCCGCGGGAAGATGATAACCATGATAACATGCACAAATATCAACTTTACTACTGCAGTCTAGTGGTTAAAAATTACCCTCATCACTGTGAAGGCTCGGGTTTAATTCCTCAAATAGGTACTATGTGAAGCCCATTCCTGGTTTCCCCTGGAACGATATTGCTGGAATATTGCTGAAAGTGGCGTAAAATCATACTTACTCCCTACTGCAGTCGTATGGCTGAAACAATGTCCATCCAACATACAAGTGTTTTCAACTCACGTCTATGATTTTAACAACTTTTAATAGGGCATTCTTTTGTATGATTACCAAACTAAAAAACAATCAAATTGTGGACGGCAATTACTCAGTGTCACAGTAAAAGAACCAATCTGAAACACTGGCAATTTTTATCATGTTTATTTGTAGGTTTAAAGATTTTTGGGTCAATGGTCAAAAAGAAATACAATAAACATCAGACCTTTAAATCTTGGCTCTGTTTCGTAAACAAATAGAGCTGGTAAGGTGAGGGAGAAAGCAGTAAATTGTCTTCTTCCACTTTGGTATTTATGTAAAACTATGACAGGTGATATATTTTCTATTGCATTTTACATGAGACAGAAACATACTGTAAATTAATGCATCTCCAAAAGAATGCGACCGCTGGCCCCTAGCCAAAAATGCGACTCAATATGAATGCGACACCCCCTTCTCTCAAGCATCAGTGGATTTATATCTAAACAAAACGTCCTCTGTCAGGTTTAAAGGAGAATCCTCACCTTAATGCAACCTTACATTAATCCAATCACACACCAAATAGCCCTGTTTATTAGCGCTGAGTAGAGTACTTCAGCTAAAACAATACGTGCGCGCTGGCTTATGTCGGCCTTTGATACAGTCGCAAAGAGCAAAGACACCGTGTTGGGTGGCGTCTGTCTGGACTTGCAGGTGGGATAAGTGATGACATGAGTAAGTAGAACGCTTGTCTTCACCCCAGCAGTATCAATTCACAGGATGTAATTAGTGTTTGAATGACATTGTTTATGTACTTGTTACAAGTGCTGCTCAATAAACATTGATGTGGAATATATATAGTTGTTTGTTTTCAGCGTATGTCTAAGTATGTCCAAAATGTCTTATTGTTGATATAAATGCGATGTTTAATAATGCGAGCAAAGACCAATCGCATTTTTCGCATTTAATTCACGCTCGCGTTAATTTCACGTTTTACAGTATATGCTTGGCAGCGTTAGAAATTGGCACTAGTCCTGTAGTCCTTGCCAAACTGCCCAATAGTTAAGGTATCCTAAGGACTAGTAGAAATTTGCAATTTTTAAGGATTTTGCTATATGTTATCATTACAAGGACTAGTGGACTAAAAGTGTTAGTTTCTACCGCTGCTTGGAGTACCAGTGAACCAATCAATAGTATTGACTACATGTCAAACTTTGAGCATGTTCAGCAAAAATATTATCAGACTCGGTGGTAAAAACTTCAAACTGCAATTTTGTTTCCACATTCCTGATTTTGAAGGGGAATCTGTAGACCAGAATAATAACAAGTTGTTTTTGTTGAAATTTTTGTTTAAAATTGCACTCAGCATTTTTCCATCCTTATAACATGGCCCTTAAACATGGTAAATCATTGAGCCTTGACCAGACAATCCATTAATTGATATTGCCAGCAAGAATCACAATCCACTGATTGATATTATGAGCAAGGATCATAATCCATTGATTGATATTGTGAGCAAGGATCACAATCCAATGATTGATATGGTGAGTAAGGATCAGTGTTGTCAATGTACGTTTACATGCAGTCAAGGAAGTCACCTAGCCTATCCACCTGACAAGTCACAGACCAGCATCAGGGATTTATCTAGACCAGCTCAGAGGTCGATATTCGGCCCCAAGTTTGTAAAACAAATTCCAAATTTGAATTTTAAATTTTTCTCAGAATGTATGAAAATTAGAACATTACAAAAATCCAATTTTGAACAATATCCTGATGTTTTCCAAATTTACCTGACAAGAGCACCAAATGAGAACGATGAATTGCAAAATATAGTAAACTACGGCTATAACGAACTAGAGGGGACTACTAATTTTAGTTCGTAATAACTATAGTTCATTATAAGCATACATGCAGCATATATACAACAAATGGTCGGGACTAAAAAATAAGTTTGTTATATCCGTCAGTTTGTTGTGTGTTTGTTATAAACGTAGTATACTGTAACACAAAATCTGGAATAGTCTATTAAGTGTCAATACGGTACATGTCAATGAATACCCTGTACCTAACAATATCTGCTGTTTGTTATTTTTATTCCCATCACTGGAAAAAAATTGTTTAAGAAACTATCATGTTGTTATGTGTACAAGTTGACATCTTGAACAGAGGGGGTAACAACGCTAGGAGGAACAGATCATTTACTACGTAACAGTCATTATCATCATTATTGACATACGCCATGGGGCCATGCATCATACAATGATACAAGTAGCCATTGATACATAACAATATAGCTCAGTAACGGAACATGTACGCAAAAAGGCCTACCGGTTTTTGCTTGCGAGACGGGTGCACTCTGCACTACGCAGAGTGACAAGCCCACTCAAGTGCCCCCCAGCGAGTGTGATTACTTAACTTTGTTATATTATTTAAATAGATAACAATGACAAGTTTTTTGGATACATGCAGATATCCGTTTTCCATGGACAGGCAGTAACGCCCTCCCAGGTAGTCACTTATACAGGTAACCAGGACCTGTGTCGTGTACACGTAACATCCTCTACTAGCTACCTTGCTCTCCTTTATCATGATAGACATGGCACCCAATTGCTCCATCTGCAAAGAAAGAAAAGGTCAATCAGTTACTTACTGTGTCACAGCCAAAGAAATCAATTAAAAAAACAACAAGTTCACACTTCTATAACTTCTTTGAGTGGCATTTAGAAGTTGGTGTGATGAAGTAAGACGAGTTCTATGGATGAACAACTTCTTTATTACAATTACTGCGACGTTTCGGTGTAGATCCTAACACAAGACCTCAGAACAAAAAAATGACTCAAAATCAGCCATCTCCGACCACACCCAAACCCAACCCGATCACAACATCCAGTGGAACAACATCAAGATCCTGGCCAACAACCAATCACACTACAAAATCAGGAAACTCCTAGAAGCCATCTACATCAAAGGATCCAGCCAACAATGAACAGACCAAGGCTATTACATCCCGCCTGCTTACCATCACCTAATTGCTAAATCCCTTTGTCCATCCAATTAATCCAGTGGCCTCCTTCATCTCCATCAGTCTGCTTGTTTACTCTGCTTGTATACTCTGTGTTCATTAGTCATCCACTGGCTTCCAATTATTTTAATCACCTCTCTGTGTCCATCACTAGTCACTGTATAAACTTACATGTCAATATCTATATATATACCTATGTTGTTTAGCCCTATCAGACTATCACTCACCCAACAGGCCAACAAACATATAGACATAAACACGGCCAAAATCCAAACCAAAAAACCCACACCGCAAGAATACAAACCACTACTACCAACACCACCCCCAAACAACAACACTCACGCACGCAAAACAGTATACCCAGTCTCCGTATGGGACCAAAATCAGCGAGACGCATACATTGCAAATGAAACAAACACCCCACACATCCCACAAACCCACACTCCCACCCTCCCCGCCTCTCACCCTACAATTACCACATCTACACCCGCAAGCAAAACCCAACGCACAACGACCACCACACAACCAGCACCAACACAAGCCATCACAGCCACAAGGGCAACAACACTCCAAAACCTACAGGCACCCCCGGAACATCCAGTCAACAGGGAAACTACAGAAACCACTCAGACTCTCACACCCAAACCCAGCATGCAACCCACCACCGAACAGAGTGACCAAACTAAAGATAACTTAACCGAAGAGGACGAGTACACATCCTCAGAGGAAATAAACGATCTTACCTTGTCAGCCCCAAAAACCAAAAGCTATAGAAAAAAACTCACCCAAAACGTAGCAAGCAAAAAACTAAACAACTTAGTCCTCCTACTAGCTTACATGTTAAAGCAGTCTAATCCAGAAGCCAGCTCCAAAGCCTTCTTTGGTGTAGCACATAAACTAAAACTCGTCACCACCTCTTTCGACCGTTTCAGCAGCAACCTTAATAACCTACTAAAGTAAATAAACCAAGCCTAAACCAAACATAAATCCACCCAGTTTCCCAATGGAAGGCCTAAACATTTTTCAATGGAATGCCAATGGCCTCGCCGGCCATGGTTCTGAACTTAAAGCTAAATTCAAAATAGATAAAGGTCCCCATGTAGCTTGTATTCAAGAAACCAAATTCTCACATAAAACTAAATTCAACCTACCAAATTATAACGCAGTGAGAACCGACAGGTCCAAAACCATCCCAGGCAGAACAGGAGGAGGTCTAATCATCTACGTTAGAGAGGATATAAACTACGAGGAAGTTAAAGTAAACACTCCTAATCTAAAAGCTAATGGAATCCAAGTCACCATCAATAACCAAAAAATAAAAATCATTAACATCTATCACTCAACACTAAAACCAATTAAAGATACAGACCTAGATATCCTTTACCAATTAGGAAATAAATCAACCATCTTCCTAGGAGACTTCAATGCCCATCATCCTACCTGGGGCATTGCAGATAAACTAGACAACCATGGACAACTAATATCAGAGTGGATCGAAAAAAATGACCTAATACTATTAAACAATAACCAACCAACTAGATACGACAAAATCCACCACACCATGTCGGCTATTGACTTAACAATATGTACGCCAGACTTAGCACAAAGTCTGATGTGGGACGTCCACCCAGTACCTCTAGGCAGCGACCACTTTCCCATAAATATAACCCTAGGAAATATAAAAATACCAAATCAAACCCCTAAACAGGAACCTAAATTTCAGTACAAAAACGCCAACTGGGACCAATTCCAAGAATTATGCAACGAAGCTAATCTAAACGATTTAGAAACAACAGACCCCGAAACATTCTGTCAAAACCTAACTAACTTCATAATCAACGCAGCCAAATCCGCAATCCCCTTCAAATCATCCAACCCAGGAAAACCCACTGTCCCTTGGTGGAATGAGGAAATAGAGCTAACTAGATTAAAACGCAAATCAGCTTTCAACAGAGCTAAACGAGACCCCTCTCATCTCAAAACAGCTCATGAACTAAACCACCAAGTCCAAAACCTAGTTAAAACTGCTAAAACCAAAAACTGGAAAAAATTCTGTGAGGAGCTAAACCACCACACCGACGCTAGGAAGGTGTGGCGCAAAATTCACGCCATCCGAGGCATCGAACGGCACAAAAAAAGCCCCAATATAAACAACTCAACTAACCCCACCCAAAAGGCCAACAACCTAGCCAAACACTTCTCTAAAGTTAGTAGCAACAGTAACTTCAGCAAGAAATTCCAAGATAAACTAAATAAAGAAATAAAATTCTCCAAAGAAATCAGACAAGACAACCTAGAAATAAATCAACCTTACACCATAGAAGAACTAAATCACGTACTAAACAATAGAAAAAAAGGAACAGCCCCTGGCCTAGACCTCACCTCTTACCAAATAATCAAACACTTACCTACCAAACTACTCCAAACTTTACTTAAACTGTACAACCTAGTTTACCTAAACGGACAGGTCCCATCCTCATGGAAGGAAGCTCTAGTAATCCCAATACCTAAACCAAATAAACCAGCAGATCAGGCAAACTCCTATAGGCCCATATCCCTAACCTCAAATCTCTGCAAAATAATGGAACTTATGACTAAAAATAGGCTACAGCACTACCTAGACCAAAACAACATCATAAACCCCGACCAAAGCGGCTTCACTCCTGGCCGATCATCTCTCGATAACCTTGCCCGACTAGAACAGGATATAAAAACAGGACAGCTAAACAAGCAATACACCATAGGCATATTCCTCGACTTCTCTAAAGCTTTCGATATGGTATGGCACCATGGGCTAATACAAAAACTAAAAAAAATAGGACTAAAAGGCCAAATAATAAACTTCATCCAAGATTTCCTAAGCAATCGCAAAATTACCGTGGGTATAGACCATACGCTATCAGACCAGTGTCCCCTAGAAAATGGCACTCCCCAGGGCAGCATTCTCAGCCCAACCCTCTTCAATATAATGATAAATGATCTATTCGAGGGCTTATCCCCTAAACTAAACACTTCAAAATTCGCGGATGATGGAGCCCTATGGATCCGCACTAAAAGCATTAAAATGGCAGAAAACTTAATCCAAAAATCTCTAAATAAAATACAACAATGGGCAGACAAATGGGGCTTCTCCCTTAACTCAGATAAAACAACAGGAGTAGTATTCAAACATAAAAACATGAAACCTGCCTACCCAATCCTCCAGCTAAACAACCAAACAATCAAATTTCAAAAACAAACCAAATTCTTAGGACTTATTTTCGATCAACACCTCACCTGGGAGGCTCACGTCCAAAACCTAAAAACTAGATGCAGCAAAGACCTTAACACATTAAGATGTCTCACCGGCTCTAACCTCCTCTCACTATATACAACACTAATTAGATCAAAACTAGACTACGGCTGCGCCATATACAATACCCTAAACAACTCTCTATCTAAAAAACTTGACTCAATACAATACCAAGCCCTTAAACTAATTACACGCACCCAACATGGCACCTCCTACACCTCACTTCAGGCCCTTACAGGAGAAATGCCACTAAATCTACGCAGGGAACATCTAAGCCTTAATTTCTGGGCCGCGTCCCAAACAAACCCTCTCATCCAAAACCTAATTAACCAAAACATTAGCCCAAGAAACCAAGCTCTAGCTCGCAAACACCCCTTACTCACCCCAATATCCCAAAGAATAACTAACTACCTCAATGAACACCAAACTCAAAATCTTAAACAAAACTGCAAAAAATCAAATATCTTCACCCCTAAACTCAAAATACCCCAAATAGACACAACGCTAACTAACCAAATAAATAAACAAACCGACCCAAACATAGCTAAAACCACCACACTTTCATACATACACGAAAATTGGCCAAATTGGTGTCACATATACACTGACGGATCTTCAGACCCGATCTCCAACCACACAGGTTTCGGAGTCCATACCACACAACCAGTTATATCCACACATTCTTACCGACTCCCTAACAACCAATCTATATTCACGGCCGAACTTATGGGCATGGCCTCAGCCGTGCATAACCAACAATCAAAAAACAACAAAAAAATCCTAATTCTCACTGACTCGCTTAGTGGACTACAAGCCCTCCAAAACAAAAATACCAAAAAACGACCTAAATTAATAAACCAAATACTTCAAAGCTCCAACGACCTAACAAAAGCAGGCAAACAAATAACCTTCTTGTGGATCCCCTCCCATGTAGGAATTTACGGCAACGAAAGCGCCGATAAAGCAGCTAAATTATCTCTCAAAATACCAGAAATAAGCCTAAACCTACCCATCTCAAAATCAGAAATTAAAAGTGTAAACAAACAAAAAATAACCAAAAAATGGCATAATCAATATCAAAACTCAAATAGCCAAATCCAAAAAGTGCTCAGAAAACCACTAGCCAAACCTAAAATCCTACACCCCTCTAAAAAAATTGACAGATTAATTACAAAACTCCAAACAGGACACACAAACCTAAATAACCACCTAAAACAACTTAAAAGACACACCACGGGCAACTGCCCCCACAGCAAACAACCCGAAACCACAGAACACGCACTCATCCACTGCACCCACTACCAAACACACAGAACCACACTACAAACCACCCTCAATCTAAATAAGGTTCCTACTCTAGATGAAATACTAAACCCTCAAAATAAACTAGAAAACTTCAAGGCCCTAGGCGTATTCCTAATCAAAACAGGCCTAATTAAGCGCATCTAAAAACTAATTAATCTACCAATCCAAAATCCAATAAACATACAAACACCCACCTCACCCGGCTCCCTTAGTTCCCTCCTCCACCCACCTCGGCAATTATTCCAAATTTTAAAATTTCAAAAAATCGATATAAGCAACCCCTAAAAGCCCCCTCTTGTGTTGCACACACCACTTTCAACCTTCTCGGAATACACTAAATGGTCTGGCCAGGCCCGTGTGCGAAATACGCTGCAGTCGGAAAGCGCACGTTAAATCTTCTATATCAGTCAGTCAGTCAGTAGCCCTATCCATCACTTGCTTGATAAAGGTGTTAGGATCTACACCGAAACGTCGCACTAATTGTAATAAAGAAGTTGTTCATCCATAGAACTCGTCTTACTTCTTCACACTTCTATGTCTTAAATTTCCAGATTATGAATATATAATGTTAAAAAACCAACACATGTATTTAGCCTCAGGTGGGCAGCAACTGCCTATAAATATGCCCAATTCTTGGTAATATCCTCAGGATAGCCGGGAGTTAAACAAATAGTTTTGGAATTTGAGTTATATCGGAAGAGGTGAGGTGAGGTGAAATGGGGTTGAACGTCGCGTCCAAGATTATTGCACTTATATAGCGACGTGCATGCACGTGTATGTATGTTGTATCGGAAGACCCCTGATGAATTCATTGCATTAAGTCATATTGCTAGTTTCGAGTATGCAGTCACAGTGGTAATACCCAAGGATCTCCAAAATGTACTTAGAACTTGGGGAAGCATTCTTCACACACTTCTGCCAGCTAAAATATAAGTACGTGGAATTTCCATTTATTTTCACTCTTTGCACCATTTTTCCCCTGACATTTCTTTATCAGTAATGAGATTACTGCCCAGGTGAGTGAGTGAGTATGGTCTTACGCCGCTTTTAGCAATATTACAGCAATATCACGGCGGGGGACACCAGAAATGGGCTTCACACATTGTACCCATGTTGGGAATCTAACCCAGGTCTTCGGCGTGACGAGCAAACGTTTTAACCTCTAGGCTACCTGACTGACCCTTACTACCCAGGGTCTGCTCTTTCCACAGATACCATACTGTTAGGGGTTTTCCACATTGATCTTGAACTGTAAGGGGTTACTGATAGACAGTCACCGAAAATTTGTATTTCTTTCATAACTTCAAATGGCTATAAAGTCATTATTTTGGTAGTTTTGATTTATTTTAATGACACTGTTGAATGCACATTTCCAAGAGCTTTCTATATATCAATAATACATGGTATGGTTTCCAAAAGGGGTCACATCACCAGCCCCTAATGTATTATTCTTGGAAATTATGTCTGGACCCGGTATGGACATGAAGAGGATATACTGAGGTATTTATTATGATGATCATAGTTATAACCATGATAACGAATGTTATTGTTTTTCAGATTTCACTGGCAACAGGAACAACAAAGAGGAAGAAACCTTAATGCTTTGCCTTATATTGTTGCATTGAATGCAAAATATTCACTGAACATTGCTGAACGTAAGAAAACATTAAAAACATCACAAATTTTAACCAAATAATTATTTTTTTCCCACTTGGATTGCCAATGAGTTTGAATCCTAACATCCCAGATATTTATAGTCTTTCCAACAGTAAATATCCAGACGTCAGGCTTTCCGACATTGGACTAAAAGAGGTTTCATTGTAATTCTGATTAGAAACTGTGCCAATACTGACCATGATGGCATCATCATGAGTAGTACAAACTTACATTATCTAGGGCATAAACACTAGCTGATCAGTCACTAAACATTTAAAAGTCACAACTGTAAGCGAACAGTATTGAACAATCTCAATTAGCACACATCTTACAACGGATCATACCACATAAAACAATAGTAATGCTTAGTGAATTGGCAGTGACAGCGCTACTTGCACTTAAACCTGAAACAGATTCTATTCTTTACTAGACATATTCTTGATATTGTTTAGCATCTATGTTCTGTGAATTATTTGAATATCAAGCCAAGCGAGGAACTATGTATATATATATGCCATGTGTGCACTATGTTGATTTAGCGATGATACAACACAACATTCATAAAAACGAAGTCCAACATAATTAATATTATCATTATAACTTCTATAGAATTTACCTGGTATTGAGTAATGATTTTTCAGAGACCAGAGAAACAGCTCACTCAGACAAGTCACCATTGAAACTGAAATAACATCTGTCTGTCATAAATAGATCCAAACACAGAAGGATACGGGTGTAAATAAGAAGAGCAAATCAGATCCTCCTTAAGTCATAGCAGAGACCATATAATAGATCTCTGGTATCAACGATGTTCATGTATGGTAATTTCACCATATTTTCTAATTCTACAAATTGTAGCATCATAAATATTACTCTCGTAATTTAACTTTACAATTGTCATGCACTTAACCCTCAAAATGTAACTACTTCGGGAGTACACATTCAGTCAATGCGTGTCCTGATCACAGACTAAATTATCTTCTTGTATGTTTTTGACATGTTTGTGTTCAGTTTGTTGACAATTTTACTCGGGAAAGTCAAGAAAATAGCAAATATGCCACAGGCAGTAAACTAGAAGCCCTAGAAGTTAATGTAAAACAGATGGAATCGTACACGTGGTTGTTAAAATAAAAAAACAGCGATTCTTCTGAGGTCGCAAACTAATCTGCAAAACTTCAGAATTTTGTCGGCTCAAAATCGGAAGTAAACAAACTAATATCGACGCATGCGCAAACGTGACGCCCAATGTTAAAATCCGGAACGATATATATTAACCGGATCGAGTAAGCCATTCGGCAAAGGCTGGTTCCCGTTCGTTGACCGAGCTGAGGATCCGGGAACCAGTCTAGCATATAGTTGGTGATTTTCATGTGTAATGTGTAAAGGGATGACCACGATAATTTATTTGATTTACCGAAATCAGTTTGCGCAGAGACTAAGATGGTTTGCGGTAGTGGACTCGAAACAAAAAAAACAAAAACAACTAATTTTAAGTAGAGTTAATATATCAGGCCATATATTATTGTTAGGCACCACCCCTAGATCTAGTTTACGAAAAAAGTTCAGAATTAATTTTGATCAGAGGTAGATCTTAGTAGGTAGATTTTCAGCTGGTTTCTTTGACATCTAATTTGACATGACTATGTATTCCACATGATGCAATGGTGAGCTCCACGGATCTACATTCGTCACCACTCGCATCTTTCCGTAACGTATTCGTTAGACTGGGTTCCGGTCTACCTAAACAGTTTACAATCTTGGCGCAAGTTGACGACGCGCATAGGGAGCCGGGAACCAGCTTATGGCCTGACTTGGTCACGATTGTTCCATCTAATGTTCTTATTCATTGGTCCATTTTCAGGATACGATCCAATCAAAATGCGTTTTACAACTTGCGACAGCTGCCCGTCCTTGACCTTACCACATCACTCAGCCGGCGGTAGTGAATCAACATTAGAGAGAAGCGTGGTCTCGTGGATAAAGTAAACGTCCAGAATGGTAGGCATTTACCATTGTTCCGAAAGTTATTAGTCTTCGACATACCCTTTTCCAAGTGTCGCATTTCATCTGGTTCTCTTTGAATGTCTAGGAATCAGTGTTGTCTCGTTGCATAGTGACCTTGACAGTCCTCCAAGTATGTGCAGTTAAGTCACACACAGCTGATCGCCACTTCATGACCTCATGACAAAGCAGTACTGATGCCTACAGCCTCCCTAATTCACCCATGCTTCACTATTATTGTTTGCCGTCACTATGTTGTTCTCGCTTAGGGCTGTGTTTAATTTGTGTGAAAAGGTAACTTGAATTTGTTTTGTGGGGGGCGGGGTGGGGGCTAAGGAGGGGCACCGGTCGTCTTCGGTGTTGCAGTGATGAGTGAAAGATCTTTATTATTGTTCTCTCATGACAGTTGCAGAGAGTGGCAAGCAGCTTTTCTTCTTTGGAATCCTGAAAGGAATCATGTATAAAATGATGTCCTGTGTTCATTCAAGTTGACCAACATGAAGTGCCTTTTGGGCCTACCAGTAACAATAAAGTTGGGGCATTTTGAAAAACACCAGTCGTTTCAATAGGGGAACCAGAAACCACTTTATGATCCTCACTCTCATTTGAGGGTGCTTTGTAAGAAATACTAAAACCTTTTTGGCTGTTGAATTTGATTTCTTGAATGCACATTCAAATTTGCGGAGCACCTTTGGAATACAGTATCCTCGTGTCATGGAAGTTTGATCACTTAAGAAAAGTCGCTGAATATTCATAATAATATTCATATGATCTATTTTTCAAATATCTTACCTCTAAACTTGTTTATTTATGACAAACATTTCTGAAATCCAGATATTTCCACTCAAATTGACACTCGCGGCATCATCACCCTCTCACTGTCAACAGAAGTGACCCAGAAAGCTACGTAACACAAGTTTGATCATTTGATTGGCTCGCTTGTCACATAACCGAGATGACATGTCTTGTGTCAAAATCCGAATTAGAACAGTCCACAGTTGTTTTATGATATCTTTGTCCATAAAACGTTCATTTTATGTTTTAATATTGAAAAAACCCAATGTAAAGTCACAAATATCCAGCTTATTTACAAGGTTGATACAGGTAGTTATTCTTCAGGCTCATGGTGACAGGGGCACCAAAACTCAGAATGTTGACGCACAACACGAACTGGCATGCAGATACGTTTATGTGTCAAGTGCTGACATGTAGGGTGGGTACATTGTGCCCAGGTTGTAATTATTAATGAGACACTAGCCCCAACCTCATCAGGTACAAATTGGATGTATTTGTAGCAGAGTTCGTCATCACTTGTCACATCACTATCGTACGAATCAAAACTATGATGCGCGTTGGTCCGTGAAGTTCCAGAAGTACTTGCATTCTTCGCAGTGACAGTATATTTTTTTTGAAGTTTTACATGGTTTAGGTGCTTGATTTCTGTTTTTGGGTGCCGATTTCACAGTCTGATGGGAAACAATTATGTTCAGAATGACATCCTTGGTGATGGCCTTGCCCCCGACAATAGCGCTCAGAACCTTTCTCTTTTTAGTAGACACAGCTTTCTAGAAAAGTACAGTCTTCTTGTCTTTAAAGAATCCTACTACATCATTGCCCTCAGTATGTGAAGTGACATCCTTGTCTCCAACTGACACACTTGAATCAATAATACCAGTATCAGGATGCAGTGAATGTTCAATCTTTAGGGGCATTGGGGTAGCCTAGTGGTTAAAGCGTTCGCTCGTCACGCCAAAGACTCGGATTTGATTCCCCACATGGGTACAATGTGTGAAGCCCATTTCTCGGTCTCCCCCACCCTCATATTTTTGGAATATTACTAAAAGTGGCGTAAAACCAAACTCACTGAATCACTCAACTGACTTAAAAACTTTTGATGGCGCAAAGTTGATATTGGCGGTGGTAGACTTGTCAAATGGGTTGACTCCACATGTCCTGAAAGAGGATTGCAAATTTTCTGGTGTCAGCAACAGGTTTATAAGCTCTACAGCCAAGTTCACAAACAGAATGTTTATTTACTGAAAATGTAGCATTTTCTCACATATACGTATGACGGAGGTTGTACATTTTAGCAAAAAAGGTCCAAAGCAACCAACATCCAATGGCTGTAAAACATGGGACGTGTGTGCAGGCAGTACAAACAAAATAATGTGATGCTTATGTGCCTATTCGATCAGTGGAATAGATACATCAGATCTATCGCTATCGTACACAAAAAGAAGTGGACTTTCTTCAGAATATGAGCTATAATTTGAATTTAGTAACTTGACATGAAGCATTTTCTGGTCCAAGCGAACGAAAGTTGTGTTCCCAGAAGATCAAAGCTGTAGGTACCGTAATTTCTCATTACATATTGCAAGAATTAACATTCAAAATTGCCGATCAAAGTTACATGTCGATCAAACTTGTGTGACTTGACGATACCACAACTTCTCGGAGAAGAAAATGAAAATGGATGAACAGACAGACAGACCAGATGATGACTATATACCCCTGCATTATGTGCCAGGGGGATTAAAAGTGGTCAGTCCGGGATATTTTGCCCAATGTGAGAACTAGGCTATTTCATGTATGTGAGGTATTGAAACAAAGCTCCTTACATCGTTCTTTCATTTGATATGCTATAAATTGAGAGTGGAGTGTATTGAAGGTCTCGCTCACTTTTGTGTCATAAAATAAAGCATGTTGAGGTATACAAGTTTCCTTTGAGTTAGGACCATGCACCCAACTGCCATATTTGGGTGATAATACTTTCATCATTCGTGAAAATGACATGATACTGCACAATAGAATGAACACGCATAAAGCATGTCAAGCATAAACATGATACAAGGCCTATTCAGGGATCTTCTAAATATTTAGATTTTTTAACCAACTTTGTTCATTACCATCCAATCTTGAGCATGGTGAGGTAAGACTTGCTGAGAAGTCTTAGCTTTGTACAGACTTTTCTATCACTAGTATCAGATGTTTATCATGTTATTTGGCTTCAAATACATAGCTACAGATTCATCCTATTTTATGGGGCGGTCGGGTAGCCTAGTGGTTAAAGCGTTCGCTCGTCACGCCGAAGACCCGGGTTCGATTCCCGACATGGGTACAATGTGTGAAGCCCATTTCTGGTGTCCCCCGCCGTGATATTGCTGGAATATTGCTAAAAGCGGCGTAAAATCAAACTCACTCACTCACTCATCCTATTTTATACGCCTCCAGTGACGTCATCCTATTGTTATCGAGTCGGGTTATGTCTCATAAAGAGGGTTATATAACTTATAGTATTGTCGGGATCTTATATAATATCCTTGAGATGTTATTAATACATCTGTATAAATTGTAACATATGAATGTTCCTTGCTAGAAATTTATTTTGCATTTGAACACAATGTAATGAAATGTAAAAAAAAATGACAAATGTTTTCTTTATCACATGTTTATATTCCCATGGATCGTATAAGTAGTTCATATCTGCAGCCCAGTGAGCAGGTGAGTGTACCACTAGGCTACAGACACTCTGATAAATCTCAATGCTATTAAGAATTTTCTTTTTGTGGTACCTGTACGCCAGCAACAGATATTTTACATCTATTTCCTAAGCTTCATGCACAGTATGTTTTAGGGGTGTCACATTGCTATTGGTAAAGTCAATAAATCAATTGTTAAATCAGTTTCCTATCAATAGTATCGATTTCAGTTAGGAATATCGATATTTTCGATTGTGTTTACCATAGTTTTACGCTTTCAATAAAATACATGCAATGCTGTTCACATTTGTTTTTGAGTGGTAGTAATTTACACATGGTAACATGGAAGTATCTTTTTCTTAAATTATTATGATAAAGAAAAAACAAATCAGTCATATCGCAAACTTTACCTTTTATTTGTTGTTATGGTTATCACATTCAAAGGTTACTTCAGCTCCAAGGTTTAATTCAACTCTAAAATCCATCTAAAATGATACACTGAAAACTATCGATGTTTATCGCAATAGTTGCTTGCAATATCAATAGTTATCACAATAGTTTCTTTCAATATCAATAGTTATCGCAATAGTTTCTTTCAATATCTATAGTTATGGCAATAGTGATATTCAGACCAATAGTCACCCCATGTATGTTTGAAACATAAAAATGTTAACAAATGTTGTTTTAACATGTTTAAGTTTCTTACTAATAAGTTGACTCCCCTTGGTTTTATTCCTTGTTTCAGGTCTTAAATCTCATAGGGCGGTCGGGTAGCCTAGTGGTTAAAGCATTCGCTCGTCACGCCGAAGACCCGGGTTCGATTCCCGACATGGGTACAATGTGTGAAGCCCATTTCTGGTGTCCCCCGCCGTGATATTGCTGGAATATTGCTAAAAGCGGCGTAAAACCAAACTCACTCACTCACTCACTTAAATCTCATAAAAACTCTGACGTGCTTTATCCCACACATTCTGATTATGCAAGTCCAGTGCTGATCTGTTTTGGCCGTCACAAGCAGTGTCTAGGTGCACATTTATCTTCAACTGTGTGTACTCCATCAGTTGTCAAAGAAGCCTCAATTGGCTCCACAGAGTTGTGTTCTATGAGTGTGCCAGATATCCTGGTCATGGGTTTGAATCCTGGTTCATGCAGACTAGGTTTGTCAGCACCATACCCATTGTTCTGGGTTTCTCCTATGTCTGAGACCGGCATCACTTTGACTTTTTCTCCCACATCAAGCTGATGCGATGTGATATAGCTGAAAATACTGTTTTAAGCGATATTAATCACTTCTTTATCATGTTTATGTTAAACATGTTGATATTGAAAATGTATCTTTCCTGTCCTGATTATCGTTATCAGGATTCTAAAACATGTATATGTCAACTTTGTCCCCTGCTCTGCAACCATGGCAACTCTTTCCTGTTTTCTGGTTCATTATGGTTTTTACAATTACAGTAAACCATGGTTAAAACGAACTCAAAGGGACCACAAATTTTAGTTCGTTGTAGCCGTAGTTCGTTATCTGCATATATACAGCATAACTACAGCAAATAGTTGGGACAAAAAAGTAAGTTCGTTATATCCGTCAGTTCATTATAAGCGTCTTTGTTATAACTGTAGTTTACTGTAAACATATATTGGTATACTTGTAAACATTGATAATGGCATTTGTGATTCATTTTAGGTGAAACTTTAATCCGTAGTTTCTAGTGGAACATACATCATGTACTCTATTAATCATGTCAACTATTATAACATATTGTATGGTCTGTATAACAATGTCATTAGTTGTAACCATGATCAGTGTTCCTGCTGGCTTTTGAAACTGCCATTCCCAGTTGTCGTGCAACTTTAAAAAACACCAGTTGCCCCTAATTTTTTATCAGTCCCAAAATAAAAAAAATATAAGATTGCCTGATTTTAATTCTTTCAACATCATGTTCAATGCAGTTGGTCAATATGTTCAATGTTTTGGTCAACAAGAATAGTTTATTTGCCTGTCCACAGGTGCTGATATTCACATGAATTACCAAGCCTAGTTTTGTCTGTAAAAAACTGGTAATTACTTTTAAATCGGAACATTGATAATAACACAACATTAGGTTAGTGTGGCCATGTCAACAGTATGATAAATCGTTAGGTCAGTCTAACCATGTCATCAGTATGATAAATCGTTAGGTCAGTCTTACCATGTCAACGGTATGATAAAAGTTAGGTCAGTCTAACCATGTCAACATTAGGTCAGTCTAACCAAATGACAATTGATGTTGTTTTACAGTCGGAAACTCTGAAAGTCTTGGTGACTGGCGCCGCAGGGCAGATTGCCTACTCCCTTGTCATTGCCATAGCCAGAGGAGAGGTGTTTGGAACAAACCAGGTGAGATGTAATGGCTAAATATTGCATGGCTGTGTTATATGTGTAACTTATGCCATGTGTAGCACTGGGAAATAGTTCTAAATCTGACTAGATTTCATCAGTGATCATGCATACTATTACTAAGTTATCATTAATATGCTTTTGTTTGTTTGTTTGTAGTTTAACTCGCCCTCAGCAATATTGCAGCTATATGACAGAAATTTGTAAATAATTGAGTTGGGACTAGACAATCCAGTGATTGATATCATGAGCATCGATCCACACAATTGGTCCAGACTTGATTATTTACAGACCACCGTCATATAGCTGATATATTGGTGAGTGCGGTGTTAAACAACAAACAACAAACAACCAGCAACAACAAGTCGGCCGTGCCCTGTACAAACTGACAAATATGATGATGTGTTTCCAGGCTCTGGATCTTGTTCTGTTGGACATCGCGCCCATGATGGGCGTGCTCAATGGAGTGGTGATGGAACTGCAGGACTGTGCTCTCCCTCTTCTCAAAAGTGAGCATTGGGTTGTGGTCTGTCTGTTACCATAGTTACTCTCTTGTTTAGGTCTACTGTTTGTTTTCTATAGTGTAAAGACGTATCAGCATGTATTCACTGCAGCCTTGGTTTTCCAGCTTATTGTTATATTCTTGGTTTTCCCAAACCTCACTTTTGACAGTCAAATTTCAAACCTGTCACGTGTTTGTCCTTGGTGTAATTGCAGGTGTGATTCCCACCTGTGATGAGAGTGTTGCCTTCAAGGACGTCGATGTTGCATGTCTTGTGGGCTCCATGCCACGGAGAGAGGGAATGGAACGCAAGGATCTCCTCGCCGCCAATGTCAAGATCTTCAAGACACAAGGCAACTCATTGGACAAGTATTCAAAAAAATCTGTGAAGGTACTGACTAATGCAGTGTTCAACATTTAATAAATAAAATTTTGAACTGTATCACAGTTTGTTTCCAAATGTGCTTTCCGAATCCCTACATCTGGTCTGACAGACCAGAAGCTAGACTAGTGTCGACAATATGGCAGGCACTGTGACTGTATGCATTTACTTTTGTCAATGTTTGGAATATTGGGGGCCCTTGAGGTTTACTCATAAGAGTATTGCAATCAGGGGACCCCTGTATCTTCTCCGTTTACATTGAAGTTGTGACCCCTCGACTTTCATGCTTAATTTCAAGACTGATTCATCATGTTCATAATGATAGGCCTTCCTGTATGCATTCAAATGGCAGACTCGGTATGCTTTTATTTACCTTCAAGCATAGTGTTCAACCCTTAATCATTTACCGTTGTTAACTCTGAAAGTGTCTGGCACAGCATATATTTACCGTCACAGTGGCCATGGTAGCTGGCACTAAATAGGTTTACTTTCACAGTGGCAGGCCCTGTATGTATATTTACCCCCACAGCGGCATGCCCTGTATGTATATTTACCCTCACAGTAGTAGGCCCTGAATGCATATTAACCCCCTCATTGGCAGGCCCTGTATGTATATTTACCCTCACAGTGGTAGGCCCTATAGTATATTTACCCTCACAGTGGTAGGCCCTGTATGTATATATACCCTCACAGTGGCAGGCCCTGTATATATATATACCCTCACAGTAGTAGGCCCTGAATGCATATTAACCCCCTCATTGGCAGACCCTGTATGTATATTTACCCTCACAGTGGCAGGCCCTGTATGTATATTTACCCTCACAGTGGTAGGCCCTATAGTATATTTACCCTCACAGTGGTAGGCCCTGTATGTATATTTACCCTCACAGTGGCAGGCCCTGTATGTATATTTACCCTCACAGTAGTAGGCCCTGAATGCATATTAACCCCCTCATTGGCAGGCCCTGTATGTATATTTACCCTCACAGTGGCAGGCCCTGTATGTATATTTACCCTCACAGTGGTAGGCCCTATAGTATATTTACCCTCACAGTGGTAGGCCCTGTATGTATATTTACCCTCACAGTGGCAGGCCCTGAATGTATATCTACCCTCACAGTGGCAGGCCCTGTATATATATATACCCTCACAGTGGCAGGCCCTGTATGTATATTTACCCTCACAGTGGCAGGCCCTGTATGTATATTTACCCTCACAGTTGTAGGCCCTGTATGTATATTTACCCTCACAGTGGCAGGCCCTGTATGTATATTTACCCTCACAGTGGTAGGCCCTATAGTATATTTACCCTCACAGTGGTAGGCCCTGTATGTATATTTACCCTCACAGTGGCAGGCCCTGTATGTATATTTACCCTCACAGTAGTAGGCCCTGAATGCATATTAACCCCCTCATTGGCAGGCCCTGTATGTATATTTACCCTCACAGTGGCAGGCCCTGTATGTATATTTACCCTCACAGTGGTAGGCCCTATAGTATATTTACCCTCACAGTGGTAGGCCCTGTATGTATATTTACCCTCACAGTGGCAGGCCCTGAATGTATATCTACCCTCACAGTGGCAGGCCCTGTATATATATATACCCTCACAGTGGCAGGCCCTGTATGTATATTTACCCTCACAGTGGCAGGCCCTGTATGTATATTTACCCTCACAGTTGTAGGCCCTGTATGTATATTTACCCTCACAGTGGCAGGCCCTGTATGTATATTTACCCCCACAGTGGCAGGCCCTGTATGTATATTTACCCTCACAGCGGCAGGCCCTGTATGTATATTTACCCTCACAGTGGCAGGCCCTGTATGTATATTTACCCTCACAGTGGCAGACCCTGTATGTATATTTACCCTCACAGTGGCAGGCCCTGTATGTATATTTACCCTCACAGTGGCAGGCCCTGTATGTATATTTACCCTCACAGTGGCAGGCCCTGTATGTATATTACCCTCACAGTGGCAGGCCCTATATGTATATTTACCCTCACAGCGGCAGGCCCTGTATGTATATTTACCCTCACAGCGGCAGGCCCTATATGTATATTTACCCCCACAGTGGCAGGCCCTGTATGTATATTAACCCTCACAGTGGTAGGCCCTGTATGTATATTTACCCCCACAGTGGCAGGCCCTGAATGTATATTAACCCTGCCAGTGGCAGGCGCTGTATGTTTATTTACCCTCACAGTGGCAGGCCATGTATGTATATTTACCCTCACAGTGGTAGGCCCTGTATGTATATTTACCCTCACAGTGGCAGGCCATGTATGTATATTACCCTCACAGTGGCAGGCCCTATATGTATATTTACCCTCACAGCGGCAGGCCCTGTATGTATATTTACCCTCACAGCGGCAGGCCCTATATGTATATTTACCCTCACAGTGGTAGGCCCTGTATGTATATTTACCCCCACAGCGGCAGGCCCTATATGTATATTTACCCCCACAGTGGCAGGCCCTGTATGTATATTTACCCCCACAGTGGCAGGCCCTGAATGTATATTAACCCTCACAGTGGCAGGCGCTGTATGTTTATTTACCCTCACAGTGGCAGGCCCGGAATGCATATTCCCCCTCACAGCGGCAGGCCCTTTATGTATTTTTACCCCCACAGCAGCAGGCCCTGAATATATATTTACGCTCACAGTGGTAGGCCCTGTACAGTATATTGCCATGTATAAAGCGACCCCACGTATAAGACGACCCCCCTGTACAAGCCTTTAGAATCGATGCTAATCTATATACCCCGTCTATAAAGCAAATCGAAATGAAGCACGTCACCAGCGCATACACAATCCCTACATGGCAATAAAAACGTGTTTGTCTTCTGCAGAAAAAAATTACATTCCCCTTCAGCAAATTCAGGGAAACGAACAGATCATAACAAATAAACTTGGTCAATACAAATTTAAAAGTTGAGATAAAGAAAACACTAGACATGATCATTTAATGATTATATTGTATTTCCTGTTCCGATAGGCATTGTTTTATATGCAGAGATTTAGATTACTGTGTGTATTTTCTCGTAAACTAAGCCGGAAGTAGCAATCAGCTGTACACACATTTCTCGGAATATATTGGTGATTCGGTGAATAATTACTCAATAATATAATTCTAAAGAATTTTGATACAATAATCGAAAGAATTGAATCTGAAACTATTATTTTATTCAGAATAATTTATTCCAATATCATGTAATTTTAGTGCTATTTTACTATATATATATATTTGAAATAGATTAATAACCATAAGCGTAGCACTTTGGTACAGCTGATCGCTATTGCCGGATATTTTTTTGTATGGAACAATTTGACCAATCACCTCCGATGCTTCCACGCTTGCAATAGTGAAAACTTTATGTTGACATATAATAGTCAAACTCCAACAAATATGACATTCAGCGAGTCAAATTATGGCATTTATGATATACATATCCATTCTCTCTCCACTCAAGTTCATTTCGAGGCGCCAATCTTCCAATCACTTCACATATGACTTTGACAAAATGAAAATAAACAATATTGAATGAAATGCCGAAACTTTTAATAAAATTAATCAAATAGATTACAAAGGTAAGTCCAAATATACAATGAACTGTTTTTATAACCAGACAGTGTAATTACATGATTAGTTTGCGTACTTCATTACGGATTTGTTGACATGGTATTTCTGGTGTTACTTGCTCACAGTTATGTCTGTGTTAGGGGCAAAAACATCAAAACTCTTCAACCCTGTGTATAAGACAACCCCCCTTGAAAGCCCCCTAATTCTGATTCTCAAGTTTATATACTATTACATGAAGGTGATTTTGTCATGTTTTATTTTCAGGTAGTGGTTGTAGGTAACCCAGCCAACACAAACGCATTAATCTGTTCTAAATATGCTCCATCCATCCCGAAAGAGAACTTTTCCTGCCTGACCAGACTGGACCAGAACAGAGCCCAGTCACAGGTATGTGGGTCATCTCCAGTTCCGGGGCACGTATTGACTCTTCATGGACTGATTACACTTCGTGGTGACCATGTGACTGGTTGTTTTCTGATATCTAATCAATTTGACATGTTCGAAACAAGTTTGCTCATAATTATCCCCCGCCGCGCGAAAGCGCGAAGCGGGGGATATAGTATTCACGACCGTCCGTCCGTACGTCCGTCCGTCCGTCCGTACGTCCCACCTGTTTGTTGCCGCGATATCTCAAGAACTAAACACTGGATTGTCTTCATATTTGGAACTATAGTGTATATACAGACTCCGCAGACACCAGTCGGTTTTGGTGACCTTGATCCCATTTTCAAGGTCACAGCAGACAAATCTGCTTTTGGAGTTGGAAAACGGTGTTGCCGCGATATCTCAAGAACTAAACACTGGATTGTCTTCATATTTGGAACTATGGTGTATATACAGACTCCGCAGACACCAGTCGGTTTTGGTGACCTTGATCCCATTTTCAAGGTCACGGCAGACAAATCTGCTTTTAGAGTTGGAAAACAGTGTTGCCGCGATATCTCAAGAACTAAACACTGGATTGTCTTCATATTTGGAACTATGGTGTATATACAGACTCCGCAGACACCAGTCGGTTTTGGTGACCTTGACCCCATTGTCAAGGTCACAGCAGGCAAATCTGCTTTTGGAGTTAGAAAACGGTGTTGCCGCGATATCTCAAGAACTAATCGCTGGATTGTCTTCATATTTGGAACTATAGTGTATATACAGACACCGCATACACCTGTCAGATTTGGTGACCTTGACCCCATTTTCAAGGTCACAGCAGGCAAATCTGTTTTTGGAGTTGGAAAACGGTGTTGCCACAATATCTCAAGAACTAATTGCTGGATTGTCTTCATATTTGGTACTATGGTGTACAGGCGGGGGATATTTCGTCACTCTGTGACAAATACTTGTTCTTCCTTACACTCCCAGTTCCAGGGCACGTATTGACTCTTCATGGACTGATTACACTTCGTGGTGACAATGTGACTGGTTGTTTCCTGATATCTAATCAATTTGAAATGTTCGAAACAAGATTGCTCATAATTCTTCCTTACACTTTCTTTGACTATGAATCAACTCGCTTGTCCAGCCAAACTGTTACTCCAGAATTCCAGCCTCGTTCGGCAGGGTGGAAACTGGACGTTAACATTCGGTTTACTCCCTTGCCTAGGGAGGATGCTCCAGAACAGAAATAATCACTTGATTTTTCACTCAGACCAGCTCTTGTTTCCTGCAACTATTTACTGATCCCTGAACATGAAAGGACTGTGTAGCTTTATACTAATCAGTCTTCTATAAAGCACAGGATAGGTAAGGTTAGATGTGGTTAACAGTGCATTCAAGATTATTTTACTCAGATGTAAGCTGTCAGTTTTATAGCGCTAGCCCACTGAGATACCATGCTGCAGTTTAACATGAATATCCCACTCAGACACAGTATACTAACTCTGAGCTGACCAGTCTTGTTTTAGCCCATTAATGCAGAGCGTCATTTGGTATGACATAGCTGGGGACTGAACCAATGACCTTTCTCTCATTGCCAACTCCCTGCTATAGACTGCATCTCGATTAACTTTTGCTTGTTTTCTATTAGAAGAGAGAAATATTTATCCCAAAATGAACGAATGAACATCACTTTCTGTTTAGACGATGGTGGTAACTGGTACAGTTGGTCAATGGAAAACTTCAATTTCTACGACACAACTGGCGGCCATTTTGTACTGTTCTGTACAACAACAACATCTTTATTTGCACATAAAATCTCCACGAAATGAGGCAAATGGCTGCCAACATTTAATCTCAGAGTGCAGGAAAAGATGTTTTAGGGGTGTGTTCTAAAGTTTTCTGAGCCCCCTGAGTAACTCAATCGCGGCCTTAAACATTTTTTGGGAGGGCCAGTTAGTTTGGAGAAGGGACAGGACTTTTAGGAGCAAGCCCTGCTGGCTACATACAAATCTGTTGTTAAATCTAACCCTGGTAATGTAATTGCAGTATGGTAACTATGAACATGATCACCATGGTCCAAGTTTATTTTGACTTGCATACTGTCAGTTTCAAATCTCTCTCTGCTTCCCTCATGTATCACCTGTTGTTCATGTAACGCCAGATCGCTGCCCGCGTGGGCGTTCAAGTGGCCGATGTCAGCAACGTCATCATCTGGGGCAACCACTCTTCCACGCAGTTCCCCGACATTGGCCAGGCCAAGGTCAAGGTACAGAACGAGGTGAAGGACGTACGAAGTGCTGTCAAAGATGACAACTGGCTCAACAATGAATTCATCCAGGTGACAAAACTCTGAATGTCTTGTAAAGAGATAATATTTTAAGTCTTGGATTCTAGGTGTCACTGCCACATTTATGTGATAAATATCCTTACGCTATGTTGTTAGAACATTCCCACAGACACACAACAGATTTAGTTGCACACCCTTCTCAACAGACAGGAGTACCTAGGATAACATGTTTATGTTTTTGGGGTGAATGCCACATTCAGCAATATTCCAGCTATATGGTGGCGGTCTGTAAATAATCGAGTTTGGACCAGACAATTCAGTGATTGACATCATAAGCACCGATCTACCCAATTGGAATTCGATGACACCTGACCACCTGATCCCATTAGTCGCCTCTTACAACCAGCAGTTTAGCTTTTTACGGCAAGCATGGGTTGCTGAAGACCTATTTTAACTTGGGGTCTGTACGGGTAAGGACGTAGAGCTATGATTGTTGAAGGTCAATGTTAAACTATTGAAGTTAAGATCGTTTCTGTGCTAAGATCGCTTTGTGGATTGAGGTTCAGTTATTTCCATATATTAATCTGTAAGTCAAGAAACAAGAAATGTCTGGCCTTGCATTTGTTGTTTTGTACAATCCAAGTGACGATGGGGTTTCTTCCACAACAGACGGTGCAGAAGCGAGGGGCCGCAGTCATAGCTGCCAGGAAGCTCTCCAGTGCGATGTCGGCTGCCAAGGCAATCTGTGACCACCTCCGAGACTGGTGGTTTGGCACCAAGGAGGTAAGACATGTTTTGAGCAAGGGATGAGTGACCATTTAAGCAATTTGCTCCACTACCTCGGGTAGGAACATTCCAATTATTGCTAGTAAGTTTAAATGTTCACACCGCGTCCACCGTTTCAGACGTATACCAAAGAGCACTCATTGCTGGTGAGCGGGGTTGTTGTGGGCATTTGAATCTGTTGTTATTATCTTTTTAGTATCTCCATTTGTTGTTGAAAATGCATACACCGCTGACAGGGTGTGTTTGTATCCAGACTGGCATCTGTAATGATACTTGAATGATCAAAGTCATACCTTTGCATATGGACCATATCCGTGGTCTAGTGGTAAAGCGAAGGTCAGGTGTTCGATCCCCGGCCCGCATCATATCAAAGACGTTAAAAGATGGTGCTTGTTTTAGCCCTCGGCATAAAGGGGCTAAAACAAGAACTTGTCGGCTCAGAATCAGTATTCTGTGTCTGAGTGAAGTGTTCATGTTAAACTGTGGCATGGTATCTCCGTGGGCTAGCACTATAAAATTGCCAATAGCCTGGACTAGTACAAGCAGCCACACACACACATGCAGGCACGTCGCTAAATAAGTGCAATAATCTTGAACGCGACATTAAACCCCATTTCACAGCACCTCACCTTTGCATCTGTGTTGTTCATCCCTTTCGGGCTTCCTCCCAAATTAAGCTGACACTCATATCTGACATATCTAAAATACTAAAAGCAAGCTTACTCATAAACTGGACATTAAATATTTTACAAAACCTGTTACGGCATGTTTAGATTGGGGCACCACAAATATGCTCCATGAAATTTCTATCAAGCAAAAGGTCACATATCTCCGTTGTGAAGCACATTTCCCATATGTCCTTTGTTGCAGGGCGCCATCACATCAATGGGGGTAATCTCTGATGGATCGTACGGGATCCAAGAGGGTCTTGTCTACAGTTTCCCAGTTACGATTGCTGCAGATAGGAGTTACACAATTGTTAAGGGTATTGCTATTGATGACTTTGCCCGAGAGAAGATGGACGCCACACAGAAGGAGCTTGTCGAGGAACGCGACATGGCCATCAGTGTCTGTCAAGATTGACTGTTCGGACCCAAACTATAGAATCTGTCTACTAACACTTCTTGTATTTAAGCCCTGGTGGTTGACCATCAGCTCTGTTCCAGGAATGGTATGTCTATAGGATTTATCTAGTTGTGATTGTCAAGTTTGCAGTCAGTGTCATTACAAATTCTCAAATTTTGAAAAAGATATGTGCCAGGCAAGGGCACCTAGTTTGGAATGCTAGATAAATCCCTGGTCCTACTTAACTGTGGATGAAAGCTGATGAGCAAATTAGAACATTAAAAAAGGCATTTTTGTAAATGTGTGTGTATGTATGTGAAACCAGTTCACACCACTGTGTTACTTACAGCATTACTTTAAATCTGTCGAGGTCATGACAAGGCTAGTCATTAAATTAAAACATTTGTAGTGGTTACAGTAACCCATTAATTTTGAATGTATATAGGTGTGATGTTTGGTTTGTGATCTCACATCGATACCTGGAATCATTGAAAGTGACGATGACGTTGATTGAAATATCAGGGCATAAATACTTGAACATACCATACAGAATGACCTGTATGCAATAAGAGATATAGTTTTATTGTGGTCATTTTATAATCCTTCTATTATATATCCAGCTTGTGAGTCAGGTGTTGAGCTGGGTTTATAGAGAGCTCAGAGTACCTTTCTGTTGATTTGTCCAAATGCTCATCTAGATCATTGTCAGTGCTATGAAATAAAACAGGAACCATATTTTTTGTCTCCTTTTTTATCCGCGGAAGAATGGGGGCTGGATATGGCAGTCAGCATGTCAGTCCGTTTTCCATTCCAGAGCAGACCACCTAAACCGTTGCATACTTCTTGTTAAAAGTCTTGTGGTGAAGTGAAGCCTTTTGATGATTTGGGATATTGAAAAATACCCAACAGCATTATTGTTTTTGTCACTGAACGGAAAGTATCCAATGAACCAATGTTGGCTGGAAGTAGCCATACTCCATTTTCGAATTGCACCAGCCTGGGGGGATGTTAGACTAACATTTAGTTGCGATGTTAGACTAACATTTAGTCTCTGAAATCTTATATTACACAATATCCTTCTTGACTCTAAAAATATAAAAAAATCCCTATGCTGATTTCAGATGGAATAGAGCTAATTTGAGCTGGCTACACTTGCTTTTGTATGCGTTTCTAGATTATTATTTTTTCATAAAATAAATATATTCCACGGTCACGGTGCAGGACTAGGGGGATGTCATCTCCTGATAATTTGTTGGTTTTGTTTCTAGATATATAAATACTTGCCCCTTGCTTGAAGGTTCATATGGGGCCCAGGTGGCATTCCAGAAGACTATGATCGTTGGTTCAAATCCCATATTTGCCCTGATTGACTATTGGTTAGTCAGAACCAAACCATGCTCCTTTATTCACTGAAGCAGCAAAACATCTTATGAACTGTAAGACCTGCATCACATTAGGCTTTCCTCTAACATTAAGCTGTCACACTGTAATATAACTGAAATGATGTTCAAACCCACATGAATCCCATCTCACTATCCCTGGCATGGTTGGGTCAGCAGTCCAAAGCATAACGCTGCTCTACAGAGTTGTGTCCCTAGCCAGGATCCTTTCGTCACAGATTTGGAAATGGAAAATGTATTATTTTCAGTGCGTTGTTCATGTGCCAGGCAGAATGACCAACAGGACACACAAATACTAGATGTGATTAAATTAAGCTGTTCAGTTTCATTTCAACTCAAAAGAGTACTGTGTTTCACAGACGAAATTTAGACAACATCCCGGCCATCATGTTCATGAATGATATAACACCTGACCCATTAAGATTATGTCCACATGGCACAATCAGACACATCGTGTCTTACAGAAGTAACCGGGTGACACACACTACACCAATGAAATCACCGGATCAATGATAATAATTCATCCGACTTATATTTCTTTTCAGAACTGTAATTCCTGCTTGTAATGTATTGTTTCATCATACTTTCAACATACCAGGTTGTGTTTTATCATGTATGATATTGAGGCTAATGGAAAGAATGTCTACTGTTGGGTGTCACATAACATCTCCACATGTATACCGTATTTCTACCAGACACGCACCCCAAGGACACTTTTATTTACCAATCCAATCCAATCCTCATATTACTGACATGTAGCTTTATTTGTTTGTTGTTTAACGCAGCACTCACCAATATTCCAGCTACGTGGCGGTGGTCTGTAAATAATCATGTCTGGACCAGACAATCCAGTGATTGACATCGTAAGCATCGATTAACGCAATTGGGATACGATGACATGCATCAACCAAGTCGAGTAGACATAAGGTAGACAAAACAGAACGGAAAAGCGAAAATGACTTATCATTATAACCCTGTGCCTTCCTTGCACATTAAGTGAAATACCAAGACAAGCTGACCATTAGGTTCCCTAGAACCCCACTGCTGGTTGAAAGAGGCGACACCTCCTACTGGTGTAGTGGATAGAGCGTCAGCCCCGAGAGCGGAAGGTGGTTCGATCATATGGTACTTGTTACGTAGCCTGGCGTTCTGCATTAAATTGACAAAGCGGACTAGTGGGATCAGTGTCAGTGCAATGTTTCTGAGTGGGGTATCCATGTTTAAGTGCGGCATGGTATATCAGTGGGCTCGCACTGAAAAGCCGTATTAGTCCGGACTAGTGCAAGCAGTCGCCGTGTAAATGCAATCAACTTGAATACGACCTTAAACCCCAACTCACCTCGCCTCGAAGTAACAGGTGACGTGATTGGTGTCCTCCCATCTACGGGTTAAAACAACATATGGTATGGTTGACTGCACCAACAACTACCTTTGTACTACCCACAATTAAAGTGGAATGATCCAAGAAACACAACATTACAACTTTCAATACTTTTAATAATATTTTAATACTCCTCAGCATAGCACATATCATCATCAATGACCTATAATTTGCAGTTTCACAATTAGTGATCAGTTGGATACAGATAACCAGCAGCATTCAGAAACTGAACACAGTTTTTCTGACCTACTTGAAGTTTGTCCCACAATCTGATGAGTCGGTTTTCCTTCTCGCGATACACTCGCTTTCTGCCTTGGGGAGCAGCACCAAAGTCAATTTGACGCATTTTGGCAGATTCAGACTTCTCAATCTGCTTGATCAGTTCAACAAAACGATAAATGTTTGGATGATGATGTGGCAGAGACTTGTTCAGTCGGTAGTGGAACCCACCAGATTATTGTTCGTGCGAGGTCCAATGTTTCGGTGGTGATTCCATAGAGGGGTGGGGAATCTAGCATCATCATCAACCCAAGTTGGCAGTAGGTTGTTGTCTGGCGATCGGGAAGAAGAGCAAACACCAAGCTGCAAAACAGTCAGCTGATCCAAAGAGGAAAAGACTAACACCTTTTCTTCGCCATCACCGTCAGCAAACAACAGGTATGGTTGGCCGTCAGCTGTCTCAGTCCACTTTCCCTCAAGTTCCACATCACCTCTTGCCAATGGGAGTGCTGGTATGGTGTGTCGTCTGTGCGGGTAAAGGGCACTGCTGAGACTTGCGTAGGATGGTAGATGGGGTACTACTTCAGGATCTTGTTGGGCAACTGCTTCCTGGTACAGGGTTGGCATCGGGGTGATCTCTTCTCTGGCCCTCTTCCTCATGATACTGACAAATCTAACTGTGTCAGGTTCTTGTGGGCCGTGGTTATGAGGAATGGTGTTCCTGACATAGTTTCCAACTGTTGTATTTCTACCACGGCAAGTTTTCATGACACACTTCCAGTGGATACAGTGTTCCTTTGTAGAGTTCTTGTTGTGAAGGTGACCTTGAAACAGTACCTGCTGTGTACCTCGCCTAGAAGTAACATAATCCACTTCAATCAATCCTGCCATGATAACAAGAGTGATATGCTAGAGTCTAAAACATAGACACTTTTATGTACTAGTTTGTGTTTTTTCACTAAATTGAGTAAACTCAATTTAACTCAGTAAAGAACAGTAAATAGTTTGAGATGAATCCTGTACTTGATTCCTAAAACATCATAGGTATTTATTTAAATAACATTAATTTGAATATTTGATTATCAAAGCCTGTCATGTATTATGTTCAAATAACTTCAATGTATATTACTTTAATAACATTCGTTTATGTTTTCATAAGAGAATAAACTAATCCCAAGCGTTCTAATTAGTGGACTAATCCATTTTGACCAAAGGGTATATGCCTATTGTTGTTTTAACTAACCCCTCATTTGCTGTATAACTATTGGGAGTATGACAAATTGGCGTATGACTAAAGGGACACGACTACGTGATTGGATAGGGCGGTGACTTCAATGATTGCCTGTCATATACCCCGATGTGGTGAATCGTTGCTAAAGTTTTCAATAAATAATTTCTCCCAAGAATATGCTTGGTAGAGCTAGTCTTCAGCAACTCATGCTTGTCCCCCGTGGAGAACCGTATTAGAATTGGTCTACAGCAACTCATGTTTGAACCCCGTGCAAGAATCGGTATTCAGCAACCCCTCCGTAATGTTGCTGGAATATTGCGTAAAGCGGCCTAAAATCATACTCACTCACTAGTTCATAACTGTTTGACATGATAAAATGCTTCTTTGACCTCTAGCAACTGTTGAGTAGTATGCCGTCGAATAACCAATTTGACATCCTGTCTTATCCGACAAAATCGTTTATCTCGGGACAGCCCCTCTATATACTCTTCATGAAAAGTCGAGGCTATTCAGAAATAACAGATGATCCGAGAAATACAAAGGGGTAGGTAATGGATGGATAGGAAAACGGAAGGATTGGGTGTAACATGACACTCAATGGGACATGTTAGCGGTGTATTGCAAGGGCGCAAACAACCCAGAAGCATGATAGAGGAGTGTAATAAAAGAATGAACGACGTCGTTTATGATGACTTGATCAATAATGGTCATGCCCCAAAGATTGGTCAAACATTCATTTATACGGCTTGGCATGGTCCGAATCAATCTCACAATGTTAATTTATCGGAGTCTTGCCCACTCCTCTTGGCGTCTGACTAGATTGGTAATGGTGGTACAAGACGTGGCCGCCCAGCAAGCAGACGATTTCTAATCGTCTGGTCAGTTACTTGTACTCTGGAAAACTGACGCAAGTGAACAGCGATTTGATTGGCTGATTGGGCTCGATTTCTTAAAGCCTTGTTTCTGATTAATCGATCCTGGACTTCTTTTCTTGACCCAGGGTGCCCTGTGCGGGGCCGATCATTAACATTTTGTGTCTGCGGAAACCTTTTTCAAAGTATGCAAATCACGGACTGAGACACATTGAATATGTAGCCAACTTTCAGTGAGTGTGGCATGCCAATAGTTCATCACGTTGTGTACGATGCATGTTTAATCTGATCACAAATACTGTCTTAAGGCAAGAGTTGAGAGCTTACGTGTCGCATGGGATAATGATAATCAACAACACTTAGTTGATGACCTTTCATTAAAGTGTCCCCTACTCACATACAATGAGGTGCTGCATGGCCAAGGTGAAATATTTCAGGTGCGTTGGCCTTGTTTCCGAGATCGTTCTATCGATCTCTGGCAGCCGTATTTTCAAAGATGATCTTCTGACGACCGATCATAACATTTATATTTCACGATCCCCTACATTTTTTTGGAGAGTATATAATTATAGATTTGGGGGAATTTCGTTGTTAACACCTTGGCTTGTCACAAGTGAATAAATGTGTTTGTTTGTTGTTTCCATGGACCTCGGACATATTCTAGTTACATCACGGCGGCGAGACGAACCAGTGACCGATATAGTGAGCACCGTCCCACGCCGTCGGGTATGATACGCAATCAGCCAAACATCGAGCCTGGCCAACCTACCATGTAGTTGCCTTGTAAACAAAGATTGCTGGAGTCACCAAAGGCCAGTGATCTGGCTCAGAAATTCAGAAATAGAGTAGAGTTGAGTCTCGTCGACAGCAGTTGTCATCGCTCACGTATTTCCATACCTTATAACGCTTGTCCCGAAATGGCAGGAGTTGGTCAAGAATGTCTTCGACAGGCCAAATACAAGCTCCTCACAGTTATAGCCCGTTCCCGGAGCTCTCATACTATCGCTGCAACACAGCTTCCAACTATGCTACCATACATGGAATTTAACTTGCAAGTGACTGACCGTTGTGTTCACGAACACGTTGTGACCCTCGAGACGCCGAATACTCTTCATCCAGCTAAATGGTCTTTGTTTCCCAACCCCTTCCTGGGCAAACGCCCCATTCACTAGACCACGGAGGCAGTTATCATAATTGTCAAATACGCGTAGAGTACATGGAAAAGGGAATGTTCTTACTGTCTCGCAAGGCACCATGTTTTGTTTTGGAAGCTGACAACCTGGTAATATTATTGTTTCTTATCAAACAAGATATGTATCTGGCAAGAAGGTATCTATGCAATGTCAGCATTACATTGGACATGCTGAATGCCAGCGAGTTCTGGCATTGAATTCTCGTATTGAATGGAACACTTTGCCATGGCGCGCAGACTATCACGATGTAGTCACTCCATGAAAGAGATCATGTATCCAGTCATAATACACTTGAACCACATTTATCGTGAGCATATGCTCCGGTCGTGAGAAGGAACAGTATTGAATAGACGTAAACATGTTGACTTTGTTATTGAACCCCATACAAGATTATTACTCATGGTTACCTGCCATCAAGAGTCCATGCGTTAAAGCTTCACTTATCTATACAATACACCCCCATTATCTACGCACCCTGCTTACGCAAACACAGACACGGGTCTTTTGTCCAGTTAGATATTTGTTGGAGAAATCTTTACAAAGTTTTAGGTTGTCACTGAAGTAGCAATCAAAAGCCTGTACATAAGTGCTGGTGCCGCTGTACAACATTCACCGTTCACCTGATATGTTCACAGAGTAACAGCAGCCATGAAGCTGTTGAAGGTAAGTCTATGTCTTTATAGATCGTCCATTCACCATCTTAAATACTTTCATCTTTCCCATCATGTCGAGCAATATTCCTGCAGCTCCAGCCCCTGGCGTCCACATTTCACAACGTAATTTGACGCACCAGTAACAAAAATTATGTCAGATGCAATTCCCTATTTGACTTGTACCCAATGTTCCCATGTTTTTTCATGTGAACTATTGACTTGCTTTTGCATGTGTTTATGACGGGTGCCGCTGGTGGGGCAGGATACGCTCACCTTTTCGCGATTACCAGGGATCATCACTGTCATAAACACACGCTGATGATATAGTCGGAATCGAACAATCGACTTTTGGTACAGATTTCTTATGAATATGGTAAAGGTTTTGTCACTGTCATTTTTTCTGTCAAGTATTCATTGTTTAGTAGAACGAAATTAAAACGTTGGCATACAGGACAACTGTCATTCCTCTATACAAAAAGGGGGACATATAGGTCTTTGTCACTGTTATAATGAATCAGTAAGGTTTTTGAGTTAATCGATTTCCAGAGATTGTATAATCATCTTATAGATCATAACCTACTGTGTAAATACCAATCACAATTTATACCAGGACACTCAAGTACTTTTACTGTTCACTTCCTTTCTACGTTAGTTCCATATTGACAAGGCAAAGCAATGACAAATGGTCATTCATGGAGTCAATATCGCTTCACGCCGTTTGTTATTCTCTTGAAATGTTTCGTTATAAAACTTTAAATTTCTCATTTAAATCGTCAACCGAGACTGTTCGTTTCGCAAAGCGCCATTTTAGATACTTGACCAGCGTGTTCTTTCGCTTCCAACAGCGGTCTCGTAGTTTTCAAGAATATTTTTGTTGCAGTCGATTTTGTATATAATCATATCTAAGTGTATGATACAGAATTTCTGTGGCCCTAAATACTTTTTGATACTTTTTTTCAGTTTTTTAAAGATTTTGGAAACACAAACTGCTTTTTAAGTCGCAAATACAAGGGTTGGTTAACCGTCGCTGTGGTGAGGTAGAGATAATTTACGTTTCACGGTTTTCAATTTGTCATGAAATAATTACATTTTCCGGTAGACAATTACACACAAAGTATATAATAACTAGGATAGTCCATGTTTCGAGTGAAATATCTTTCTCTCATCTCTTGAAGTGGGACAAGGAGATATTTTCACGAGTGGCATAACCTCGAGTGAAAATATATCCTTTTCCCCCGTCACTCGATAAGAGAAACATTAAATATTCTCTATTTATTAAATACGTTGAAACAATATGGTATCAAAGTATCAGTCCTTAAGCCATTGTTATTCTTTATTTATATTAATGATATGTATGTCATGAAATGATACTCCTGTTCGTCGATAATACCAGCACTGGCAGATCAGTTCTAGATATCAATCGCATTGAAAACTCCATAAATAAACATCTATGCAAGTCTAGACTGACATGTGCCGGGATCTTGTAAGAGAAGGCTAGTTCTTCACAATCCCTTTATAAATGCAACATGTATGTTTGAACAGTACGAGATTGACACGATTGAAAGAACGACAAACCAACGTTGGGAATATGAATCAGTTATGAACAAGTCAGCGGGGGCATACAAACCTAATCTGACACACCTGGAGGCATGGGCATACGATACCCTCCGCAGTCATGGCTGAATGGATATTAATAACATCGTGTTAATTGATCACGCATGTACACCGACATTCTTTACGTACATGTAGGAGGGCGTCTGTTGGTATGATTTTGTGCTCATCGCCCAGCTCGACATGTCGAGAATCGGGAGTAGACAACGTATATTGAATATGAAACGATGCATCCAAAATTCATAAACAACACGTCAAAAAGTCAAAGATAATGTATCAAACAAAACGTGAATTATTACCAGGTTGTGCTTTGCTTTTTGTCAACTTTTAAAAAAATGATAAGAAACATTATGATTTCTCATTTAAGCAAGTCTGATTTCTTAAAAACAACCAAAAAGTGCGAGCTATATGGTCTTGGAGAATATTTAATATTTAATGCATGTTACCATAACGTCTACAGGCATAAACACTATTCAGTGTCCTTAATATATTGATGATTCAGACAGATGTCTGAGGTCAGAGGTCAAAATAATACATCAAAATGTAATAATATAATCACACCAGTTATCACCGAATACCTGATGTAGGCAGGACTGAAACTGTCACACGATACTCGAGAACGAGTTGAGTATGATAACTACGCGAGTAGTAACGTAATACTCGAGTACTCGGAGAGTTGACCCCCTTGTTCAATTATCTCCCTTGCTTTGCTGTCAGGCAAGCTCCTCACAGCGATAGTACGTTCCCGGAGCTCTCTATACTATCGCTGCCACGAGTCAAAACTCCCAACTGTGAATAGGTGGCCACCAACCATGCTTGGAGTTGAACTCGCAACCGAATGACCGTTATGTTTGCAAACAAGTGACGACTGTCGTGACGCCGAATACACTTATCGCTGCTAAATTACTTTCTTCGTTGTTGTCAATTTGAATTTCTGTTTCATTAAAACTATCGTGTTATTGATATAGTAAGAATGTAAGGGAGAGGTTGGTTGATTTTCCGTTAGTCTGCAATCTCGAACCAATCTGATTATCAAAACAACAAAGTAAATTCATCTGGAAAACATGGTCAGTCGTAAACCTTTTCAAATTGAAATATGATGACATTCCCAAAGACATAAAAAGAAGTATAAACGTTACTACATATGGGGTTGGAGGGCAAATTTCAAGATTTTTGTAATGGCCGCGCCCACACTGGTGGCAGCGATGTTACCGTGAGTGTAACGAAGGTGTCACGCGCTGGGAAGGAGCTTGGCTGTCAGGGAGGACAACTACACCACACACCATACACCATTCTGTTGAGTTGCCGAAAGGCCAGAGCATCTTGAGAGGGTGATGTGCAGCCCTCATTCCACATGTGTTCGATAGGGTTGATGTCTGGTGACCGGGATGGCCACTCCAAGCGGACAAAGGCCTCCTGCCATAAGTGGGCACCAGTGACCTTGACACGATGAGGTCATGCGTTATCGTCCCTGAAGATGAAGTCCGGTCCGATTGCACCAGCATACGGTCTCACGTACACATCCAGACTGTATCCCTGTAGCGCACACCTGTCATCGTTCCCCGTGGAGATCAGTTCCCAACTGGTCCCACCCCAAGTCATGATTAAGCCCCTCTATAGCCGTCATGTTGAGCTACGTTGGGATAGTGCTCCTTGTCTACGCCACACTCGGGCACGACGATCTGGGAAGTTTAGACTGTATCTCGATTCATCAGTGAGATGTACTGGAGCCCAGTCCTGGTCTGTCCAATGACGTGATCTTCAGCCCAATCCAAACATGCCTGCATGTGATGTCGGGTCAGTGGGGTGCGAATACATGCCCTCTTGGCCGGAGACCATCCCAACAGAGACGATTACGCCACTGGCGTTCCCCAGATCAATTCTGCTTATTATACAGTTGTGATTTACTTGATTTCATTTAATGTCTGTATATGGTCTAGCGATGAGGCGTTTGCTGAAAACTTTCATCAGGCTACGGGAAAACGAGTAACGGGTAACGGGTCAGAAATCGTCTACATGCAGCTTATCTCCCTTTCAAATCGTCATGTTTCAAATAAGTTCCGATGCTTTTCCTTGATTTTCCGCGGTCGTGTTTTGCGACGTCGAAATGAACGTCAAGCCAATGTCATGCTGAGACATCATGACAGATTTGGCGTTGCATTGGTTGTGGTATGGAGTGGCATCACAATGACTGAGCGAACCCCACTCTATTTTGTGCAAAGAAAGGTCACTGGACAGTTCATGCTGACCACCCTTTGATGTTCCCTTTGCAAGGCGTGAGGGTCGACGTTTTGTCTTCAAGGACGACAATGCCCGTTTTCACCGTGCACGAATCGTCAAGCAGCACAACATAAATAGAATGCCATGGCCAGCAATTAACCCAGACCATTCCCCCATCGAACACGTCATGGGCATAAGAAGAGGTGTGCGTTAACCTTATTGGCCAGGCGCTGGAAGAGGAGTCGGACAGACACCGTCAAATCGCAATTGGGAGATTCATGCATAGTATGGCATAGAATGGCTCGTCGAGTGAATGAATGTTTGACAAACCGTGGCGGTATTACGCACCACAGACCATAGACGCCAACTTTAACAAATTTCCCATCTAAGCTCTATCGTCCTCCAAGATCGTTGACGGTCATAACATCTTGTCATACTTCTCTACCGGTTTCAATTTGTTTCTAATTCGTTAATTATTATTATACACATCTATTACTAGAAACTAATATCTATAACCATTTTGAAATTTTATAGTAACTTGCGAGTATCCCCAGCGTGTTTTAGGGTATATTTTCGCATGTTTCGACTATAAGCATGTTGTCCTCTATTGGAATAGATTCGTTCTTTCTACAAATGGGCCAGTTCATGTACATGTATTTCTTCAAAGACATCGATACTTTTAAACTCTACAACACGTATTTGATTAAATTGGGTATTATCGCACTTGACTGCCAAATTCAATACACATCATTCACGCTATTGCCTTGTTCTCTGAACACTAATCATGCTCAACCTGGCAAGTTAATTTGACCATCAGTTCATCTCTTTTCTTGTAGATATTTTTCAACACATTCGCAGTCCTCCAGTTCATTCTGCATCAGACTGGTAAGTACTTTCTATTTTAAAACTGTGTGTATATGTAGGGATGTAGAACAGCATTGGCAATGCAACATGAAACATGTACGATATTTGCTCACAAGCTGTTGCCTGCTCTACAAGCATCGTAAAGCATGTATTTAGACCCACGCCGCATACATCTAGCTGCCATTTTTCACAAATACATATTGAAGTGACACATCAGGGCACTCTCTATTTGAAATTTATTAATTTATTAACATGATCTTGTCAATATCATTGATCACAATATCATTTATCAAATCCTGGTCAATTAGTCTTTTCTTGTACATCATACATTATGCAATAAGAATAGTAATTAAGGCGCCACTCACGCCCTTTTAAAAACGCATAATACATTTAGCATCGCATTTGTCAATAAACATTTGACAAGGACCAAGTTTATTTTTGTTTTTGATGTGTGTAGTGGCTGATGTGAAGCAATGTGTTCATCGTTGATGACTATATTTTCTACTTTGTTTGTGTAGACCAAAGGATTACGATGACATTATACACATTATCTGTATACAAGGTTAGTTTTCCGAAGCTAACTTCGACACTTTCTACTTTCAGAATCAATGGCACCCATCCAAAGTAAGGACAATATTTGAAACTGTAGATTACACTGCTGCATTTCAAATTATACATCAAATATCTTGAATTGTACATACCTACGAGCATCTCTGTATTCCTTATGATATGTTCGTTTCCTTTTTAACCAATTTCAAGGACCACGTCCGTGGTCTAGTGTATAAAGTGTCTGCCTAAAAGCAAAAGGTCGGGGTTCGATCCCCTGGCTGCGTCATACCAACTGACGTTAACAAAAGTACTTGTTGGTACCATACCTAGCATAAGGCATTTAGGGAATATAACAAGGTCTGGTTGGCCCGGAGTCAATAAACTATGTCTGAAGCGGGGACATAGTATCTAAGTGAAATAATATTAAATGCTTCGTTAAACCCCATTTCAACTCCCCTAACCAACTTTCCCACTTTGATTTCGGGACTGAATATGTCCTAAGCAATAGAATCGGGTGGTAACGATGGGCGACCTGGCTGACTGTGTGTCAGGATACTCTCACAGCAAGGAATTGGCTCATTGTTTCAACCACATTGTTTTTGCCTGACCCAAACACATGAGACTGCTGTGATATAACATAATTATTGTTAACTTCAGCATAAAAAAATATATATTTCTAAGTAAAACAGTATAGTCATCAAATAGAAAGGTATCAAGTTCACTTACGTTACCTGATTGGTATATATTTTCTAACTTTATTTAATTTTATTGAAGTTAGCAAGTGACAACGTCTGTGGTCTAGCCCTCCATGATACTTTGCTTTAGGTGATCCACGAAGAGTAGCTGCGTAAAACAGAAATGTAAAATGTTATTACTGGGTTTTTTTTTCTGCAACATGATATAGTTTATCGAATACGAAATAGAAACAAATCCTAAATTTAATTTCACTTTTTGATATGCAGACAACATACTGTCTTTACAATTATACTTATCTTTAAAGAAAAATCTTATGATTACCAATGATGCTGGATTGAGTGGCCGATTGCCCCACGTTCTGTCTTAGTTTTCAACAAACTGAAAATTTCAACACCTTATGGGTTTACCCTATCAGAACCGTGGAAGCCATCAAAGCAGTATTTAATCTGCCTCATTATGTAGTGAACAAGACAATTGTCTACCTACGGCTGTAAATGAGTCAATTGGCGTTTCAGTTTTTGTGGATGACCTTAACATTTCGTCTAAGGCGGAATTAGATAGGTATAGATGCGTTCCTTAGACTTGCCAGAAACCTATGATCGTGGGTTCGAATCTCATATTCGCCCTGATTATGTTTCGCGGTCTGTCAGATAGAAACCCGTGCGCGAGCGTCTCACCAAAGTTGCAAAAGTGTAAGACTTGCATCACTTCGGGCATTCTTCCCACATCACGCTGAAACGCCGTGATATTACTGAAACACTGTTCAATGAGGCGTTAAGTCCTACTCACTCACTCATGGTAAACATAGGAACTCAGTTTTGAGTGTGTTTATACATTTATGTGAAAATAATGCAGTCAGCTCATACGGCTGTCATTGGTACGGATGTTTAATAAGTATAATAATATCATGCATGTGATAAATTGTATTTTTACAGGTGAGGACGCACAGGTGCCTTCGTGTGTTAAGATTAAAGGTAAATACGTCTGAAGGTATAGCTAACGTTGTAAGGCGATGATCAGTTTCGAGGTATATTTAACCTTATAACCAGAGGGACCGTTTGAGAACGAATTAATCTTACCACCATAATGTTCGCTCGGTTATGTAAACTAGTGTCCAAAAGAAAGTATACCAACTAAAAATGTTTTCCACTTTCTTGATAACTTAAAAAGCCAATATAAATTAAGACTTAGATATGTCGCACGAATACAACCAAACGTATTTGGTGACAAGGAAAAAAAGTAAAATTATTATAAAAAATCAAGCATTTTGCCACGACGACTTTGGGCAACGTAGAACGCAATGCAGTGAAAAAATACTATATAAAATTGGTGACACGGCACGTCATGAACACATCAACCAGAAGCAACAAGAAAATATGCCACTTTTAACCGCTATACAGAGGGAGAGAGCCGTTGGTATGGCGCAACAAGGAGCTATGCACGCAGCCGTTGCAAGAACGATTGAATCCACATTGCCAGATTGATGCAACGTTTACAACAGACAGGGAGACTACTGGTGGCCAGGCCCATTGACGACCGCCACATCCGGACCATTCAACTCCAAAACCACTTCATTACAGCAACGACACTGGGATACAGGGTCAGTCGACAGAGATTAATATATGTATAGGAGATTAAGAGAACGTGGTATCAGAGCACGTCGACCCTACCGCGAAGTGATGTTAAAACGTCAACACCGACGTAACAGGTTGACATGGGCCTGGCGACTTCGACGTTGGTAAGTGCGAGGCTGGGGACGCATCATGTTTTCCGATGAAAGTGGATATTGCTTTACCTTAACTCATGGTCGGCAGCGAGTATACAGACGAGTATTGTCTTCAAGCAAGACAATACATGACCACATACGACACGGCTCACACGGAACTTTCTGAACAACGCTTTAACCCTGGCCAGCATGTTCTCCTAATATGAACCCCATCGAACATTTATGGGATCCTTGACCGACAGATCAGCGGCACCAGCCATCAGACAATAACTGGAACAATGTCTCCTTGGTGAATGGCAGCGGATCCGACGTTTGACGTCATCAGTGCAGCTTCGTGTTAAGTCATGTTGAACAAGTTACGTGACAGTAAAATATTTGTCTTTGTGTCTCAGTCAGTCGTATTCTTTTTGTTTAGATAACAAGCATAAGCGGTTTTACACATTATGTTAAAACACAACTAAAATTAAGAATGTACATATTGAATTTCGACATGCCTTTGTTTTTCTTTTCACAGTCTTTCAAACTTTTGGTATACTTTTTTGGGGACATCAGTTTAAAAAGTCTCTATCAGTATGGCAACATTAAGAATCGCGCGTGATTTCGCGGGGCAGAATATGAACTACTGCATTTGGTGTTCAGTTTAAAGATAACAGAAATATAATCATAGCATTGTGAGGTTAAGTATTTCCCAGCGGTGAATATGGAATGTACTTTATCGGTCAGTGGAGTAGAATATGACCCCAGTTTCTATCATCAGATTCACCGCGAAATTGCTGGTGCGGCGTTAAGTAATATTCCCTCACTCTCTTAATACTATCATCAGATCCATGTAAGTGCTTATCGCATGAATGTATTCGTTAATAATGTCATGAATATCAGGTGTAAATACATTGTAGGTCATTGTCAAGCTCAATTTTCCTAAACTAATCTGTTATACTAATTCTTCCTTATAGTGTCTTTGCAGATGTAGACCATAGCATAACGATTATCCAAGACATAATGTGTAAAAGGTTAGTTTTTGAAAGCTGGCATCAACATTTTCTACTTTCAGAACAAATAAAAGCATTCGAAGGTAAGGACAACCTCTTAAACTATGGATATTACTTTTGCATTTCAAATTCTATGTCAAATGCCTTGAATGGTATCTAATAACGATCATGTTCGAGAATTCCTTTTGCGATGTTCGTTTCCTTGTAGTGAAGAATCTGCAGGTAAAAAGGCCTGAAGGTGGAGCTACTATTAGCTAGTTTCGACTTCCACTTTCGAGGTATAATGACATCTTATAAGGCGAGGATCCGGCTGACAACGAATATATGCTCAGCAACAAAAGTTCCTGTGACACGATAGAAAACAAAAACCTGATCAAAGTAGACGCACACATCTGAAACAATTCATATTACCAAACATACAATGGACCAGTAAAACAAGTTTACACATTTAGTGACACATGTTCAGTACAGAAATGACGTTATGACAAGAGAAAGATGCAAGAACAGAATTGTCAATTCACACGTCAGTAGCGTGTGTCCCTCTCGCTTGGATGCATGCAATGCATTTGCTCCCCCCCCCCCCCCCCCCCCCCTGCGAGCGAGCAGATTGTTGAACAATCCTGGCTACATTTACATTACATGGGGTCGGGCGTTGACTTGCTGAAAAATCATGTCAGGTCCATATTGTTCTGAGCGTAACGTTCACCGCAACGTGGGAATACTCGTATTCGGCCATCGCAGGGGGAGAGCTGAAAACGAGACTCGTCGGTGCACAGAACCTGTCTCCACTGAACTGACGTCCAACGCATTCGCTGTCTACACAACTGCAGACCCAATCGGCGGTGATTGTTGGTCAAAATAGGGCGTCTGGCTGGTCTCCTCGCAACAATCCCGTAACGTCTAAGACGGCGACGTACAGTCTGTGCCGGTATTCGAAAAAGGCCAGGGATGGTTCTCTCAGTGATTGTTGCAGGCTGAAAGCGATTTCCCAGATGGGTGGTTCGAATCCAACGATCTTGACGGACGCTCGTAACGGGGGGCCTGCCACTCCTTGGTCGGTATCTGGCAATGTTATGCTTGCTCCCATCACTGCCATAACGTCTTAATGGTGTTTCTGTGCACGTTCAATCGCCTAGCAACTTCACGCTGCGACGTTCCTGTTTGGAGCATACCAAAGGCCATCAAACTGTCATTTTCAAATAGGCATGGCATATCCAAACTTCAAATAATGATTAAAAATGTGATGTTTTTCAATGTTGCAGTTTTCAAGACAAGCAGAAACAATGCATACCGAATCCCTACAACACGCGTTGCTGCATGAAAGACACGTTTTGCCAACAGATCATGCTTTTCTGCTGATGTTGCGTTTGTGCTACATGTTTTCATATTTTCGTATCCGATTTGAACACCAGAAAGGTTTTTCTTGTATGCAACCGATTGGAAAGGGGTGTCACAGTAACTTTTGTTGCTGAGTATATCTTCGATAACCATCATCATATCATTGGTAGATTCAGCATTTCTCAGGATTTGCCAGCATTTCCCAGAGGGGAATATAAATTTGGTACCTTATCTGTTAGTGGGTTAGAAATAGTTCCCAGAAACCGGGGATCAGTTTTAGTTACTTGGTGGATTCTGTTGTCATCGAATCCTGATAGTGTGGGTCGTTGCTCATGCTTTCTAACACTGGTTTGCTGTACTTGATGATTAACCGACCGCCGTGATACAGCTGGAAAATTATTTACAGTGTCGTTAAATTAAATAACTGACTCTTTAGGTCGAGATGTTACTTTAGTTTTATACTTCACTTGTAGACTTATCGTTTGACGGGAAAAGGCAGTGAAGATGTGTTGACGTGGATAGGTTGCTATGGGCTCCATTTCTACCAGCATTGGTGGATGTAGGGTCCACTGTCTGATCGCGCCCAGTGTTACAGTTAACGAGTCAAGGGTGTTTTTTGAACAGGTGCATTTCTTAGCACTCGGGTTATGCCGACTTGGCGTAGATTGGGTTGCTGGTGTGAATGTGGGTGGGATATTATCGGTTTCCTATCTGCGGTCACCGGCTGACTGATTGGGTCTCGGGAGGCCACTAACGATTGGCTTGCTTGCTTACTGCGTGTTGACCAACACCGTGTTATGTCCTCGACCGTGTGTCGGACTGTCATTAATAATACATCTTCTCGAGGCAAGACAGTTAACTGACTTTAAAAGTCCAGTTTCCACACAGTTTCCGAACTAGGCTGGAATTACTGGGCTCGATCGTAGCGCCACCAGTGGCTGTTACGAGTTATGTCCCTACTATGCCTCTCCAATAGACCAATCAGATTCAACCTCTAGTATCGCTTGCATTTGCTTTAAACAAAACGGCGGCGCCAAGTCAAGACGATCTGATCGATAATCAAGATCTATATATTGTGATAAAGCGAGTCTTACATCGCGAAGTGCAACAAATAACGTGAGTAACTTGATTAAAAACATGAAAAGACTTAGAGAATATCTGTTGACAACGAGTTAGCGGTGCACATGCTTTGCAAATCCTGAAATCGACCGAAATCTGCATGACAGTTTACGAACCGGATTTCGATTTCGGAGCGCGATTTTGATTGGACTATGCATAGACTCGTTAGTTATAATACCAGCCCAGTTCGGCAAGGGTAGAAACTGGACTTTAATAGTCAGCTAACTCACTTGCCTCAGGAAGTAATAATAATATGGATAGGTTCATTATCTGTCACGTATTGGGGATCGTAGGGTCACCTATATCTGATGGCATTCTGAGTGCAGCTTATTGATTGCCTGACGTACAGTGATTAAGAATTGTAGGTGTGTAGGTCAAATGCTTTTAATACGGGTCGGTGATACTTTGTATCGTGTGTGAAAATTATTAATGTTTTTGGGTAACCGAAGCTCAGCTATTTTTTACCTTATGTTACACTAAGCATATGAAGCCAATTGTGTATGGAGTCAATTCCTCGTGTCATTATCAGTGTAGTTGGATCAATGCATGAAGCAGCGTAAAACCAAACTCACTCACTCAAATTACTTATTTTTCATTATGTAAAACCTTTTTCAATGATGCATCTGATAACAGAAAAATAACATTGGTGAACTTACCAAAGATTCTTACATTTGGTTGCTTGTTCATTAGGAGATACATTGGGTTTTGTTGGGTTTGGTAGCATCATGTTTCCAATTTACAGGATGCAGGAACTAATAAGAATATAGGATTCTAAAATATCATGGTAAACTCCCTTATACAGTTCCAAATATATATACATGCCATGACAATCCTAAGGTGCTGGATGGAGTGAATGGGCCTCATCAGATTCATGTTCACCTACTTTGGGATCCGGAAGATTCGTGTTCAGGAAGCTTTGCTGCGAAGGTGACAAGTATGACTGTAAAACAGTAAATGGTGGTCTTCGCATATATGAAACACAGTCAGAACCTTTTGTGATAACTGATGAATGCCAAAGTGAGTATATCAATAATCTCAACCTCAGTTGATGCTTAAAGCTTATCACTATTCTTGCATTCTTGAATTCTTGCTTTTCACATGCATCTGTCCTACGGGATCATCCCAAACTTTTTTCTACAGCTAAATTACTGTCACACCCAAATTACTCACTTACATTTCGTTCGGACGTAGGCATCTCCGGTGATTTTAGGTATCTCTTCCACTGTGAGACTGTTTGCTCTCACTGGGTCAATAAAAAGCTTCCGATTATATAAATGGATCTCTTGTTTGCCATTATAAAGATTAAGTCCACATAAACAAGATATTGGCTTGACGGTTTTTACATTTGTAGTTCCATTAGTTAAACTATAAAATGAACCCCTTATGTTCACATTCTTCAAACTGCATTTTGTTAACCAATACTTTTGCTTTTGTCTTTGTAATGCTTAGAGCCATGTATTTCTTGAAAAGGCTTCTTTGAACTAAAAACACAATACATGTACCTCAAGTGAAAAAAATGTCAAATCAAATTATAATCCCCTAATTTACACATTTCACCACTAAATCTATGCCGTGTCAGTATTATTAAGCATACGCTAATCACTCAATCAAATAACCACCAACGACGGTGGAGCTCTCCAATCCCGGGAGGGTAGCGAATATGACACTTATTAGAATGTAAAACGTTTCTTTGTGTCGGATCTTCTGCACCAAATTGTATGGTTTATGGTGAATGTGGTAGATACCCATTATATATTAACTCTCAGATCAGATGTTTAAAATACTGGTTTAAAATCCTTCATATGCATGGATAACGTCTCCCTAAATTACTTTATTACATACTTCTACATGTAGATAACATGGGAAAGAATACTTTAACATCGCATACAAGGAATGTGTTTTATATGGCTATGTCAGTCGGTTGGAAATGTAAATACGTTTCTTAATGAATTTCGAAATCGGTCTAAAAATATATGCTACCAAGAATGGCATTCCACTTTAGAGGATAGTTCACATTATGAATATTACAAAACTTTCAAGACTTTACTTCAACCATAAATATATGTATCAGTACTCACTCCGGAAAACTTAAGAAAACATTTGATTAAATATCGACTTGGTTTACTAGACCTATTTGCAAATGAAGGAAGAAAACTGTCCATTGAAAAACAGAAAAGAATGTGCACATCATGTGATCTAGAGATAGAAAATGAAAATCATTTTGTGTTTGTCCATTTTACAATGAAACCAACACATACAAGATTATTTAATAACAATGTCACCGATAAACGCCTTTGTAGTTATTCTGGCGACAAAGACCGAATCTAATATATTACATTTTTCTCTATTTATAAAGCATGCATTAGCCAAAGAAATGAATTAATCAAACAACGTGAATATCCCAATGTGTAACATTTATGATTGTATTTACATACGTAAATCTCTCTTGTATATGGGCCGGAGGTCTTTTGTACAATAAACTTCTTTTGACTCTGACAAGCGCTGGACGGATTTTTCAGTATAAACACACAGACCAAGGGAGGTCACTCTATATCTTTGTCACAATTTCAACACAATAGTATACGAGTTGCTGTTGTATTATCACTAAAGGCAAACATTTTCCATTTTATGAGCTTCTCAATAGATTTCTGCCAACTACATCAACATAAATACAGTTAAAATGTACACTATCACATAACATATAATTATGTGTTTGATGAAGTGTGGCGATTATCAGTTTATCTTGAAAGTGATGGACGTTCTGGGGATATTTTTATGAATTATAGAGTTTTAAATGTTTGGACAGAATTCTATTATTTTTCACGAAAGTTCGTTACTTGCTGCAAACAACTATGTAAAATAATGTCAGTGTCAGTCCGACTATAAGCAGGCTTGAGTATGCCTTTCTTTTCATGCATCAGGCTGCTATTTGTACATGCATCTGAGCCTTCAAAGGCAAATGTACCTTTCCTCAATACAAACTACCTCTGCTTGAAGAAACATACACTGCATTCGAAATGTTTTCTTTCATTACCAAATATTTCCAAGCCAATCATGCACTGGTTGTCAGAGATGCTTTGCATGTTCACGATATAACAAAAATATCATGAATAATGTATCGAGACTAAAAGCAGTAAAGCACCTGTTTAGGAACTGGTATATCATGAACTTGAAGGACATCTGAAGCTTTATACTCGTCCAGACACACTTTACTGTACTAAACTGTACGGTGCGTTTCGGGATGGTTTATCCATATCTAATGTGGTGCTAATATTTGGATAATTCAAGAATAAAAGTATGAAACGTAACAAGTATCACATGACATAATGAATTCCACCCCTTATCATTTCAGCCAAAGCATAAAAAAGTGTTCAAAATTCAGAACTAGTCTGAATCGTTTGATAGATAAGTAAGTCACTGAAAATATTACCAACATTTGTGTCTTTTTGGTAAATACCAACACAGAATTCAAATGCATGGTTATGTTGTCTTAATTACGGCCAAAGAAACAGCTGATGAAGTTTACTCTCCTTGGAGTGTTTGGAGCGTTTGGGGTGATTGTCCTGAGGGGTGTGGAGAATCGACAACGAAGACCATAAGGAGAACGAGAACCTGCACACGTACCAACGGAGGCCTCGGCGAATGCCTTTCACCCTTAACTGAAACTCAAACACAATGCTGTTGCTTGAATGGATGTCCAGGTACCAAAGTTACCCATTTGCCAAATGAAACTTAATTACCAAAAATGTGGAACAATGTTCGAGTTGACAAAAAATCATATCAAATCTATAAAGCTTTCTTCCATGTGTGAAACGTTCAGTTTTCGGTAAATATTCACATTAAGGTTACATTGTACCGCCAGTTAACTTAAAAAAGAGGGTGCGCTGAAGTTTTGATTGACAGAATTGTTTTGGGTACCGAACAAGTTAACAACAGTTCTCAACTGAGAAACGTGCAAAATAAATATATGTGTGAGCAGTAATTATAAAACCACAATATAAACGCTCTTATGTCCGTTCCAAGCGTATGGTGGAATGTGTGACTTAAGTGAACGTTTAAGCCTAAGGGACTCTGACCATTCGATATTCTGAAGGATGTGGGGTTGGATTTTGTTTGGAGACTGGATATTTTTCAGCAACAGCTGCAAAACTAGATATTTTTTAATTAGTCTAAATAGTCTAAATATACATTGTTTTAAGCACATCTTGCAACACAAGTCTTGTGTCAGGAAAATTCATTTTTCAACAGTCAGCAGTATTTTTTGTCAAGAACTTTCTGTGACCATTTTGTTCCGATCAAATCCCTGGATATTGGTTAAGCTATACTGTTTCCACCTACAAGCGATGTCTTTACATGACCCTACCTCCTTTGTCACAAAAGAACTGTACAAACATGAAAAAATAAACCCAAATGGAGATTTGATTGCAATCTGAATATTGGTTTGAGAGGATTATGATAAATACAATGTAAAATATGATGATAAGATTGTATATAAAAGACAAATTTTTAATGTCACCGAGTTGTCTTCCTGAATATCCTCTTGGCTGAGGATAAATAATTATTTATGGACTGAATGTTGTTCAGCTGATTGGCGAGTTACAGCAACAACAAAATGAGCCAGTTCATGGGGTGATGTCCTTTGGTAGAACATCTGCAGTTTGAGCCTTGCCCCAGAGTTATGTCTTTTATTTATACATCTCCAGTTTAAAGGGGCTATCCTGTGGTTGGTATCAGGGGATTGTGATCTCAAATGACGAAAGTGGACTAAATATTCAGCAACACTCACCTATGACCACACATATGATTGTACAATTTTTCAATTTGTTTCTGATTTCAGTTAATGGAGGCTACACTCATTGGAGCGACTGGTCCCTGGTCCCTTGCAATGAGACATGCGAAGCTAATGTCCCCTTAGTCAGGACTAGGTTCAGATCCTGCACGAACCCAGTACCCAATCATGGAGGAAGATCCTGTACAGGGCCATCTTTTGAAACAAGCCTTGGTAGTCTTGACGCATGCCCAGGTCGTATTGTATATAGATAACATAATCCATTGCCTTTCCCTTTCAAAGCTTCTTTGTACGTGTAGGAGATAAACGTACAGTTTTAATAATTATATTTAGATACGTGTTATCCCTGGTTGATTATATTTGTTTTACTTTTAAACTTATTTGAATCTGTACTTAGTCAAAGTACGGATATACAAATAATGATAATTTTAAGGCATCGTAAATTACAATGTGTTTCCACTACATCACTAAACAGTACATTTCTGTCATGGGGAATTTAACTTTTATAATTAATGTTTACTCATGATCATGCGGTACATGTGTCGCTGATACTATAATACAAACAGAAAATCTGTCTATTCACGCATTTATTTTCACAACCGTCATTCATTTGATTTCTAATTTTTGAACAGTTATTATGTAACTAAATATATATTTGATATCTGTAACGTCATTTGAAAACAAATTTACTTCATGTTTATAATTATTTTCTCTTTTGCAGTTGATGGAGTTTTGTCAATATGGACCGCTTGGACCAATCCTCCATGTTCTGTGTCATGTGGAGCATCGGCAACAAAGATGAGAGTCAAGACGAGGACATGCACGCCTCCCCAGAATGGTGGGAAGGAATGTACAGGGAATTTAAATGAAGCTTTTCAAGTTTACTGTGGCCTAAATGACTGTCCAGGTACATTACAGAGTTATGAGCTGAAATATAGCAGCGTGCACGCATGTGTGTGTGTGTGTGTGTGTGTGTGTGTGTGTCTGTGTCTGTGTCTGTGTGTGTGTGTGTGTGTGTGTGTGTGTGTGTCTGTCTGTCTGTCTGTCTGTCTGTCGGTCGGCCTTTGTGGCTGCTTGTACTAGTCCGGACTGTGCTGGGTTTTTAATGCGAGCCCACTGACATACCATGAAGCAGTTTAACACAGATATCCTGCTCGGACATAGCACTCTGACTCAGTCCTTGTGTTATCCTCTTAATGCCGAGCGCCAGACAGGGTAACAATAACCACCATCTTTTAACGTCTTTTGGTATGACGCCACCGACCTCCGCTCTCCAGGAGACGATCCACGTATAGTTATGAGTCATGTACCAGTATTACACAATGGAAACTACACCTTTAACGTTTGCAAACAATATAATAAAATTAATGATAAGTAACATGATATTTGAATCATATGTTTAAATATCTATTTGAAAATCCTTATATTTTCCCGATATCCGTCGAAACTTAAACAATAAAAGAGAGTACCAATAAAGTATTTAAAATAGTTCCTTGTTTTTAAATGAGTCAAAGGTAAACACGAAAGAATGCTTTATATTCAGATTCAATGAAGCGAACATCCTTGTCATTGTGTAAATTACTAAATAATGTCGCTTTGTTCTTTCACCATTGTAAAGGCAAGGGCATGGCTTGAGCAATCAAACCAAACATATGACACTGAACCAAGAAACTGTGGATTGGTTGGTTGTGCAGTAAGTTCCACATAAACCTTACGTTACATGCAGTAAGCATCTGATGAAGAGGAAGAAAGCTCTGAAATGTCGCTACAAATAGAAGAACGAGTGTCTTCGTGTTCTTTCAAACTCTAAAATTTGATATCTTATGAAGACTTCATACACCGCGTGCACAACAGAGGAGACCTTCAGAAGAAACCCTAAATTGACGAATATATTAAACATGTTCTTTTTGTTGATTATTTCAGTTGATGGAGGCTATGCTGCCTGGAGTCAGTGGTCCCTGGTTCCCTGCTCTGCAACATGCGGAATTAATGCCACAACAGTCCGGACACGGTCAAGGACCTGCACCAACCCAGTGCCAAATCATGGAGGAGCACCCTGTTCAGGTCCCTCTTTTGAAAGAAGCTCTTTCACTTGTGGTCTTAACTCATGTCCAGGTACGATTGCATATAAAACAATTACGAAAAAGAATACTTTGATGTATGTGACTCATTCGATCGTATGCTTAAAATAAATACAAAACGTTTGTCTGAGACGAGAAATAATGAGGATATTGTTTTATTCAGTTGATGGCGTTATCTCTATTTGGAGTGTTTGGAGCAATCCTCCATGTTCTGTGACGTGTGGAGCATCAGCAACAAAGACCAGAAGTAGGACGAGAACATGTACACCTCCCCAGAACGGCGGAGAGGACTGTTCCGGAAATTTGACTGAAACTCTAAGCCAGAACTGTTTCTTGTGTGAATGTCCAGGTATCTAAGCAGTACACCTTCTACTCCAATTACAAACAACATCACTATAGTTTCATTGTGAGACAAACCACAAAGAGAGCCGAACAATATTATCATGATTTTAACGGTTTTCTGTTTGTTAATTATTTCAGTTGATGGAAGCTATGCTGCCTGGAGTCAGTGGTCCCTGGTTCCCTGCTCTGCAACATGCGGAATTAATGCCACAACAGTCCGTACACGGTCAAGGACCTGCACCAACCCAGTGCCAAATCATGGAGGAGCACCCTGTTCAGGACCAACTTTTGATACAAGCACTTTCACTTGTGGTCTTAACTCATGTCGAGGTACGATGAGATATAAAACAATTACTAATGGTATTTATATATAATATATGAGTATGAAAACCACCTTTGTTTTATGTGACTCATTCGATTGCATGCTTTATATTAATGGAAAACGTATGTTTAAGATGACAAAAAATGTGAACCAACTTGTGAAAGAAACCTTAAGGGTGTCCTAAAATATAATCATGATTCTAACGGTTTTCTTTTTGTTGATTATTTCAGTTGATGGAGGCTATGCTGCCTGGAGTGATTGGTCCCTGGTTCCCTGCTCTGCAACATGCGGAATTAATGCCACAACAGTCCGGACACGGTCAAGGACCTGCACCAACCCAGTGCCAAATCATGGAGGAGCACCCTGTTCAGGTCCCTCTTTTGAAAGAAGCTCTTTCACTTGTGGTCTTAACTCATGTCCAGGTACGATTGCATATAAAACAATTACGAAAAAGAATACTTTGATGTATGTGACTCATTCGATCGTATGCTTAAAATAAATACAAAACGTTTGTCTGAGACGAGAAATAATGAGGATATTGTTTTATTCAGTTGATGGCGTTATCTCTATTTGGAGTGTTTGGAGCAATCCTCCATGTTCTGTGACGTGTGGAGCATCAGCAACAAAGACCAGCATTAGGACGAGAACATGTACACCTCCCCAGAACGGCGGAGAGGACTGTTCCGGAAATTTGACTGAAACTCTAAGCCAGAACTGTTTCTTGTGTGAATGTCCAGGTATCTAAGCAGTACACCTTCTACTCCAATTACAAACAACATCACTATAGTTTCATTGTGAGACAAACCACAAAGAGAGCCGAACAATATTATCATGATTTTAACGGTTTTCTGTTTGTTAATTATTTCAGTTGATGGAAGCTATGCTGCCTGGAGTCAGTGGTCCCTGGTTCTCTGCTCTGCAACATGCGGAATTAATGCCACAACAGTCCGTACACGGTCAAGGACCTGCACCAACCCAGTGCCAAATCATGGAGGAGCACCCTGTTCAGGACCAACTTTTGATACAAGCACTTTCACTTGTGGTCTTAACTCATGTCGAGGTACGATGAGATATGAAACAATTACTAATGGTATTTATATATAATATATGAGTATGAAAACCACCTTTGTTTTATGTGACTCATTCGATTGCATGCTTTATATTAATGGAAAACGTGTGAAAATGTGAACCAACTTGTGAAAGAAACCTTAAGGGTGTCCTAAAATATAATCATGATTCTAACGGTTTTCTTTTTGTTGATTATTTCAGTTGATGGAGGCTATGCTGCCTGGAGTGATTGGTCCCTGGTTCCCTGCTCTGCAACATGCGGAATTAATGCCACAACAGTCCGGACACGGTCAAGGACCTGCACCAACCCAGTACCACAGTATGGAGGAGCATCTTGCCAAGGTTTATCGTTTGAAACGGATCAAGTCGCTTGTACACCGGAACCCTCGTCAGGTATAAATATTTATAAATATAGAAAACTCACTATACTCCAAGACATAAAGCAACACTAAACTTCATCAGTATAAAATAAAGACTTAAATGTCCCAGTGGAGAATATAAGACAGCTAAGCATGTACATACTGTCCTACGATGGTGATACAGTAACACGTACAGCTCTCGTCAATGTTTCATTTCATGTTTACAATGCATTATCTGCTGCATACTTTACGCCTATTGTTCATACGTTCGTATGCCTTCCTATTGAAAACCAAGGTGGACAGTGAGAAAGATGTTTGTGGTTGTTGTGGTGTATGAATGAACATGGATATTCTTATTCTGCTTTGAAATGCTTCATTTTCTATCTCACTAACCTGTGCTTGATTTGCAAATTGTATGTATGTTTTTTTAATTAAACAACACAACCTGACATCATAGTATCTTCCAATTGGTAAGTACATTATAATCTTTAAATATAGATGCTAACGTCAACTTGTTAACAAGTAAAGCAACTGCAAACAGTATACTCGACATATTATCGACATTAACTTTGGCACAAAAGAATATATGATTTAAAGGAAACCCATCGGCATTGCCTCCAGAATGTTTCATTGTGGTGCGTTCTAAAAGTAGTTCAGGTGAACCGCTTCAGGTGAACCGTATCAGGTGAACCGTGTCTTTCAAACAATTGCTCCTGGTATCAACTTTTCCTTTTAGCGTTTCTGGGGCTGGCGCTGTTTGGTCTGGTCGATATCCGAGGGAAAGCAGGCACAAGAGACGACAGCAACATCACGTGGACATATTTCATCTCAAGTCAACCATTCCTGACATTTAGAGATGTATACAAGTCGTGCTATAAACTTCCGACTCACTCCCCCAACAGAGCTATCTTTACACACAGAACATCTCAACTGTAATCAGACGTCAGGGAATAAATACCATGAGGCTTTATAAAGTGTATGATATGTATTTTGAATAATATATAATTCTGTCAAATTATCTCATGTTTGTCTATGAAATGTAGGTGTCACTCAGACAGTAGACAGATCGACTATATAAAATAATGTTAAGTAAGTTAGAGCTGCATTAAGCTCACCCACAAAATCATCATTTTCCTCTGTAAATTTTGTAAAAGATCAACATTGTCGATGTATATTCCAGACCTGCTTGATCGATTGAGCTTAAACTCGTATGTGAGTATCTGTCCACAAGGGGCTAAAGTGTGGTCTATGTGAAACGTGAAAATGTCTTCTTTGACATTGTGTCAAAAACCAAAAGGAACAAGAAAACGTCTTGTCTGCAGAATGATGACCCTGAGTAGTGTCCGTCTGTTCCTCGTGGATCTCTGTTGCAAAACACACACGCGCAGGGTTACAAAACTCAATTGGTGAAACTCACGAGCACGGGTGCGGTGCTGTCAAACCTAGAAACATGATCCGGGAAAATATGGGAATGGAGCCGTGGGTCAGAGGTTTCTGGCTCGCCCCAGGGACGATATTCAGGACTAGAAATATTATATGGTTCGTTACACAGCAACGACTACAGACAGGGAACTGATCACTGTAAACAAAAATAAGCTTTGTCTACAATAACATTCTGTCAAACAATTACATATATCACAGCAGTGGTATTTGCACTAGAATAATGCATATAGTTCACATTACATTGATATTCCAATTAAGAAATTATCAAACGGCTATACAGTACCTTACAGTAAGATACTAGCTTGCATTGTATGTTTGTTTGTTTGCACTCAGCAATATGCCAGTCTTTTGACGGCGGTCTGTAAATAATCAAGTCTGGACCAGACAATCAAGTGGTAGATATCATGAGCATCGATCCACACAATTGGGAAACGATGACGTGCATCAACGTAGTCATAGAGCCTGACCACCCGATCCCGTTCGTCACCTCTTACGGCAAGCATGGGCTGCTGAAGACCTATTCTAGCCCGGATCTTCACGGGTCTACTAGCTCCTGATTGGTTTAGGAGCGGTCAAATATGTTCCATGTTGTCCGCTCACAGGCGGGTACAAATTTCATGTAGCCTGCTGAGAAATCAATCGAAAACAAGACAGAATTCTCCCGTATTTTACCTGAACACCTACAATATGATATATTAGATTAGCTTGGTGGCATAGTAATTCGATTGGTGGATGGTGAGTTCCTTCTCTCGCCTCCACAGAAACCAGTTATCAGCATGTTACCTTCCCGAAGCAATGGCTCTTATCGTTCCTTGATCTGCAACACAACGATTGGCATGTGGATATCCTTTCCATCATATAGTAAATGAGTGAGTGAGTGAGTTTGGTTTTACGCCGCTTTTAGCAATATTCCAGCAATATCACGGCGGGGGACACCAGACATATAGTAAACATAGGCTCACATACAGGGTACATCACACCCCATATGCCCCGAGGGATCGGTTGACAACGAGTTTTTATTCACCGACATCATTCATACAGACCCGGAATATATGTCCGCAGTTTCACTTAGTAAAACGCTTTGACGGCTAGCAGTCGACGAAAACGAACCGAGTTACTTCCCTTTTCCGAATGCAAACGGATAAACATCAGTTCATTTCAACTCAACGATACTTATTCGAGATATGCAAGTTACCTCCGATGAGCTCCTATTGACTTCTCAGCGGGCTACGTGGAAAATAACTGCCCGCTCACTGACCAGTCAGAAGCTAGTGTTTTAATGTAAGGTGAGAAAATAGTTTGTGTTTCACCATCAAACAAAGGAACTATGGATACAGCCTCAATAATTAAATATTCTAGCGAAACAACCGAGGATTACATTCTGCATTCCCATGACCCTTGCCTGTCTTGCAGTTATGGTGCGGCAAGTTATTTTGAGTCTTAAGTTCCAGACAAAAGGATCCGGTTGGCTGATTATACTGGTGAAATATGACATTATTATTATAATCAAGTTTTGTCTATACGTCATACAGATTACATAATAATACTATTATTTAAAATGTGTGTAAACTAAGTTTTAACATCACATCTAAATTTTGGAAGTGAAACTTGCATGACCACGTACATGGCCCAACGTACATGTTTGTAGGGGGGCAAGGAAGGTGTCATGGGCGAGATTGTCCAAGAACCATTTGAAAATCTTACAGTCCAGTTTCCCCAGGTCCAACTGGTCAGTGACGTTCACGTCATGTGTCTGTTGTCTAGGTGTTGGTTCCCGAGTGGAGAAATATTCCTTGTACTCATCCATCCCTCCATACTCTAATCCATAGGTTCCTTTACTCGGCTGCAGATTCGAGTATTAAATAACTGAATGATTAATGTGTCTTTTAATTTCTTTTTCTTTACTTCATGATTTCTTGATTCGTTAATGCGTGCTTTTGTTAATGCATGCATCAGTGATCTTTGTCTTCACGCTATGTCTGTTTTATGTGGATACATCATAAAAGATGACAGCAAAGAAACTGGATACTGATATCTTATAATAGGTGTAATCGAACAATGCAACGTTTTGTGTGGATACAACAGAGATATTCGCATGATTCGTGACGATACACTTTGCGGCGTGTTTTCATACTGAGCGAGGACGGCAGGGTAAGACGGTTGATGTGCCCCGCCCTTGAACACGGCACCATTTTCACCTTCCATGGCTGGGGAACAACATTTGGTGTACATGAAGAAAATACATAAAAAGGTAAATAAAAATAGGACACAATTATGAATACAAACTGATGAAACGATGAATAACTGAGAGTTGTGGCACGTGGTCCTGTGCACAGCGCGCAGGTCACAAAAATCAGGTGACGCCATCAATCTATACAGCAAGGGCAAAGAGGACATAAGGTGATGGTTAAGTGCAGACGTTTACCACTTAGGTGAAACCCACAAGCACGGGCATGGTGATGACAAACCTAGAAACATAAAGGGGTCGAACCGGGATTCGAACCCATGATCATAGGTTTCTGGCGTGCCAAAGAGAGATAACTTTGTGCGGCGAATCGTGGCGCCTTAGACGACCGGATGACCCGTGCCCCCGCAAGGGCAAGGAGGACATAAGATGATGGTTAAGTGCAATTCTATACAGCAAGGACAAAGAGGACAAAAGGTGATGGTTAAGTGCAATTCTGTACAGCAAGGGCAAAGAGGACATAAGGTGATGGTTAAGTGCAATTCTATATAGCAAGGGCAAAGAGGACATAAGGTGATGAATAAGTGCAATTCTATATAGCAAGGGCATTGGGGACATAAGGTGATGGTTAAGTGTAATTCTATATAGCAAGGGCAAAGAGGACATAAGGTGATGGTTAAGTGCAGTTCTATATAGCAAGGGTATTGGGGACATAAGGTGATGGTTAAGTGCAATTCTATATAGCAAGGGCATTAGGGACATGAGGTTGAGATGCAGTTCCATATAGCTATAGGATACTGAGGACATAAGATGATGGTTAAGTGCAATTCTATATAGCAAGGACAAAGAGGACATGAGGTTGAGGTGCAGTTCCATATAGCATGGTTGGTTAATGAACATAAAGTATCTGTTAAGTGCACCTCTTTGTAGCACCGGAGGTAACCAATTCACGTTACATTCACAATGAGAATCGAGCACCACAATGACATCTGCATATGGGGAAGG